TGATTTATGGATTTATTTATTCATCGATTCATTGATATATGGATTAATCGATTCATCGATTTATGGATTTATTGATTTATATATCTATTGATTTATGGATTTATTCATTCATCGATTCATTGACTTACGGACGTATCGATTCATCGATTTATTGATTTATCGATTCATCGATTTATGGATTTATTGATTTATGGATCTATTGATTTATGGATTTATCGATTAAACGATTTATTGATTTATGGATTTATCGATTCATCGATATATGGATTTATGGATTTATCGATTTATGGATTTATGGATCTATTGATTTATGGATTTATCGATTCATTGATTTATGGATTTATTGATTTATGGATTTATGGATCTATTGATTTATGGATTTATCGATTCATCGATTCATCGATTTATGGATTTATCGATTCATTGATTTATCGATTCATCGATTTATTGATTTATCGATTTATCGATTTATAGATTTACCGAGTCATCGATTTATTGATTTATGGTTTTATTGATTATGGATTTATGAATTTATGAATTTATTGATTTATCGATTTATGGATTTATTGATTTATCGATTTATGGTTTTATTGATTTATGGATTTATGATTTTATTGATTTATGAAATTATGGTTTTATTGATTTATGGATTTATTGATTTATCGATTTATTAATATATGGATTTATTAATTTATCGATTTATTGATTTATCGATTTATGGATTTACCGATTCATCGATTTATTGATTTATTGATTCATCGATTTATTGATTCATCGATTTATGGATTTATTAATTATGGATTTATAAATTTATTGATTTATGGACTTATTGATTTATCGATTCATCGATTTATGGATTTATCGATTTATGGTTTTATTGATTTATCGATTTATGGTTCTATTGATTTATGGATTTATTGATTCGTCGACATATTGATTTATCGATTTATCCATTTATGGTTTTTTTGATTTATCGATTTATGGTATTATTGATTTATTGATTTATCGATGTATTGATATATGGATTTATCGATTTATTAATTTATCGATTTATTGATTTATCGATTTATGGATTTACCGATTCATCAATTTATTGATTTATCGATTTATTGATTATGGATTTATAAATTTATTGATATATTGATTTATCGATTCATCGATTTATGGATTTATTGATTTATGGATATATCGATTTATTGATTTATGGATATATCGATTTATTGATTTAAGGATTTACCGATTCATCGATTTATTGATTTATGGATTTACTAATTATGGATTTATGAATTTATTGATTTATGGATTTATTGATTTATCGATTCATCAATTCATCGATTTATCGATTTATTAATTTATGGATTTATTGATTTATGGATTTATCGATTAATTGATTTATTGATTTTTTTTATTTATTTGAATACAGTTCGGACCACCCTGTATACAGACTTGTTATACACTTTTTTGATAAAGTTTTAAAATCGCATTTATTTATATGTATAGAAATAGAAATAAAACTACTCATTTAGATGTAATTTACTTAATAAGCTTTATTAAAACAGGTAGAAGTTCAATTTCATTAAATATTTTTATTCTATTTTCTTACATTCCAGCGTAAAATATAGATTGTAGTCACGAAGTAGACTACCGTAAGATCTACCGTTGAAATAAACATCTTTAAAATATATTTTTTTGATCAAATCAAAGCCTAAACGTTTAGTAATTTGTTGAGTTTTAAAGGTAGTGAGAATTGAAGTTACAATTTGAGGAATTGGTTCAAGTGGCAAAGAGGATTCCTCCAAAGATATCTTCACATTTTGTCCCTGAAAAGTATTAAAAAAGGTACTTTGCGTACAGTATTTGCGTACTTGGCAAGTATACCATCATTGTAAACTACTTTGGCAAGCTTGGCGCTCAAGGCGGACTGTGACGATTCGTGTACTTTTACAAACATTTGTTATTGGGATATACTTGCCATGTTGGGCGAGTGGTTTCCTTGTGCAATTATACGTCACTCGTCGCGGCACGTAAGCGCCGAGCCTGTTGCAAAAAATGTTGTTTACAAAGATAGTATACTTGCTATACCGATAAGTACGCAAATATTGGTGTACTTGCCAAGTAAACGAGTCGCCAGTTGACGCATTAAGGTTAATTCTCACTATACCTTCCGTTTCCATTCCATATATCCATTCCATATCCGTTCCGTATTTTTTATTGTATTGACGCTATACTTTAGCTTCCGTTGCGTATCAGTTCCATACTTTTTATTGTACAATTTATATCATTACATAAGTTTTGTTATAAAAAGTTGTATCTTTTGAAAAAGGTAAAAGATTTAATTAAGAGGTGAAAGAATAAACAAATATCAGCAAAATGTTAGCAGAGCTAGTTCAAATGTAAGAACTTGACAACGCTGTTTCCGATACGCTTCACTCCTCCTAATCCAAAAAAATGTATGGAATGCTAGGATATGAAACGGAAGGGAAACGGAACGGATAGTGTGCATTGTCCTATTCATTTACATAATATAATATTTATTGTAAATGGAAGGTAGCTGATATGGATGGTATAGTGAGAATCAACTTTTAGCATGAGTATGGGGCTTTACGTAAACTTACTTTATAAAGCAGACTGGCCAAATCTAATGTAATTTTGAACAGCGTTGTGCCGATACCTCTTCCTACGTATTCGGGTTGGACCCCCAAAAACACCGACTCTAGTAAGCAGTCTGCGTTGTAGGGAGTGAAAGGGTCCAGAAGTCCTTCCATTTCAGTTAGAAAATCGAGAATTGCTATTGTTTCAGCGTGTTGTGCACGTTTCGCATAATCAGCGTAGAATTCAGTACACGAAGTATCTTTATGCTAAAATTAAAAAAAAAGTTATATAAATCTTAAGCTTCGTACAGACCTTAATGTTGCACCGAACAAAACAAACGGAATGGCAAATGAAGACGAAAAATTTACGAACCATATGTTTGCATTCCCAGTAATGTTTCAAATATGGATGATGCAGAAGCATATATGTACATACATTATGCTTTAACTTCCAAAAAAAGGCGAGAAAATCAAGAGGATGGGAAAAAATACATTTATACACTATACACCCAATGAAATGCGGAACATTTTAGCAGTTTTAGCTAGCCACAGTAATGGGTGTTTTTGGTACAATCTAATTAAATCAAAATATTTTGATTTCCCTCAGTCTATTTTTACACACAAAAACGGTCAGCTGCTGTGTTCCCTGAAAGCGCACATTCTATGAAATCTTCGTAAATCTGCAGATAAAACGGCGTTTCAGTGACAATTAAATTGCGAAAGCTTCCCTTAAATTGAGCTTCTTCATATCTCTTAAGGCGGCGAATGACTTGATCCGAGCGTTGTAATGTAACGCTTTGTAACACGAGCGTTCGCTAGTTAAGAAATAGTCGCCGAACCAAGCGACAAGACTGTTGATTTTTTAGCGAATCAATATTGCTCATTAATATTGTCATATTTGAATCTAAAAAGTAATATTATTGTTTTTTCACGCTTCTTATAGCTATTACTTAATAAAAAGTTTAAAATACTGTTTCAAGTATTTTGAAATCAATAATTGTGCAATTAAGTTTCATAAACGTTACATTTTTCAATAAAAACTAAAGCCATTTTAATGACTTCTTATTTACATTTTATAGCAAAAAAACATTCATGGCCCTCCTAAAAATTTTATAGGAAATTAAAAAACATTAAATCATTGTTTAAATAAAACTATTATCGTACTAGACGGTCGATTTACCTGGGCGCCGCGCCGCCGCCGCCCTTTGTTTTCGATCATACCAAGATCATACCCTGTGATCATACCTACTACTGGATAGGGATGGCAAAAAGACTAAATATATCGATATATTGTATCATAAGATATATCGAAAGGAAAATATCGATATATTTTGTATATCGATATAAATTACACAATTCTTTTATTTCAACTGTAAGCATAAAATACCGAATGATCTAAAAAAAACTGTCCAGTTGGCTTGAAAATGGACATCGATGACATTCCCCATATAATTTTTCGAACAAAATGACAGCGATCTCTATTTCATACCCATCGCTGATACCGTTTTTTTTTTCGATCATATTGTATTTTTGTTTACAGTGGGAAAAATAAAAAAATGGTAGCACTAGGTAGCTAGTACTCAATCAATCAATCAATCTTGCAAGTTCCTTGGAAAATTTAGTAAAATGTAGCCGAAATGGCGCTCTTTAGAAGCGCCATTTTTTTAATTGTAGCAGATTGTAAGCAACTGTTTACTGGAACCTGACTGGAATGAATAGTATTTATATTAAACGTTTGTCAATAAAATCAAAAAATTAAATTTATATACAGATTGTTAACTGGACGGTTACTGATTGGGGAACAGAATGGCAACATTGCCTACATTCCAAATGAGTACTAATGTGGTACTAAGCTAAGCTGCCGACTCGTCCCGTCCCGTCGTCTCTCGACGAGCGGGCCGAGGTTGCCATATTTCAACCATAAAGCTCTTGCCGCGAGTAATAAACAAATTAACAACCTGTATACATAAACAATCCCAAGAAAAACCCTATAACTTATAGCCTTTCACCACTTATTTACGTGTGTTCTTCACTTCATTTATTTCCTTCTATTCAGTAGAAATCAAATAATGATCACAACCACCCAATAGATAACAAATATACCGCAGATGATATAATTTTTTTAGAGTTTTAAAAATAATGCTGTTCCGATATATCGCAAAGAATATATCGATATATCGGAAGTAAAACATCGATGCAGATATATCGATATATTTCCATTAATATATCGATATGTCATTGCCATCCCTACTACTGGATCACTTTTATATTGGCTGTCGGCTGTCGCACTGTCGCCCTGTCGCGATCTCGACACCGCACGTCTGTACTCGACACTCGACACCGCAATCCGATATATCGCAAAAAATTATATCGATATATCGGAAGTAAAACATCGATGCAGATATATCGATATACTTCCATTAATATATCGATATATCGTTGCCATCGCTACTACTGGGTCACTTTTATATTGACTGTCGCGCTGTCGCCCGTCGCCCTGTCGCGATCTCGACACCGTGTCGACACCATACATACGTCTGTGCGCGACACTCGACACCGCAAAATCGTGACACCGAAACAGCGATATCGCTTGAAGTAACGTAAATACCTTATGATAAGACGTATCTTAGTAGAAGTAAGTAGTTCGCATAATAAACAAGATTAATTTGTGTGTACCCTTAATGTTTAGCAAATGAATAATTTTGTTGGAATTTTAATTTAAAATATACACATTTTTTTAAAAAAGTTAGTGTTATTATAGTATCAGAGTTTTAACCAATGTTTCTTCAAAGTGTCTCCCTATTAATTTCAAACATATCTAGTATAACCGAGATGCTTGGTTATCATTAAGAAATGTGTAATTTAACAACATGGGGGAGAGAAAGATGGCATTATTAAGTAGTTCGCATAATAGGATAAAGAAAGACATTTTTGCCAATTAAATAAGTTTGTTGGATAAAGTAAGTTAGTGTTATTATAATATTCATTTAGAGTTTTAGCCAATGTTTCCCTAAAGCAAAGTTTACCCTAAAGTGACTCCTGCGGTGGGATTCTGTAACTGTCTAAGGAAATATCTTGCTAGTGACTCACATATACTCAATTTTCTTATCGAAAATATTTAGTCCATCAAACGACAACCTATAGGTATATCATATATAGTCATAGGAGTCATAGTCATAGCATATAGTTTATTTGTTTTGATATCGAAATTCTTGGTTATGGTCAGAATCTTAGACAACGTCAGAATCATTTTGTAAATGAAATTTACAATTTAAGGCGCGTGGTCATCGTGAAACAAGAAAAAGAAGAAATTTAAAATGTAGCACTGTGACAAAATATCGATATATTTTATAAAATTCATCGATATACTCATAAATGTTTTGCATAGAAAATACCATATGACCGAAAAAAGAAACGTCGTCCAGTTAGCTTAGAAATGACGATCGATGATATTCCTTATATAATTTTACATATAAAATGACAGCAATCTTCATTTCAAAGTTACCGCTGCCGCCGTTTTTTTGTCAGTCATATTGTATATTGTTGTCGTCAGTCATATTGTTTATTGTCGATATTGGTTATTGTTGATAAATAAATACCGGGAAAAGAGAATGCCAAGTTAAATTAAAATTAATGATAAATGATATTTTATACGTAAAATTATATTGTGAATGTTATCGACCATTCTCAAGGTAATTTGCGCTCTTTTTATTTCGATTGCACATGTTCAAGAAATATCAATAAATCTATGAAAAAAATTGACGATATATGTACGTCCTAAAAATATCATAAATATACATCCTACAAAATATCATAAGAATAATGAGTCACTAGCAAGAAATTTCATATTACGAGCTTACAGAATCCCACCTCTGGTGTTTGGGCATGACAGATATCCTAATTAATTTCAGGTACTTACTAACAACATATTATCTAATGTAAGTGAGATGGGTGAACGTGGTTACCACTGAGAAATTTGTACCTAGTATAACATAAACAATATGGAGGACAAACAGATGTCATTATTAAGTGGTTCAGATAATAACCAGGATAAAGAAAGAAATTTAAATATTTCAGAACTACAAAATGAAGAAAATCTCATAAAACAAATAAAATCGGACGATGTCAGTCAAAGCGTATCAGAAGAAAAAATCACAAAATCTAACGATATGAATCAAAAGGAGGAAGAGGTTTCGCTGATAAATAATAACGATTTAACAAAAAAGGGAAATGATAAGTTAAAGAATTCATCTATAACAAACGCAGAAAGATGTCGTAATTATAGGCAACGTATAAAAGCGTTAAAAAAGAAATCAGAAAATGAACAAAGTAAAATCTGTGTATCGAACGCAGAAAAATGTCGCACGTACAGACAACGCAAAAAAAATAATGAAATTAAATTATTAACTACTATTAGTAATAATACTACTAATAATGATGTCCTTATTGTTGAAAATCCTCCATCCAAGAATGCCTTACATTGTCGACGATATCGAGAAAAGAAAGCTCGACTACGGGCCATAGCATTACTCACAACTGAATCTTCGTTAGTAAAGGGTGATGGTAATAATTTTTTTGTTGAGGATGAGTGTTCCCCCAAAGCAGGATCTAGTTCTACTACTTCAAGCAATGGCGCTGCTGTTCTGGAAAGAGGATTATCGAATAGAGTAAGTTTAGTTACGTTAACAGCAACTAGGGTAAACGTGTTTGAAAAAAATTGGTCAAATGCGAGTCGGACTCGAGCACGAAGGGTTACCTTACCATTCATTATCTATACGACATTAGACACTATATTATTATAATTTTCTTTTCCGATTTAGCTGAAATTTTGAATGCGCGTATCAGTAATTTAAAAAAAATGAAGAAACACATTACCAAAAACTGTATTAATCAATAATAAATATGTAAAAATATGTAAAAATTAAAAAAAAATGATTAAAAAAAAGTCGCCTCGACTAGGATTCGAACCTGCCTTACTACGGCTCCAACGTCATAGCAGCGTAAAGTCCTAACGCTTTAACCACGCGGCCACCGAGGACTTGAAAGATTCTATGTAAAATTCTTGCTTAAAAGATAATGTTTAGTGAAAGTACTTTTTATTTATAAACATTTATTTAATTCTGTTTTTAGTATTTGTTCTTATAGCGGCAACATAGATACATTATCTGTAAAAATTTCAACTGTCTAGCTATAACGGTTCATAAGATTGGCCTTTGTGACAGACGGACGGACGGACGGACAGCGAAGTCTTAGCAATAGGTAATAAATATAATTTTTACCATTTGGGTACGGAACCCTGAAAAGAACTAGTCCAGTAAATAAAGACACGAGAAGACCCCAGTCTCGGCGTAATTCATCGACCTTGGCCTTTTAGGCGGATTGTGTACCTTTTGAGGAGTAGTTTTAGGGAAAAAATTGCAACACCGTGCTCATCACCGTGAAAAAATAGTTTTTCGCAAATATCTGCCAAAGTATGCAATTTAAAAAAAAATCTTGGAATAAAAATAAAGCTTAGGTAATTTATCTATAAAAATGATCCTTATAATTTTTTCCGTAGAATTAGTAGCTTTCGAGATATTCAGCTTCGAAGATCCCTGAATTTTCTCTCCAAGTCTTTACGCTCCAGAACCGTTCTAAAACTTGGGGTTGGAACAAACCTAATTTCGCCGAAAGGTATTGTGGATAGGGTTTCCGAAACCTGAGCTGTTTTTCGGAACCAAGAAATTGGGTACCGCGCCTCTTAGGAACCGGATTTTTTTCGGTACTATTTCTTGTTCAATATGATGGTGTAAAAAATGTATATACCTATGTGGCGGATTAATCTCTCCAAAAAAATATTTTATGGGTATTTCGCCACTGCACTGCAAGAAAATCTACAAAATAAAATAGTTATTTTTTGTAAACACTTCTGCATTAAACCTAAACGGACGCTGCTTGTCAGAAGTTATGTTTACAGTAATACAAATTTGCCTGAAAGTTATCTCTTTCCGTCGTCGGAAGCAAAAAAATACAAAGAATAAAGAAAAAAACTATTTAAAATATTTAAATTCAACTATTCCAGAACACTTTACATTTTGAACGCAGATACGTCTACAACTATGGTCTACAACAAAGGTCTACAAGAAACCATTGACGTTCTGTTAAAATGACATATCCAAGTTAAACTTCAAAATTAACAATTACTATCTGATAACAATTACTTAATAAGGTAAAACCAAAAAGCCCCAAACTTTCTGTATGATTATTTTTAATTTTTATGTATGTTATGTTTAATTATGTTATGTTCTTTAAAATCAAAGAAGCGATTGGCATACATTACTAACATCTACAGATGCATGAGCAATACATTTATTTTCATTAGATTGAATTAAAAAAGCCTCTTTTATTTTTCTTTTAGAGGCTATCGCTTCTCTCTCTCATTATAAGTTTTTTTTTCTTGCAGTGCAGTGGCGAAATACCCATAAAAGATTTTTTTGGAGAGATGATGGTGTAGTTCGTCAATCAGAAAGCAAGGGATGATTCGAGGTAAACGATTCGAAATTCGAAGGTAACGATTCCAATGTAAAATGTATCTAATACATTGAACATTGAACAACATTATACTAAATAATAAAATACCATATTTATAAACTTTAATAATTGCTAATAACATTAAAGGAACTTCAAAAGAGAAAAACAGCAAGAACAAAAAGAAATAGCATCACTAGGTAACTTCATTTCCGATGCCAATCTACCTGAACATAAATAAAGTGAATTAAAAGTAACAGTTTACGGTCGTTTTTAGTGCGAAACTTGTGTGCGAGACTGAGAGCGGACAACGAACCAGCCGTAGATAAAGGAATAAAAAAGAACCAGCGCACAACCCTCGCCCAGCACTGTTGCCAACTCTCGGAGATGAATATCCGCTAGTTCGTATATTAAAAACCGCTAAAATCCGCTAGGAGCGATATCGAAACAAATTTTGCCGTGTCGCCATGGTATCGCTTAGTTTTTACCCTTATTTTACTTAGTTTTGTATATTTCTGGTTTTGAACCTTTTGGTAAGGTTTTTATTATGTATTGAGACGGATCTAACGTCATTTAGAAGATTCTAAGCAACTCTAGGCCTAGGTACTTTAAGTATATGTAATTGATAATTACGCGAATATTGGTGCAAATTTTGAAAAAAAATATTGTTTAGAATTTAAATAAAAAATTTTCAGTCAGTTTAGGGTTTTACTTATTTATTATACGGAATTTTAAACCGCTAAAAAAACGCTAGCGGTTAAATTATTTTTCTCCGCTAAACCGAAAAAAAAACGCCAGATCTTGCGAGAAAACCGCTAAATTGGCAACAGTGTCGGCCAATCAGGTTCTCGGCCACAACCTGTGCCTGTGCAACGATATGTATATTTTCAAAATGTATCGATATATCGGAATAAAAATATCGATATGTGCTATCGATATCCAAGTCTCCGATATATCGATATCGAATTTTATCTATATTTGTGCTATATCTAAAACCGTTTAAATCAGGGATTACGTACTATGGTAACGTAGTATATATTCTTTGGTATGACGCAAAGACTAAAGAATACAAGTACTAATAGCAACAAACAGTGCCGTGGCACATATTTTTCTTAACATAGCCGCTTTAAGAGATATTTATAATTGATAAATGTTTTGACTACGCCTATGGTGTATGCAGTGGTATCATACTAATTAATTACGAAAAAAACACGTATTAAAATTTTGACAGAAGGTACAAAACTAGTATCGACGTGTAGCACATATCAAGTATAGGGTGGGCCAAATTGGACGCTTTTAAATGGAAACATCCTTTTCTATAGCAGATAGACGAAAACTAATGTATCTGGAACTCTATCAAAAATAAAATACCGGGTGTTTCATAAGAAAAAATATAACTTTGGTATGGATCTTAGTTCTGAATTACCCTGTATAATTCAAAATAATTTTAATTTTGTTTCTACATCTTTCCGTTTTCGTATAATCAACCGAGGCGAATGAGCTGCGCCACCCTGTATAAACATGTGAATAGCTAACTTCAATCAATTTAACCTTCAATAATTGCTCCTATATTCAATCAGTTACGAGTTTTCCAATACATTTTAAAACCAACTTGAGAAAAAAAGTAAAAATGTTTAATCTTCTATATATCGAAGTATCGACATCATCCTTACTGATAGCGATATTGATGAAAATAGCCATCCCTATTTGTGCCTCGGGGTCTTAGACAAAGAAAGAGACCCTCTATCTTTGTCAGCTCGGCGTCGTTCCCCACTGTTTCCAAAGCTGTAAGGTTGAAAATCGCAAATCATACGTTTTCGTGTCGTCTGCACATATTCGTCATCATATTATTTATAGACCCGTTGCCTGTGCCGTTGCAGTGAAGAACTGCTAATTCTCGTTTTGATATTTCTATCAGTTAATTTTTCACGGTTAAGGATTGACTATACGTTATTCTACTTATACAAAACAAATACACATTAGATATTAAGTAGAAAAATATATTTTAATATGGCCACAATTATTAAAAAACGAGCAAAAATAAGTCTTTTATGGAATTTTTTTACTCCCTTGGAAAAAAATTACGCAAAATGTAATTTATGTCGAGCTAAGTTGTCGTACAAGTCAACCACGACAAATTTAAAAAAACATATATTGTTTAAACATCCTACAGTTAAATTACCTATCTTAACAGGATTTTCAAAAAAATCAACTACTCCGGTAAGTACCTATTAAGTCCTTTTGTAGGTAGGCAGGTATACTTGGTTTTTATTTTATATTTTACCAGTTTATCGTGATCTGTTTGTTTTCATTTTAATTTTGTTACTGATAACAGTTCTAAAAAATCATTTCTTTTTCAATATTTTGGCACAAAGAGTTATTAAACGGTTTTATTTAGCTCGACCCGTACGGTATTTATTTATTTGGGTCAAAATTAGAAATTGAAATTTAAGTACCTTCCTGTTGTCAGATTGATCTGAAATTTGGTACACACCTTTAGTTCCGATGACAATACAATATAGTAATATCAATAACATTGTAAATCTAAGATGGCCGCCGGTACAAAATGGCGGATTTCATATTTTTCCACAACCCCCTCAATATGGGTATCAAATGAAAGGGCTACACTAGTAGAATACTGTGATCATGACAAAATTTAAAATCCAAGATGGACGTCGTTACAAAATGGCGTATTAGGTGAGGGCATGAGTAATCGTGTCCAGAACAGTTGTGTAAAAAATTAACGTTAAATTGTGTTTTTTTTTTATTCTCTATAATAAATAGTAGGAAATTTAATTCTCTACAAAATCTATCTTTGATTTATTTTGCATCTCTCTTAGATAGCAATAAAACAATCTGGTCAAAGCAACTTGTCCTAAACTTCTCATCATATGAACGTGTTTAGAACGATTTTTGAAATAAAAAGTAATATTTCTCGATTTTGCTGTCTCGAAAATCACGAAATTACAGAGTATCAAATATTTCGGCATCTAGAAATACCAGCGTCGTTACATAAATACGCACATGCCGCTTCAAGTGTTTTTTTTTCTTTTCTTAAGGTTTTTTTTTGTAATTAATTAGTATGATACCACCTAAATAAGCATACACCATAGGCGTAGTCAAAACATTTATTAAAAATATAAATATCTCTTCAAGCAGCTAAGTTAAGAAAAATATTCAAAGGATACCACGGAAGTCGATTTATTAACGTAACATTTTATTTAATTATTAATTTACCTTTTCCGTTCATATTTCCAGAAGCTATCAGTTCCCTCTCCAAAGGAAAATTGTCAAACAGATGAAGATATTGAAATCGAGGAGACCCACCTCGAAGTTAGTGATATCAAAGAGGAACACACAGAACACACTTTACCTGATACTGTTGAACCGTCTTGCCCGGCCGTCACAAACCTCAACAGACTACACCCGTCGACTCTTGAACCGTCTTGTCCGGCCGTCACAAACCTCAACAGACTACACCCATCGACTATTGAACCGTCTTGTCCGGCCGTCACAAACCTCAACAGACTACACCCGTCGACTATTGAACCGTCTTTCCCGGCCGTCACAAACCTCAACAGACTACACCCGTCGACTATTGAACCGTCTTGTCCGGCCGTCACAAACCTCGAAAGACCACGCCCATCGGTCACGCAAGAGGATAGTCCAGGTGAAAAACCATTTGATATTTTCGGAAAGTACGTGGCTGCGGAATTACATCAGTTGTCCGAACGACACGCCATTCTGGTTCAGCAAGAAATACAAAACTGCATTACCAAAGCCAGATTGGCATGTTTGGACGATAAATCAAGTTCTCCGGTTGAGGTTATGTACATTGATGTTAGACCTTCTATATCTTCGAATTTGATCGAGTCTACATGTAAGGATTCAAACGATGCAGTTTTTAACAATTAAAAAATTCAGATTAATAAAAATGTATTTGATTCACAACAGTAAATCTATTAAATAAATAGACTATAAAGAATATACTATTTTTAATATTCATGTATTAAAGATGGAAAGGACGTGTGATAACCATTTAAAAAAATATATGTTTCTAATAAAACTAACAAAGTTATAATAATTATTTAATATCAAAAATACCAGATATGCAAATGGAACACCGAAGTTAAACTGAGTTAGCCAAATTATTTTTGACAAGTAGTATCGAACATGCAAGAAAAATATATAACTAGTTAATTCTTAGTGAATTTCATAATTGATTGGTTTGCTACACGTAACGTAGAGAGATCTACAATCTATAATAAACTTTTTTAAAGTCTTTTGATAAGAATTCTTGATAAAGTCACTCCCATCACTCCTAATTTAAGTTCAGATACAAGATCCTCCTAGATAACTACCTCTGAACAAAAGCAATCGTAGACTAAATAAAATAAGCCCATCAAATCCGCAGAATTTTAGATCAAATTCAATATGTCAATTGAAACAAACATGAATGTCGATTCCACCCTCTAATGCATGGATTTATAACATTAAAAGACTCATTTAGGTTTTTTATTCAAAGATTAGCTTATTTATTTTTATTAGAAATATTTTTTTTTAACAATTTTAATAACTAGGTATATTTATTGACTGAACATAAAACATTACAAGCAAATTATTAAGTATTTTAAGACGTTTTAGAAAAAATAAAAAGCCACTGATAAACTGGAATTCTGTTCTCTCTTGTCTTTTTATTTAATATATGTTTTCTATGATATCCTTTTTATTTCTAGTTTTTATAACTAAGCGTTCTCCAACCCAGTGTGAGTACATTTCAATTGCAAAACCTCTAAGGAGGGGTAGGGGACTCAAAACCTCACAATCTTTTCAAAATATTTATTCAAAAAGACAGAAGTCACGGCAAACGTTTGGGCCTGATGATGGGAAGTAACTGATTCCCGAAACATGTTGCCCCATTTTTAAACAGAATTATTTGTGAGGTTGTGTTATCCCCCGTTAAAAGTTTTGAAATCTAGTTTTTATAGTTCTTTAGCCATATTCAATATGTATGTATTAGTAATAAAACATTTTACGTACCTGTATTTTATTGAGCGAAACTCCAATCACTTTATTAGTTTCTTTATCTATTGCAATAACGGATACGCCATGTTTGGCTATGTCAATTACAAAATCATCCAATTCGTCCACAGCTTCATCATTTTTGGACAATCCCACCGCCTTACAAACGTTTTCAAATTTGAAAAAAGATTCTTTTAATGTCTGTAAAGTCTCGCTCAAACGGTTAGCTGTAAGACTAACGTATTCGGTTTTTCCTATAAAGGATTAAGTCTCAATTAATTAAAGTCAATTATTTTTGGCCTGGTGCATTTTATAACAAAAAATGCACGGTATACATTTCATATTAAAGATTAGTAATTGCAATTTAAGTTACTGTAAATAAATTATAAAACTAAGTTTGAAGGCATTAAAAATGGATTGAAAAATGGATCATTGTTAAAAAACAATTCAATTTGGTTGAGTTTTTATTATCATGCGTCATTCATTTGTGTTTAATATTAGAATTAAGCATATTATTGCCTAGAATGTCCATGCAAACTCATATATCATATTATCGTGCATACATTTTCATCTTATAACCAGTCATAAAAAATATATTTACTTTTAGAAAGGAACGAAGCAATATCTTGAAAAACTTAAAGAATTGATAAAAGTTGATAAAAGTAAAAAAATTCTTACCTCTAATTTGATATATGTGACACAAACAACATATTTAAGTTTGTTTTATCACTTCAAATGTCCATGCAAGTATACAGGATCATTTAAGTTTAGTAAAAGACAGTACTTTAGCTTTACGACCCAATCTGTCAAGGTTAGCGCAAGTTAAGCGACGTTAGACGATATGAGTATATGGACGGACAAACATCTGGAAAGTGAGGAAGTAGAGGACAAAATAATTAATGTAAAAACTGCTTAATGCAAAAACGTGTCTTTTTTTATTTGAGACCGTTTTTCTTCGACACGTATAAACTACATGTTTTAAAATATATTTTTCTTATAATATTTATGTTTAAATATCAATAATACAAAGTTACAAATCAAAAAAAATTAAAATATTTTGTTTTGTGTGAAATTATTGATGATGAATATCGATATACAGGGTGTTTCAAAAAACATGTGCCCTCCCTCGTGGGGAGATTCCTCACGTAAAAATATGATATATTTTTCATTTCAACATAGGTCCGATTCTGCTTTGTTTCGTAGTTACAGGGTGTTAAAATCTTAATAATATTTCGATTTATTATAATTTTCTTCCAAGTACCTACTTTTAATGATTTGAATGAAATTTTGGAGGTAAAATTTATTATAAGTGTTACATATTTTAATGCTAAAAGTTTCAATAAATTCATCAGGGACGTGCATATGGGTTATATTACCACTAGAATATTTTTCAAAAAAAAAACGTGCGCCACTGACTTTTTTCTTTTGATATCAAAATTGTGTAGGCCCTTTAATAATGCCAATTAAAAGTATGTAGTGTGATATTTTGTCCAATTCGGCCTTCTTGATGAGATAAACGCAAATTTATTAATTACAATTATTAAATAAAAAATTAAAACCATATTATTACTATTAGTCCATCATACAGCAATTTGAAATAAAAAAAATAATGGCATTTAAGATAATTACAAAAAACCTTTATTATAAAAAGTTTTAACATCCTGTAACTCTAAAACTATGTATTTCTATACCCAGGTTTATAGGAACTTTTTTTATATTTTTTATGAGGAATCAGTGAGTACTTTTTTAAAGGTTGCTATTAGACTTGGAACAAGTCAAATTAATAAAATTGCGTTTATCTCATCAAGGAGGCCGAAATCGACAAAATATCAAGAGACAATTTTTAATCGGCGTTAAATTGCTTACACTATTTTGCTAACAAGAGAAAAAAGTCAGCGGCGTACATGCTTTTTTTAGAAAAATATATCATAACCCATATCACGTCCCTGGTGAATATGTCGACGGTTTTTTAGCTTTAAAATATGTAGCATTTATAATTACTTTTATCATCAAAATTTCATTCAAAACCACCATTTCATTCAGATCTACCACCCCTTAAAATACTTGCACTTATTTCTGGGACATCCTGTATAAAATGACAGCGATCTTCTTTTCATAGCCATCGCGGACGCCGTTTTTTTTTTCATCATACGGTATATCGGGTGCTCTCATTCATATCCGGACGTTCAATTGTTTTTGGTCACTTCCTGTTTCACCGGAAATGACTACAACTTTTGGTTTTTAAATGGCACCCTCGGTATTTTTTTTTACTTTATTCGATAGAAAATGACATTTTGAATAGAATGACATAACATATGTCAAATTTTGACATTCTCGCTTATTAAAAAATTGTATTTTAAATTTCAATCTAGAGTGCCATGGCTATGTTAAAAACGCTAATACTTAATCAAGGACCCTCGGAAAAATAGATTTGATCGTCTAATGTTTTTTGTGTCTTGTCCTGGCCAGTTAGAAAATGCTCAAATCGTATTTTTAATCATATCTCAATTTTTTCAAATGGAACGAGGGTGGCTCATTAGCATATTTGAAAAAAGCATTTTTTTACGAATAATTTGATACCACACACTTGGTATTTCGAGTTAAATTTTCGTTACGAACCGCAAATTATAATTTCAAATAAACCATATGCGAAAATGTCAAAAATTGACATATGATATGTCATTCTATTCAGAGTGTTATTTTCTATCGAATAAGGAAGTGACCGAAAACAGTTGAATACGTCAATCGATCCTAATTTATGTCGTTTACTAACATACCAAATCTCGTTTTTTTAACTGAAAAAATAAAAAAGTTATAAAGGTGAGCCACTTTTGAGACGCACCCGATATATATTATATAAGTATATGTTGTCTAGAGTTTTAAATATTCATAAGTAAAATATGGTTTTTTTGATATAACTAGATCGCCTAAACTTTGTCCATCGTACAAGAACTCGTCATAATACATTTTCGATCCTACTTCGAAATTCAAATCTTTCGCTATTTTCCGATTTGTTTGTGATGTAAAAATACCAGTTACTATATCAGGGGGATTTCCAAGATTTAACTTTTGATTGTTTATTGACACTTTAATATTATTGCCGGCTCTCAACTGTTTGGCAATGTCTACTGACACTTGGACCAACTTTTTCGCTACATGTTGCTTTTTAAAATACGGCAGGACTCCGAGAAACATAATCTCAAACAGGCTGGTAACACCACAATGTTCGAAAATATCGAACTTGGTTTTGGTGTCGGCTATCCAGGTGGCGAGTTTTCTAGAAGCTGGATATTTTAGAGTTTTTGTAAATTCTTGATAGAATGCGGAGTCAGTCTTGTCCTAAAAATGATTATTTCTCCATTAGGTAATGCTAGAAAAACATAATTTTTTCAAAACATTTAATAAAAATATGCAAGAAAACAAAAACTAATGCTAAGCTACACTCTGCATACTCGTTATGCAATAATTAATAATATACTACAGGGTCTGGCAATAGTGTGTCGGGCATCTGTAATTCCTAGAATACAAAAATTTGGGAATTTTGTTTAAGTGTAAACCTAAGGTATGTACAAGGATGTGTTTCAGGAAATCGATCCACTCACGCTTTTTTGAGCCACCCTATAAAAGTTAAAATATTTTCCTAGAATACATCCTAGAACATACTTTAGATTTGCAGTTAAACAAAATTCTTAAGTTTTTTATTTTTGCCGGACCCCGTATATTAGATATAGCTAAATTACTATAAATCTTGCCTGTAATTTGTTTAATGCGACTCCGATCACGGCGCCACTGGCTACGTCGACAGCAACGATCGAGACGCCATCTGCAGCGGTCCTTCGAAGCAGAACTTCGAGTTCGGAAAAACACTCTGTTTGATTGTATACATCGAAAGCCTTGCAAACAGTTTCTTGTGCGTAGAAAGAATCATCAATGAATTCTATAACTTGTGGATATAATTGTTTTGTAAGAGACACATACGCTATAGAATCTTAAAATAAAATTACTTAAATTTTTTAAAATAAGTGTTAGAAAATAGCAAACATATACTTCATTAGCTACGTTTATGGAGAACCGTTTATAGATTTTTCGTTGAAAATTTGGATTGGAGATTGGATTTATTTGTTTTATAACGTATTTTACTTATTACATATTGGCAAAAACAAGTCCATTATGAAGATTATTATAAGCGTTATTATAGGTTATTTATTTATCGATGTACATCTTACAACGCTAAAAGTGGTAATAACAAATAAGAGGGTGCTATTGTCATCGATGTTCATTTCCAAGCCAACTGGAGGCAGTTTTTTTTTCTATTGTACAGTATAATTTGTAGTACATTTACCTATATATTATTTTTCTTGAATTTAAAAGTTACTTGTCACAAAGGCTTGGCAAAATATATGTATGCTATTTCCGTATTTCTTATACCTATAAAACCTCTGTATGAAACCATAAAGGATAATACTAATAACAATTTTAGACATGAAATCATTTCTTACCATCTTCACTGGTGGCCCATGTAACTGGATCGTTACTCATTTTCCTTAACTTAAATTACACCCAATTATTTTTTTTTCTTTTATCTCTTGGTTATCAACAAGGACAATGTATTCTGTGATGTTTCCAGATGTTTCTATCCATGATCTATGCTATGCCAAAGTTTATCTATGTGCTATGTATCTCTTATTTTTCTTCTATTTATAAATCATTTATCTATGCTTTCACGTAATTTTGAAATTCGTGTTTGTTCTTTACTAAATCAATGTTTATAGTGATTAATATTTTGTATTTTATTTTTCTACCTACTTATACAGTATGGTGAGTACCAGCTGTTTTCTGTTTTTGTTTTTGATCTGTGTTTTTGATAAAAGTTCGAACATAACCACAGAATACACTAACAAAAAACATAGCCTCCAAATGGCCTCCAACCTCCAAGTAGGGATGTTCCATTTAAATCGATTCTTCAGAAAGTCGATCTTTTGACAAGGAAATATATATTTTTTTAAATATACAGGGTTCTATAATAGGGTGTCTTCAAAAAAGTTACCTACACATAAAAGTTGTGATTTTTGTAATTTCTACAGGGTGAGTCTTAAATAAGTGCAAATATTTTTAGGAGTAGTATATTTCGACTCCAGAAACACGTCTATGAGGTTTTTTCGCAAGAAAAAAATTGAAAATTTGGAATTTAAAAAAAAAACAGTTCGATTTTTTTTTAGATTTTAGCTGAAAAATATAATTTCCTGATAATGTGGCAACATAGGTGGTAGATTAAATTTACAACAAGACCCAGAAAAGATCCAGCCAATTTTCAAAGTAAAATAACTCGGTTATTTTGGACTTACTTGACAAACGGTAAAAAGAAAATATTATTATGTTTCTTTTAAAATCACGATTGAAGACTCACGAGAGATGGCACATGTTTTTTTGAAACATCCTGTATATTACATAACATAATTAGATTCTTAATAACGTAATAATATAAATAAATTTGCCTTTAGGAAATGGTGTAAAATGAAAATAATGTATAAATAAACGAGGGGGAATAAAAACTACTTTCTTACAGTCTTAAATATTCATAAGTAAAATATGGTATTTCTTGTCCCACAAGGTCGCCCAAACTTTGTCCATCGTAAACGTACTTGTCAAAATATATTTTCGACCCTATTTCGAAATTCAGGTCCTTCGCTATTTTTTGCGTAGCCGACGATGTAAAAATACCAGTAACTATTTGAGGAGGATGTTCCAGATTTAAATCTTGATCATTTACAGGCACCAAAACGTTATTACCAGCTTTCAGCTGCCGTGCAATGTCTATTGACACCTGGATCAATTTTTTTGCTATGCCTCGGTTTCTAAAGGAGGGAACGACACCAAGAAACATGATTTCGAACAGACTGGAGACGTTGCAATGATCGAAAATGTCAAATAATTTTTCAGTATCGGCTATCCACATTGCGACTTTTCTAGAAGCTGGATATTTTAGAGTTTTTGGATATTCTTGATAAAAATCCGAATCAGTCTTTTCCTGAAAATTATTGTTATAATTGTAGGTACACAATTCGTTCGAAGGCAATGCTGACTAAAGAATATAAGGACATGCAACGCCCATATACGGGCTGCAGCAGTATTTGTGATCTTAGACGCCATTCTTTTGATGGCAAACAATGAGTCATCATCTGTCACCAGCGACAATTTTAGCGATTTTTAATAGTTTGTGTGTAGTGAACTTTGTATAAACTTTATTACAATGGTGATTAGTTGTTCAGCTTTCAAGTGTAAAAGCAGCAGCGAGTTACGTTTTCATAGGTAAATAAACAATCCGCTCCACCTTTTTAGCGTTTTCTTAGTTTTCTTACTGAATTCGATAATTATTTTTCTGATATTATATATACTTGATGTACCTAGTTTTGTACCTTTTGTTAACATTTTAATACGTTTTTGTCGTAATTAATTAGTATGATACCACCGTATACACCATAGGCGTAGTCAAAACATTTATCAAAAAATATAAATATCTCTTCAAACAGGTAGGTTAAGAAAAATATGTGCCACGGCACTGTTTGGTGACATCGTCACAATTTTCTCTCGGGTGTTATTTGTCCTTGGATTCTTTAGTCATTGTTAGAAGGTATACGTACATACTAGGGTTTCCAGAACCTATAAAAAACGTAATATGAAATGACATAAAATGCCATACAATAAAAAAAGGGCGTCAAAGACGACTAGGGAATGACAATCGACAGTAATTCTAGTCCAGTCTAAAGGTTGATTCTCACTATACGTTCCGTGTCCCTCCCATATAGAGGTGGGAATTCCAGTCCCGTGGGAGGAACTAGTTCCTTAGTTCTAGTTCCTCCAGAGGAATAGTTCCTTGAACAAGGTCTTTAGTTCACAATAGTCCCCGACTAACATTGACATCCCCGTTGCTAATGGGTTTCGTTGTCAGTTAAAATTAATTAATTAATATTAATTATTAATTATTTTTAATACTGTTAAAATATTTCTCGGTTCTCAACCCTAGTACATACTTAAGTGATCTATATTATCACATTCACATGTTATATGCTACATACTCCTTACGAAATAAAATACTATAATAAACCTTGCCTCCAATTTGTTAAACGTGGCACCAATCACTGCGCCACTGGTTTTGTCTAAAGCGACGATCGAAACGCCATCTACAGCAGCCTTACGAAGCAGAATATCGAGTTCGGGGAAACACTCAGGTTGATTAGCCACATGGAAAGCCTTGCAAATTGTTTCTTGTGTGTAGAAATACCCGTGCATTAGTTCTATAGCTTGTGGCAATAATTGTTTGGTAAGAGGTGCATACACTACAGAATCTTAAAGTAAAATTAATTAAATTTTTAGATCGATGAGTATTAGGAAATAGCAAATATATATTTTATTTATGTATGAAAGTTTTTTACAGAATATTTTTAATTGTTCTGAAATTACAGGGTGGCCCATCGAAAACGTTCCGCAAGGCATAACGGCCAGGGTATTTTTTTTTCAAAAATCCAAAAACACGTCAATTTTGTTTGTGAGGGGGACAACTTTTGCCCCAAAAATGATTGCAAAATCTTTAACAGAGTCTTGACCCCCCATCCCATTTGAAAAAAGTTGGGGGATGACGATGACACCCCCGCTTAGAGGGTTGAAGATTTTACAATCATTTTTGTGGTCCATCTGTTGTCTGTCTTTGCCAGGTGTTGGGATTGGATGCTGTGGATGACATCTATTATCTGGGTCTTTTGTCGTATCCACTCTATTCTTTTGCGGTTTCTCTTGATTATTCCCAGCATATTTCGTTCCATTGAGCGTTGTGCGACCTGCAGTTTACTTATAATGTCCGTTTTACAAATTTTACGAATTGCTTACCAAAATATATGCATGCTATTTCTTATTTCCATATACAGGGTGTCCCAGAAATATGTTCAAGTATTTTAAAGGGTGGTAGATCTCTATAAAAGAAACATATTTTCCCTTTATCGTTTTTCAAATAAGTCCAAAATAACGTTATTTTACTTTGAAAATTTCCAAAAAAAATGATTTTTTACTCAAATTTTGAGAACCACTGGATTTTTTCTGGATTTTCTTTCTTGTAAATTTGATCTACTACCTGTGTTGCCATATTATCAAGAAATTATGTTTTTTAACTAAAAACTAAAAAAAAATTTTTTTCGAAAAATTCTGAATTTTCAAATTTTTTTTTCGCGAAAAAAAACTCAGGCGTGTTTCTGGGGTTGAACTATAGTACCAGTTAAAATACTTGCACTTATTTCTGGGACACCTTGTTTAAAACTAAAAAGTAATGTTAATGAATTATTTCTTTACCATCTTCATTGATAGCCCATTTAATGGTTTCGTCGCCCATTTTACTACAGATTAATTACACTTTGTTTAGAGTTTTTAACTAAGTCTACTTGTGTCTATTCAAAAGTGCAAATTAACAAAAATATTTAAATTCCCATTTATCTTATCAAATAGAATAATTAGATATGTGACTTATCTTTAAAAAAACACTTACGTAGGTATTTTGATAATTTAAATATTTTCTTTTCAGGCGGGTTGACAGGGTCCAAGTCAATGACTAAAGAATCCAAGGACAAATAACACCCGAGAGCAAATACGATGTCACCAAACAGTGCCGTGTCACATATTTGTCTTAACTTAGCTGTTTGAAGAGATATTTATATTTTTTGATAAATGTTTTGACTACGTCTATGGTGCATACGGTGGTATCATACTAATTAATTACGAAAAAAACGTATTAAAATGTTAACAAAAGGTACAAAACTAGTATCGACGTATAGCACACATCAAGTACGTATAGTATCAGAAAAATAATTATCGAATTCAATAAGAAAACTAAGAAAACGCTTAAAAGGTGGAACGGATTGTTTATTTACCTATGAAAACGTAACTCCTGGCTCTTTCTTATCGCTGCGACTTTTACACTTGAAAGTTGAACAACTAATCACCATTGTAATAAACTTTATACAAAGTTCACTACACACAAACTATTAAAAATCGCTAAAATTGTCGCTGGTGGCCAGCTGATGACTCATTCTCTGCTATAAAAAAAATGGCGTCTATATAATGTTACAAATGCTGCTGCAGCCTGTATATGGGCGTTACATTTCCTTATATTCTTTAGTCATTGCACTAGATTGTGTTTGTCGCCGAATATATGCCCCGGCCCGTGCACGATTCAATCCCAGCATATATTTTATCTTCGTCTCTTCAACGCTAACCGCGCCGATCTCGCCTATCTCTTTCTCACAGGATTGATTGTTGAACGGGCCGGGAATCCACGAGCTTGCGACATTACTAATTGACATCTTGATAGAAACTGCAGACCTGCCTCTTCTTTTGCGTGTTTTTAACGAATACAAATCGAAAAAAAAACGTTTCAAACGGTAAAATCGCAAAAAACGCTTTCTGTGTGGCCGTGGGCTAAAAGCGGGTTGGAACGGTCCGGTACTTGGATCAAATACACTTGGACGCTGTTTGTATGGGTTAGATGGTGGATATATTTCTTAAAAATAAAGTTATAATCACATTTTAATATATTATGTTATATTAAACGTATAATATCAAACATATAATACTATAATCGGTAATACTCAAAAGTAAAGAAAGGAGTTTGTGGACCTATAACCTCACTCAAAGGCCGACCATCATAAACGAACCAGTCAAAATACATTTTCTTTCCAACTTTGAAGCTCGTATCTCTGGTAATTTTTTGAGTAATAAATGAGGTAAGAAGAGCTGACACGATTTCTGGAGGCCTTCCTATATCCAGCTTTCTTTCATCAACGGATAACTTAACATTGCGACCAGTTCTCAGCTCTCTAGCTAGTTCTATAGAGACCTCAAACAATTTCTTTGCTATGCCTCGTTGTCGAAACGTTGGAAGGATGCCAACGAACATAACTTCCATCAAACTGTCAATTTTGCAATGTTCGTAAATGTCGAACATACGGTCTGCGTCTGCCATCCATTGGACCACTCCTTTTGAAGCTGAATATTTGAGGCATTTCGCGTATTCGGAGAAGAAATCTGAATGACCCGATTCCTAAAAAAATGTTTTTATGAGTAAAACAAAGTGCTTGAAAAGAAATTAATAAATAATAGTTACCAGAATAAGTGCAAGAAATTCAGGGGGTGATTGCTTGTGAGTTTTGGTCTTGGTCTTGCATATGCCCATCACTACTGATGGGATAGGTTATAAAAATAGATAATTTTTATAATTTGAATCATAAATACTTTACTCAAGTTTATAGTTTCTAGTTTCTATTAATCTTCTGCTACTTATAATATACAAAATGATATAGATTAGGCGTTCTTCAGTTTTTTTTATATGTAGATAAATAATGATGGCAATCGGCAACTTTGATTGATTGAACAACTTGTATATGATATATCCAAGTAACCATAACACTTCAAAATACGATTTTATTATCAAATCCCATTTTTTAATACTGTAAACCTTTTTTGGATAAAAAAAGTCCCCGATTTTGTTAAATAAATTTATTTAACAAAATTTAATTAAAGATGTGACAAAATAGTTACATTTCTATTGGTTCTATCGGACTTTTTTCGACTATATAAATCTTTATTTTTTGTAAACTCTAATGCATAAAATATTTTCAATCTAATAAATAATTTAATGATGTAAATAAGAGGAAATTTCTCACATGGGTGGTCAAATTCTATAGTTTTCATTATATCAAACAGCCTCTGAATGTTTTCTTCAGTGCAAAACTAATCAAAATTTAATATAAATAATTTTTCCAGCCTGTAAATAAAATGAACAAATTTTTCCACTTTCATGATCAAAGGCTTTTAAATGGGTAAATAATTTCGAGTTATCCAGAGATTCGGATTCTTTTGCAAATTTTAGACAAATATCACATTGATGTATTTGAAGACCCTTTTTAATGATGTAGTCAAACATAATTAAAGGCATTTTGAGTTGAAAACATTTCTCAGAGGCTGTTTGATATAATGAAAACTATAAATTTATATATTTATTTTTATAAAACTATAGGTAATATTGTAATTTTGATTCGGCCTATATACTCGTACATAGAAGCAAATAACTTTGTAGGAAAAAGGGCACTTAATTTTGCACTGATTCGTCCATTTTTTGCACTTATTCATTGACATCCCATATACCGTATGAACGAAAAAAAAAAACGGAGTCCGGATGGCTGGGAAATGACGATCGATGACATTTCCCATACCTATAAATTTATTATATAAAATGACAGCCATCTTCTTTTTATAGCCGTATACCGGGTGCGTCTCAAAAGTGGCTCACCCCTACAACTTTTTTATTTTTCCAGATAAAAAAAAAACGAGATTTGGTATGTTAGTATATGACATAAATTAGGATTGATTGACATATTCAATTGTTTTCGGTCACTTCCGGTTTCACCGGAAATAACTACAACTTTTGATTTTTAAATGGTACCCTCGGTATTTTTTTACTTTATTCGATAGAGAATGACAATTTATTTGAAATTTTAACACGCGGTTCATAACGACAATTTGACTCGAAATACCCCTTGTGTTTGGTATCAAATTATTCGTAAAAAAATGCTTTTTCCAAATATGCTAATGAGCCATACTCGTTCCGTTTGAAAAATTGAGATATGATTAAAAATACGATTTGGGCATCTTTTAACCGGCCAGGACAAGACGCTAAAAACATTAGACGATCAAATCTATTTTTCCAAGGCTTCTTGATTAAAAATTAGTGCTTTTAACACAGCCATATGGCACTCTAGATTGAATTTTAAAATACAATTTGTTTTTGAGCGAATATGTCAAAAGTTGACATATGATATGTCATTCGATTCAGGGTATCATTTTCTATCGAATAAAGTAAAAAAATACCGAGGGTGCCATTTAAAAATCAAAAGTTGTACGCCAATCAATCCTAATTTATGTCACATACTAACATACCAAATCTCGTTTTTTATCTGAAAAAATAAAAAAGTTATTGGGGGTGGGCCCCATTTGAGACGCACCCGGTATAGTATGAGACATCATGATATTATGTTGCATGGTATATAGGATACAAAAATATAACATACTTACTTCTAACTTATTGAATGCCGCTCCTGCCACTACGCCACTGGCTTTATCAACTGCCACGATCGACACGCCGTCTGTGGCCGTTCTGCGAAGCAAACCGTCTAGTTCGGGGAAGCACTCGGGTTGTTGGGGAACCCCACAAGCCATGCAAACGTTTTCGTTTATGTAAAAAGATTTCTGCATTGTTTCTAATGCTTTGGGTAACAATTCTTTAGGTAGGGAAATGTATTCTAGAGAGCCTTGAGGTGGAAAAAATTAAATACTAATTGTACGTACTATAAGGGTGCTATTAAATTCAATAACCAATCATAAATAATGTACTGTTACGGTTGGAGTCGCTAGTTTCTTGACTTAAAAGTATTCTTAATTGTTAACATGCATACAAGCATTTGATTTTTTCAAACTATTATAATTTCATATCAGATATTAAAAGCATACTTGTTCATATAAATTTACTGAAAGTCGTGCTCTTCAAACAATTTAAAATGCATACCCCCCATAACATGCTATTAATATATTATTTATATTACCCCCAGTGGCTTATAAAAGTCTATTTAAAAACATCAAACTACAGACGTTTTATATTATTTGTTATTTGTTTAACAGGGATATCTTATCTTTCCGACCTTCCTTGACTATATATTTTATATCGAAGTATAGTTCACTGCCTTTTATGACGCCAGGTCATATGGTTTATACATATATTACCGAAATAGAAACAGACTTTTTAGAATTTTGTTTCATAAACATTATTATAAATTATAATTCAGCTGTTAATAATGCAGAAAATATTTAAACAAATTTATTTAAACTCCCCCGTGTTTTAATAGCTTTGTATTTAAATAATAAATAATATTACATTTAATGTAATATTTTTAAAACTTATACCTACTTAAATAGAAGACACTTACCATCCTCACTTGTAGCCCATATCTTTGATGTACTCATGTTTAATTTAATTATTGTTTCTAATTATTGTTATCAACTTTAAAAATTAAAGTTAACTGATTTAATACCGTCGGTGTTCCTATTTATATCCCATTCAGTCCAATTGAACAAAATAGTGTCAATTATCTTATGTCGAAAATTATGCAGACTATAAACTAAATGATATTAGCCAACAGCAAAATGATTTTGGAAGATTCGAATATATGAGTATAACAGTGACCATGTCTGTTTAAATCATTACAGGTCACAGTATAACCGTTAAATCATATGTGTTTATTTTGTTTTTCTTTTAAATTGGTGTATTTTATTTAAAAAATTAAAACCGGTTTTTATTAAACTAATAATAGGAAATGCAATATAGCTCTTAGGCAACCAAACATACTTAAAGATTTGTGCGCATGTGTCAAACTTGAAAAGCAAAATAATCACAAAAACAAAATGGTTTCTCGTTTGTGAAATGTGTTTATTATGGCATTTTCCTCCCAAAGCATGATTTTTTTATAATATATATTAAACACAAGTACTTCAAGATTTAAAATAGTACTTTGATGAGTCAAAATTATTGGAAAAAGTGTAATAGTGGCATAACAATCAACCCGCTGCCATCGACGCTGGGGTTCAAGGCACGTTTAAAAAATGTGTATTTTTTAAGTATTTGAACATTTTTGGTTTATTACGCCAGAGTTAGTTAAAGAAAACACTGATAAAATTGACTAAAATATATGACAGCACATATTGTATGTTATATAAATGAGCTATAAAAATGTTTTGTTTATATCTATGCAGTTAGTTTCAACCTTGTGATATTTTCAGAATTTTTGTTACTGGACGAAATATAACACATTAGCGATGAATGGGATTCTGTTGCATTGGCGATGTGGCGAACGAATGTTGATAGATCGCTAGTTTAGCAAAATTGGCTTTTCTGCATTATGAGGGAGATGGTAGGAGGCTGTTGTGTTTGTTCTGATGATAGAGGCTGGTCTGAGAATCCCCTTGTTTATTGTGATGGACAGTCGTGTACTGTTGCAGTTCATCAAGGTAAGCAGAAGAATAAATTGGAAATATATCATGCGAGTGAGGCTGTGTTATGGTTTGTTACTAAAATAACAATGAAGATAACGGAACTTATATGCTATCAATGCTTAGTTATAGTCTGTCCAATAAGTCAAGGAAGATTTCGACAGATGACCTCCAAAAAATGATGGGAAATATAATTTAACTGTGAAATAAAATAACAGACATAACTTACTTAATATTAAGCCCTGTTGTGTGTGTCAGAACATTGTAGTGCTGCCAGAGACCTGTCAAAAGAACTAATGAGGGTTCCAGTCAATATTACGGGCAGTAAAAACGTAAAATTTTCTATACAGATTATTGTATAATGGATGGACCTAAGTTAAGCTCAAAAATTTAATAAACCTCTTTGTAAGCGTTAAAATTAAGAAAATATATGTATTTACAATATTCCGAGCTAGAAACCATGACTTTTTGATTTGACAGTCGACGGTCTTCGCATACAATTTGCGACGTTGTCAATATAATGGTTTTATATGATCTTATCAAGTAATTTTGTTAATTTTACAAAATATACCCCATAAAAATTAATATTTATTGGTGGTTTGGTTTGATTTCCATAGATAATCCTTTTTTTACGTATTAGATAAAAATGTAAAAGAATCAGAAAAATTGGCGTTAAATAGCGGCAACATCGTATAGGGTAATTTCATCATATGTTTGTGTCATCTGTCAAAATTCTTCCGCGGCATCCAATGTACCCTAATTTTATTGCAATATTTTCAAATTTATTGGATAATCGCAGCTTTTTTTGGCTAAAAACCTGTATTTTTGGAAAAAATCGAAATAAAAATAACTTCTACACCCTGTATCTCCGAAACTAAGCATTTTATTACATACATTTATACGAACTTTTTTACTTATTTTTATCTGCAGAATATGCTGCCGAAGTTTCCGGAATACAGTTCGGACCACCCTGTATATTTGTGCAAATTAAATGTTATTAATCTATATTTTTTTTGTATAGTTTTGTTTCCAATGTGAAATTAAATATGTTAAGTTAATGTATTCTAAAGGTGCGTTCACACTGGCTGCGCCGCTCCGCGCCGCGCCGCTCAAATCGTTTTTTTAACATATACTTTTGTGCGCGCTAAAAAATACACTTCAAAAGTACATGTTAAAAAAATATTTTGCGCGGCGCGGAGCGGTGCAGGTTGTGTGAACGCACCTTAATATTTTCATTTTGTGAATATTTACTGTAAATAAGATTCCAATAGATTGTATTATCAAATTATGTACATCATTTTATCACTAAATAATGCATCAAAAATATCAATATACTTGAGAAACCACTCTTTCATATACCTAGATCTGAAACAGAATTTATTTATCATGTAATTTATCTTTATTTTATTTATACTTAATTTTATTTGTTATATTTCTACTACCTAATGTATTTTACAAAAGTTATCTGAATCTGAATCTTAATATAGCCCTCTTTATTATATTTTAGCTTGTTATGGTATAGTTACTGTTCCAACAGGCCCATGGTATTGTTGTAAATGCGAAAGTCAAGAAAGAACTGTTAAAGTGGTAAGTGAAATATGGTTTTATAGCTGTTTCTACAGGTTTATTGTTTGTTATTGCTATACCATTGACCTTTTTTTTATGACACCCTAGCTGAAATCTTCCAGGAATATTGACCATCTTTTTTCTCACATTTTTTTTCAACTAAGAATCTAGGTTTACCGAGATTTTATTTTTAAATGAACTCAGTCATGTGAAATACTTAGATGAAAATAGAGTGTTTTAGTGACGTTTCCATCTAAAGTAAATGTCCAGTGAACTGTACTATTTACACGTTTATATTTGTTTAATTTGTAAAGATATTTGTGTTGAATAAAGAAACTAAGTAAGGAAGAAGTATACCGAGAAAATTAGTGAAACCGCTGAGGTATTTTAATATAATAGCAATTTATTGCTATCCATGTATTCATGTGTGGTAGACGGACAAAGGGCCCTAGGGTGGGGATCCTTGACAGTTCTGTTTGACGATTCATTTGACACATTTGAATTTGATTTGAAGTTTTGTGGATTTATCACTCTTTACTGGGCTTATTTTATGATATTTATTATTTATTCTACTATTGATAGTTGTTTAAAGGTAGTAAATCTAGATGGAAATTGTAGCAGAACTTAAATTAACAGTGACACTATTGCGATTGATCGAAAAAGACTGTAAAATAGTTGGTTGTGTAGCGTGCCTTCGATGTCCCACGGCTTTATGACCGACACTGTATACTTAAATTTATTACTTGCTAATAGAAATTTAAAAATCCTATAACTTTAGTATTTAACTTTTTGCGGGAGCCTCCTATAGTTTCCCTAATAATCGACGAGTGACCCTGTATCATATACATACGTGTAGTAAACCGATCGTTTATGAAATTCACTTAAAATTAACTAATTATATTATATTTTTTCTAACATTTTTGCTTTTATTTACTATTTGTCAAAGAATTTAAGTCGCGTATTTCAAACTCGCAAAAATTGAAATTCGTCGAGGGGCAAAAAAAAACTAAGAAACATGTTACTATGACGTAGCTTCGGTTTCTAATGTATGAACCTGAAAATAATATTGAACTCTTTCTCTCTTCCTTCTTAGTTTCTTAATTCAGTGTTTTGTTTTGCTTAAAATTGATTCATTGGCCATTTATTAGTAGGTTATATCAGTATTAATAAGCTGGCTGTTTGTGATTTGTTGTGCAACAGTGTCGTGTACAAGATGACTATCTTAAAAATGTTCATATCTGCTTCGCAGAAGTGTGAACTGTGTCCCAGTAAATATGGCGCCCTTAAGCGCACCGATAATCAAGGATGGGCCCATGTGGTTTGCGCTTTGTACATTCCCGAGGTTAGATTTGGCAACGTTTCCACTATGGAACCTATCCAGTTGCAGTTGATTCCTCAGGAAAGATTTAATAAGGTAAGCCATACTCCGAGTCTATTCTTGATTTGCCCAAATAAATAATGCTATTTCCTAGTTACACTGTGTTAATATCAATGAAAGAAATACAAGGACATATAACACCCAAGACCAAATTGTTACTATGGCACCAAACAGTGCCGTCGCCATATATTTTCCTTAACTTAGCTGCTTGAAGGGATATTTATATTTTTGATAAATGTTTTAACTACGCCTATGGTGTAGGCGGTAGTATCATACTAATTAATTACGAAAAACACGTATTAAAATGTTAACAAAAGGTACAAAACTAGTATCGACGTATAGCACATATCAAGTACATATATTATCAGAAAAATAATTACCAAATTCAATAAGAAAACGCTAAAAAGTTGGAGTGGACTGTTTATCGTTCCGGCTTTTACACTTGAAAGCTGAACATCACAATTGTAATAAAGTTTATACAAAGTTCACTACACACAACAAATTATTAAAAACCGCTAAAATTGTCGCTGTTGACGAGGTGGTGACTCATCCGTAGGCTCCAAAATGATGGCGTCTAACGTAACAAATTCTGCTGCAGCCCGTATATGGGCGTTACATATCCTTGTATTCTTCAGTCGTTGGTTAATATGTTATTTATTTTTTTTAACGGTAGGTTTGCTATATTTGTGAAGAAAAGGGTAAAGCTGCCAGTTCGAAGTTTGGTGCGTGTATGCAATGCAATAAAGTGGGTTGCAAGCAACAATTTCACGTAACTTGTGCCCAAAGTTTAGGTTTGTTGTGCGAGGAGGCTGGGAATTACCTGGACAACGTTAAATATTGCGGATATTGTCAGCATCATTATAGCAAGTTGGTAAGTTTTAATAAAGTATCGTCACTGATACCAGCTTTTTTTGTGCAATTTTTTTTAAAGAACCCAAACAAGCGGTTAGCATTTTTTAATGGACTTTAGTGCATTTTTCCTTTATAAGTTTTAAAAGTTTGCAGGAAATGGCAAGTATATTTAATAAGAACAATTTCTAATTCAATATTTTTCTCTACTGTCTCTCAATTAATGATAAAGAATGAAAATTGTAATTTTTCAAGATACTGAACTTGTTGCCTTTATCTATACTTAAAGAAAATTTTTTTCTTCATTTTTTTGCATTTTTCTCCATTTTTATGTTGTTCGAATGTTTGAATGTCGTTGTTCTCGTTGTTCGAATAAAAATTGTTGTTCGAATACATATCATTCGCAAAGTCTAGTGCCAGAACTAGGTTCTTCTGATATAAAGACTATATCTTCATTCCCGAGAATCTATAATCGTTGTCAGAAAACGTGTTGTTTTATATATTTTTTTTTGAAATGGTTTTGTTTCCAAATTCCTACTTACATTTTGATCTGCAGTAAGTACTTTACACTTTGACATTAAAATAAAAAAAAATCTGAAATAAATAAAAAAAATCTGATTTTTTCCAACCCTGTAATAAATAGAGGAAACTAGAACTACCCTGAAACTTTCCCAAGCGTTTTTTTTAGTGCAATTTAACTAGGCTAATAGAGATCTATAGAAACATTTATTTCATGTAAGGTTTCGAAAATTTGTTCCAGAAAAAGGGCGGTAACGTGAAAACGATTCCGCCGTACAAGCCGATCAGCGACAGCCACAATTCGGACTCGAATTCCGAAAGAGAGTCCGAAGGGGGCGCGTCCGGCTCGAAGAGGGGCTCCTCGCCGTCGTCGTTCCGGAGAAAGTCCGGCTCCAGCGGCAAGAGCAGTTCGTCCAAGGTGCCCAATTCGTCCAGCAAGTCGTCTGGGTCTTCGTCGCAGCAGAAGACTACTCACAACAATACAAAGGGGTATGTAAGGTGGTACCGGGACCGGGCGCGTCTTAAAAGTGGCACACAAGTAGCAGAATTAATCTTAAAATTTAAAATCTAACAGATACATTCACAGCTTTGTTTTTTTACCCAAATTTAGTTTTTTTTTTTAAATTGGTTTGATTATTTTTTTAACCTGTTACATTTTTTCTATATTTTATTTTTGTAACTTCAAAATTAAAGACTTTAATAAAAAAACAGAGAAAAAACTTCATTGTGTTGGTAAAATGTTAATTGCAGTTATAGTACTATTCTTTTAAAAGTTCCTCAATATGGCCGACCTAGTTACGAAAATTGGTAATTTTTTTTTAATGAAAAATAAGTTGGTGTTAGCGAATTCAGAAATTGATTTACTCTTTGGTTAACAATAACATTTTTCAGGATTGTCAAGTTGACGTTAAAGTTAGGTTATTAGGTGGTTGTCATAAAATCATAAATAAAAACATAGATTATTGAAATTATTTAATAAGAATAAAGGTATTTACCGCAGATCCGAAGAGATTTTACTTAAAGGTATTTTATAAACTTTCTCAGTCAGAATATTAACTCCCCCGTGTCTTATATTTCAGTTAAAGGGACGTAAGAACTATAGGAAGTGAATTTTTGTTTTCATGTTTTGCCGATATCTGAGAATTCCTAGAATTATCAAGATTATTGAATAATTATAGTTGTTTAATAAGTGAAATTAATAGAAGACTTGGAAATAGGCAGATGCTTTTCATGTTATGGTTGATAGATCACCCCATTTCTCTTAATTTGTTTTTATTTCAGTACAGTTAATCACAAATTGAATTGATGTGTGCAAAAACAGCTATATATTTTCAAACATCTTATTTAAATAGTTCTTTTATATACTGTTAAACTGTATCAACTACAAAGTATTTAGCAAAAAATTATAAGGTAATAAATTTTGTATATATAATTTATAAAAATTTATAATATATAAAGATTAGAACACAATCCTCTGAAGGAAAAAGAAATACTCAAAAACTCATTAAATATACTTTATTAAAAATAACAACATACAAAAACATCTATGCAAACTGTAATAATCAGAACATTATCCACATTATACCTTTATTAAATTTGTGTCCACACTCCTGTCAGGAAAGCCAGAAATGTTTGTTTAAATATTAACTTATTTTAAATTGCCAGAAACACATCAGAATATACCTATCACAACAACAACTATAGGTTAATCTGTACTAAATTTTATACCTAGTAAGTGATGCGTTAACTAACAAGTATAGGATAAAAAACAATTATTAATATATAGTGTACTATACAATGTCCTGCTTATTTATGAAATGACTTTCCCTTCAAATGTGAGGAATACCAGTAAAATAAAACATAATTTTTGGTTTAGTTTGGTGTTTGATATTCTAACTACATCTATTACAAACCTTAAGTGCTTTTAGTGAGTAACTGTATTTTTTATTATTGTTTGTGTATCCTGTAAAGTAAAAAATATATATTTCAAGAAATATAAAAACAATGCAATAGATATCAAAGAGATTCATAAAAACTACTTACAATTATTGTACATAATTATATATTTCAAGTGTTATTTGATGTTTGGTCCCATTACCAACATTACCTTATTTAGGTCTTCTCTACTAACTCAACTTTTAAACCTGTTTTAAACCTTCTTTATATTTTAAAACTGATTTACAACAACCTGTAATGCCCGCGCTGTTTCCTGAAATATAAGTTTTAATCTATTTATTATCATATTATAGTACATATTACAAACCTCAAAATTACTGATACGAGGAAACTTCTCAAAATAATTAGAGACCTTTTTACAAACATCTGGACTAATTTATTTTCACGAATTTGTGAACGAGTCAATGTTTTCTAATACGTTTTTAAGCGTTTTACATATTTTGAATATCTTCCAGCCTATTCGTCAATTCTTGATCGGTGAAAAGATTATTTATAACTATATAATTAGTACTGCACGGTTAAATAAAAGAACAAAATCAAGTAGAATTTGTGAATAAAAACTAAAAAATAATGAAAATATTTAGAAAAAGGAACCGTAAACGTCAATGTCAGCCAAGTGTCAGAGTTCAATTGGATTTACCACAGATTATCAATTTGAACGATTTGAAGTACAGTCGATTCCAGTTTAGAGATTTTCGTTTTTTAAGCCTCCCATACTGAAGTCCGCCATATTGGGAAGTTTTAAATGAATACAAGTATACTTACCGCTGATATCAAAATTATATAACTAACAAAACCAATTTGAAGAATAAATATTAAATAACCCTAGAAAAGTTCAACAAATCCCAAAAATATCAAACATATCTGTCAAACATGGGGGTTCATGATGTTGATTCCGCTTCTAATCCATGAACATAAATCTACATGATTATTTTTGTTCCTAGATCATCAGATAAGAAGGTGTCAACTTCGAAGGTTGTCAAAGCTGATGATACATCGTTGCCTCCGGCTTCGACTTCCTCCGACCCGAAATCCGACAAGAAAGAGAATAAAAGCGAACCCACTTCCGAATCAGATCGCGAGTCGAAGGACAAGGACTATTCGAAACACTACAAGAAACGCAAAGTGAACTCGAGGACGCCCACGCCCGTCCAGGGCGAGACCAGTGTCGTGGTTAGTGCCGTAGCGACTGTCGCGCCCTCTTTCAGTGTTCAGACTACCACAAGTGCCCCAACTACAGTACAAACGGACAAAAGTAATAGCGTTAGTTCGAGTGACGTTCCGCCAGTCGATAAAACAAAGAAGGTAAGCTTAGTATTATTCTTTTTTATTAAATGCTTAAATTTCGTTATGTCAGTCTTTTACTTAGAAATTTTACAATAATTATATTTAGTTCTGTAAAAACAAAACATCCGTTTATTAAGTTAGGAAGGTCTATATCATAAAAGAAAAAACTGGAATTGAGAGATAGAATTAATAGAACTCTTATTAAATTTTATCTTCAAATAATAATGAAAAAGTCTATAAACAGAGATGCATAAGAGCTATTATATTAGGAAATTGGTTTTCATTAGGCAAAATTTGATTCAACTCAGTCAATAATCTCCAATCAGCCCGTCGTTGCCTTAACTTCATTGCCTTCATTGAAATCGAGTTCCACATCTACCAGTACTACAGGAGAACCCACAGCAATACCCCCCGAAACATCATCTTCATCAATATCTACCCCCTCAATAATTCACACAGCACAGGTATTTTAAATACAAAAGTCTTATAGAGTTGATTTGAAGCCTTTTAATAATTTTATATAAAATTACGATTTTTATAATATGGAAAACTGCATTAGTATCACTGTAAATAATAGAGTATGGATAAAATCATTGAGTAAAAACTCTAAGGAAGGAAGATGTTACTTTTTATGTTAAATCTAAAATGGGAGCCTTTTTTAATAATTTGCCAGTTAATGAATATTAATCATAGACTCTCCTTCCTTAGATATTTATTGAATGAATAAAATGGTATGAAATTATTTTTTCATAAATTAACTTGCAATATATTATGAGGTGTTTTAGAACTAACCTAGAACGTTTCAGAGGTTCAGTAAAATGTTTTCATTGTTATTACTGTGAATAAATCGAAAGTTTTGTTTTTTTCTAGGCGCAAGCTCAACAGCACCAACAACAATCGCTTGTAGTGTCTGTACCTTTGGCCAGCACGACGCTAAGCCCACATAATCCATTGATTAGCAATCAGACAAGTGTCTTGGTGCAGACGCCTTTTGTTGTGACATCTGAAAAACCTGCTTCGGCAAGTGGTAGTGGCTCCGAAAGGGGCACTCCAGTTACACCAGTTGCAACAGGTAAATATTAGAGATACGAGAAGTTTTTACAGTTTCAGGTTAGAATTTCACTTCTAGATCATCACTGATGGAGAGTGCTAATAAAAATTGTTATTTTTTATTCTAGACACTATGATTATTACTGCTGGCAGTACAAACCAAGGTGTTTTAACGTCAGAAATGAGCGGAGGTGGACTGAAAATTACGTACGAAAAACAACCCGATTCCATCAATACGGAAGTCGATATGGAGTTGGAAGTGGAAACTCCTCCCAGTACTCAGGACGCACCCAGTAAAAGAGGAAGGTAATAGACTTCTGTCATTTTGGTTGTATTTGATTTATACAGGGTGTCCCAGAAATAAGCGCAAGTATTTTAACTGGTAGTATAGTTCAAACCCAGAAACACGCCTATGAGATTTTTTTCGCGAAAAAAATTATTTGAAATTTTTTTTGTACTTTTTTTTAGTTTTTAGTTAAAATACATAATTTCTTGAAAATATTGCAATGTAGATATTAAATTAAATTTACAAGAAAGAAAATCCAGAAAAGATCCAGTGGCTCTCAAGATTTTAGCAAAAAATCATTATATTTTGAAATTTTCAAAGTAAAATAACTCCGTTATTTTGGACTTATTTGAAAAACGATAAAGAGAAAATATGTTTCTTTTATCAAGATCTACCACCCCTTAAAATACTTGCACTTATTTCTGGGACATCCTGTATTATTGAAGAGAAATACTAAAGAAAGAGTATATGAATTCAATTGTGAATATATATGATATGAATTCAGTTTCAAATTGAAATCACTGACGTTTTATTTTTCAAGTTGCAATATACATGGTGGTCCGAATTGTATTCCGGAACCTTCGGCAGCATATTCTGCACATAAAAATAAGTAAAAAAGTCCGTGTAAATGTATGTCCAAAAATTAGTAGTGGGAACTATCGAATGAATACTATCGAAACATTCGATAGTTGCAATTCATTCGAATAATTCGATAGCTAGTAAGAAAACATTCGTCGAAAACTATTCGAATAAAAATTATCGAATAGATGCGTCATCTGCCTTGAAATATTGTATTCAAGTAATTCGGCAGCAAAAACCATTCATTTATAAAATTCATTCATTTATCAAATTCATTTATTCGTCAGGATCGATTTTAATGAAATTTAAACTGGATTTTAGTTGTCGTCCGGCGACGTAGGTTTCTTTCCTAGAAACCCGACAGCGGTCGGTGGCAATGCTATGAAAGAAGCCGGCATCTTTGATTTTTTGCGGAGTCAAATAAAGATAAGGACACATTATTTTTTTTATTGAGGTGCTAGTATTTACACAGAAAATACATTATGAAGGGCACTGTTGCCATATATTCGTATTAGTTGGTATTAGCAAAGAATATTATTCTTTAGGATTAGTTAGTTAGGGATAGTATGTCTAATGTTTTGCATCTTTTTTTATTAATATTCTGTTATTACACTGCAATAATACTTTTTATTTTGGATGTAGGAAAATGATTTTTAATGTTTTTAAGCAAAGACTGGTTTAATAAATAATAATAACAGTAATAATTTGTTATACCTATTAACAACAAAATTTAAAATCATTTAATAATATAAACATTTTTTTTAAGTAGTAGCAAAATATAAACAACAAATAGAAGTCAAAAGTATTTATATTAGATCCTATTTAAAAATAATATAGTCTCTAAATGGCAACGTTGGTTTATTAAATAATAATAGTTACAGAACTAATTTGTTATAATAACAACAAATTTTAAAATCATGAAATATAAACATTTATTAATTTTCTAAGCATGCAGTGTAATGGAAGGAAAATATATATATAAAAAATTAGAAATCAAAATTATTTATATTACTTTTTATTACTTTATATTACTATTTAAAAATAATATTTACTTTTACTGACATTTACTTTAAAAAATAAATGAAATATTTCTTCGCAAAAAACTACATGTCAGAGAATTAGCATAAACAAAATACAAACATTGTTAACTTTTTTTTTAAATTGGCACGTGTAAAACTTTCAATTTAATTTTTTCACCCCAAAATTTGAGTTCAATAACCATTTACTTAACCACATTACTTAAATATGATTATTAAGTTCCAACTAATTCATATTATTAAAACATCCAAAATACAAATATGTATTTTTAAAATTAATTGTAAGTTCATCTCATCTCTCTTAAAAATTGTTACTTCTCAAAATTTCCCATTAAAAAAATGCAATCTAACCTAACCATAATATACCATATAAAATTAAATAATTGAAAGATCGGGCCGTAGCAAAAATCACACAAATCTATAATATAATCACACAAATCCGTAGAAAATCACACAAATTTTCGGAAAAATTTTGACCACTTCGCACACAATCGTCAATTAAAAAAAAACTACTATTTTTCTATTTTAGTATTTTAATAAACGCAAAAATAGCATAGTATTTACAAGGCGAGGTTATAAAAATTTGGAAGAACTAATAATGCACTGACGCACACAAAAATCAAACGAATACTAAATTTCATTTATCAAAAACATTCGATAGTCGTGGCTCGTGGCGCAACGATAACCATTTAGTCGCACGGCGAGGTTGTCACTTATGCTTTAATATATAAATGAATGAATTATTTTATTCGAATAAAACCATTTGATAGTTGAAATCATTCATTCAGTAACCATTCGATAGTCTAATTCATTCGATAGTTCCCATCGCTACCAAAAATGCTTAGTTTCGGAGATACAGGGTGTAGAAGTTTCATTTTTATTTCGATTTTTTCCAAATAATTTTTGAAGTAACGTAAATATTTGAATGAAAATTGGATAAAACAGTTTCTTTTGAACTTTTGACACAAAAACATTTCAAATTTATCATTTCAGTCTAATAACTATTTAGTCAACATGTTTAATTTATGTCAATGATGACAGATATTGATAATTTCGATTCAAAATATCTCCAGAACCATTACTCATAGCGATTTTTACCAAAGAGACTTGTTTTACGTAAAAAACGTCGTAAATGTATATTTTTTTACTCAGTACTTTTATACAGGTACGGACAAAAAGTTATTACTCTTCAAACCAGTTAAAAAATATGTAGGTGGCGCCCTCTATGAGTGGGAGTCATATTGACAAATATGAAACTCCTAGACACCAATTTTGAACCAAATATTGACGTTACTTCAAAAAATATTTGGAAATAATCGAAATAAAAGTGAAATTTCTACACCCTGTATCTCCGAAAGTAAGCATTTTCGGACATACATTTATACGAACTTTTTTCCTTATTTTTATCTGCAGAATATGCTGTCGAAGTTTCCGGAATACAGTTCGGACCACCCTGTATAGTAATATGGTTCAATAATTATCTGGTTGTATTACGTTCAGTCAATAAATGCTAATATTTCTTAAAATTCATTATTAAAGTATATTTCTAATAAAAATAAATAAGTTAGTGTAATTATTTAAGTTCAAAAATACACTACTGAAACAACTAAGTAAGGTTTATAAAATTGGCGTGTCCTATTATATATATTCTCTAATTTTCTATTTTATGTAACATTGATTGATGACAATTCTTTTCTTAGATCACAATCGCATGAAAAGAGTGATCGTACGACGCGAGGTAAAAAACGTAACAGTACCGGATCAAATGGAATGGCCCAAATGCAAACCAGTTCGTTCACGTCTGACGTCCCAAAGCGTACCACTCGCATGCACTCCAGTACGTCAGCGAGTACTTCACCCCAACAGCAACTTGGGGCATTTGCTGTTATTTCACAGGTACATGCTTCATAGGTTGCAGATATTTGAAATTCTCATTAATATGAACTCAGACGCGAACTTGTATACATTTACTTAATCAAATATTATTTTCGATAACTAAACTGATTTTACAGGAGAAAATAAAAGATTCCCCACCAAGCAGTCCGAGTTCAGAAAGCCAGGGAGCATCCTCTAGCGGCCAAAGTCGAAGTCGTACTAAGGGCCGCAAGAGTGCGCCTGCGGCTGTGAATTTAGGACAAGCCCCGTCCAAAGCAGAAAATAAAGAATTTAAAATGTAAGTATACGATACCCCTGAGATGGTTCTAATTATAATTTAGCTATTAACAAATCTAAACTTTTGTATTATTGTTTGGCAGCTTTCAAAATGGCGTTGGAACCGCCCCTCACATGTTAGGCAACCAACTTAACCCCACGTCGACTATGCATCAGAAAATGACTGATCATCTGAATTCTGAATTAGAGGCGCATAGTATATACAGTACTTCTAACGACACAAGTCCCACGTTGATCGGACCTCAAATGCATCATAAAGTCGTGCAATCGGTAAGTTTGATCGCTATATGCATATTAATATTAATATACTAGGATCGGCATTTCTGGCCTTGAAAAAAAGAGTACGGTTAGTTAATTCTTGTTTACAGGCTAGAGCAAGTAGTACCGGTTCGAGTACTGCCTCTGGGGGTAGTGGTTTATCGTCGGTATTGGGTGGGGCTGGGGGTACAATTCCACAAACTCTAGACCAACTTCTAGAACGCCAGTGGGAACAAGGATCTCAGTTTTTGATGGAACAAGCTCAGCATTTCGACAGTAAGTTATTTTTATTACAAATTATAAAACTTCACACGTTGGGTCCTTGTGACAATACAACATTATGCCCATTTTAATTTTTTTTACATTTTTATTTAATTTTTTGGTTTTGAGGGTCTTACAATATTACTGTTTCGATACGTTTTAAAAACTTTTATTTTACTTTTAATTTTTTTCTAATAAAGGTAACGTTGTTTTAGTTGCTTCACTTTTGTCCTGTTTGCATCAATTGAGGGCGGAAAATTTCCGATTGGAAGAGCATGTCAGTTCGCTGATTCAAAGACGGGATCATTTACTAGCTGTCAATGCCAGATTGGCGATTCCTCTTACTGGACAACCTAGTATCGCACAAACTCAACAAACCTCTCATTCTCATAATGGTAAGTATATCTTCCATTCCTAAAAAAGTTAGGTTTCGTTTGGAAAGCGTTTTAATTTTAATCGTTTTATAATGAAAAAAAAATATATCTTTTCTGCACTAGATTTTTAGGTAGTTAGAAGATATTTTTCATTTTCAAACCAAACCAACTCATTACTGTAATAACTCACTAATAAAGCAAGTATTTTTTAGTGAATAACATTCATCCGAATGTTGTTGTGAATCACGGAGACATTCCTAGACCTTCACGTCATAGTAGCGGGTCGAGTTATGACAGACATATGTCAAACGCTCACCATCCGCCAATCGAGAACGGTCTGCCACCTGATTCGTATGCACCAAACCCTCATAGAAGTCCTGTAGGTAGTGGCCAGCCGAGTCCCACAGTTAGGTAAGTCTGGTTCTCTTTTTGTCTATTATTTATGTAGAGGATTGTAAAAAATGTTTTAATGGAATTCGTGAAATTGACTTTTCTGTCAACAATGCTTTATTTTGATATATTGTTATTTTTGTAATTGGAGGCTATTTAATAAGAACCATTATGTTTTTTCTCATTTTTGATTGTACAGTGTCTCTCAGATTGTTCCTAATAATAAAATTTTTTTTAAAAAAAAATACAAAGTTATGCAGAATTTACTCAGCTTATCCGTGAACAAACTCATGATTAAAAAGTATATATAGTGATATGTGCTAGCAAATATTAAAGGGAAAGTTCAAAATTCGAATATACGTTTATTTGCTAAATGTGTTAACACAAAATTTGATTGCCATGACAGTTGAAACATGGCACATTTTAATTTGACGGTCACTGGATAATATAAAAAAGAAAGTTTAATTGTCAAAATATCTTTATAATTATATATGCATAACTATATTTTTGTCTTAGCCATAGCTAATGTTTTTAAACGGCGATTATGTCTAGAATTTCAGATTTTAATAATACTTTAAATAATAAAAATGTCAAAATTATTAAAAAAAAACATCGAGAATATTATGAAACACACCAGTTATTTTTTTAACGGTAGTTTTAGATTCACGTAGATTTGTTGCATTATGATACACAGTCTAGGTCGTAAAATTATTCCTTTAATAGATTTTGTAGAATAATACATTTTTTGCAATGTTTAAAATAAGCCACAACTTGATTCAGACAATTTGCAGAAACGTGCACTGTTTAGTTTATCATTTTGAACAGCTCAAACGATTAAAATTGTTACCTCTACGATTTTTTATGTTTGACTATTTATTATTTTCAAGTTAATTTGGCGTTTTTGGAATTATTGATAATTTTTGTGATAAATCTATCCATTTATTTGTAACTTCTCGTTATTGCTCTTCTAGAAAGGAAAAACCAAAGTGCGATTTTTGAAACAATGTTTTTACTGTTTCTCTTAACTACTAGGTTATTGATAATAAAAACTTCATATGTTTTATTAGACGTGTATTAACCGAAATCTACGTAAATCTAGCTTATAACCCAGGTCCCTTTGTAGACACCCGGCGGGGCCGTACCCCCCATCCAACAACGGCCTGCTGCGTCAGTGCGCTGACACGGGCGGAAGGGCGGCGCCGCCCCGCCCCCAGCCGTTCTACCCGCTCTACGACCGTCCCGGCTCCGCCCACTCGTCGTCGTCCTCCTCGCAGCAACAGGTGTGACACCGACCGCGCAAGCGCAAACGTAGTCAGATGGTAATTGGCTGTGACGCACCGGAACGCTCGCTTTCTGTTAATGGTGTTTTGACATTTGGTGTTAATTTTTCACTTCCCAGCCGTACGATCGAATAAAATTGGGATTTAAATTCAAAGATCTTACTGAAAAGAAAGTCTTTCTTTTTTTTTCAACCGATTCATAAATGTATGTACTAAAATATAGTGCCATAGCAGAGAGTATTCCACTCTCTGTGTGTCGAAAATATGCGGAAGCATTTAAACAGTCGAAGCAAGGAGCTTGTAGCCTTTGATTGATAGCCTGATAAAATGATAAACTATTTGGAACGAGAACGTAACAATAAATTACCTTTGACTTCAGTCAGGAAGTAAGTTTGATTGGTAAGCACATTATACCACCTTCAAAGTTATTTCTACTTACTCTTTGTAAAGAGCTAAATATACAGGGTAGGCAAAGAGTGGCTATGGATACCGGCTGTCAATAAGATGTTAGTTCAGTCATTGGGGATCAAAAAAGGGGCCTGCTTGGAAAAAAGTCCGGAAGTTTTGAAACTTTGCAGGTTTATAGGTTTTGGGGTCCCTAACTCAAATCCATAAAATGCACATTTCTAGACTTGCCGCCGGCGCCGCCATCTTACCAAGATGGCGCTCAAAATCGGTATTTTGTGAATATCTAGAAAACTATGCGTTTTTCGCAAAAATTTGAAGAGAACAAAATTAAAAAGAATAAAATTTTCTATAAAAAAGATTATATGAAAATGTTTGCTAAAGTCAACCGTTTAGGCACAAAATCCCTGGGTTTTTTACAATTTTGCGTAAAATATAGTCGATTTTCCGAATTCAAATGTCGATTAGTGTTCACTAAAACTAGTTTTAACATATTCTGCAGATAAAAATAAGTAAGTTATCATTTCACTCACATAACTCTCTAGTCGACATTTTTATTTTTTGTCAGTGATGACATTACAGTTGGGGGTTGGAAAAACACTAAATCACTGTGTAATGCAGTGATAACATGTATTGATAATTTCCATTCCAAATATCTTGAAAATAGTCGTAGCGATTTTTACCGAGATAGCATTTTTACTTAGAAAACGGCGGGAATGTATATATTTTCACTCATTTTGTTTAATACAGGTACAGGCGAAAAGATATGACTCTTTAAAAGAGATAAAAAATATACAGTTGACGTCCCCTACAGTAGGAGAAAATTATTTGGAAAAAATCGAAATAAAAAGGAAACTTTTATATCCTGTATCTGCGAAACTAAGCATTTTCTGATATACATTAATACGCGCTTTTTTACTCATTTTTATCTGCAGAATTTGCTGTCAAAGTTTTCCGAATACAATTCGGACCGCCCTGTATATGAAATATGTATTTTAGTGATCTTAAATAAGGTTTAGTGATTCTTGTATATTAGAGAATTTATTTTTAGAAAATTTTTGAATTATCACATACAAAAACTTTTTAATACTTTGAAAACCTAATATTATTGGATCGTACGGCGTTGCATCGTGGTGGTTGTTTGTTCTTTTTTTTCGCGCCAGCTTTCTGTATCTCGATGTGGGACTTGGTCATGCTCATAATTAATTATTTCACATATTTTTTTTTGTATTTGTTTATATTTATAAATGAGGCTGTATAACACTTGCTTAAGATTGAAGCACACGAACCCGGCTCCCAAAGAAACGGCCAGGAATGGATAAATAGCTAATATAATAGTTAAGTACATACAAAAAAAATGTTCCAAATACAAATAATGAGTGCGTAAAGATTTCGGATACGGATTTTATGCCGGCCGGTTCTGTGTGCTTCAACCTTTATACTATAGTCTAAGAGCTAGCAACGTTTTCGAGAAAGTATTTTAGGACGTCTGGCTCTTTGATATATCTTTTACTATGCTCTCTGGAACAGCAGGCGGCCCTTCTGGCTGCCGATACCCGTTGCGTTCACTACTGCGCATCGGAAGAAGATCCTATTTTTTTTTAAAACTTAGTTCTATAAATTTTAGTATTGAATATAAATCGAACATATCTCCATAGCGCAGTGCGTAGACTTTCCCACTACGAACCGATGATTCAGAGTTCGAATCCGAGTCAGGACAGAGACTTTTTTATTTTATTTTCGTTTATATTCTGATAGTAAAGTATTAAATATTTGTTTTTTTTAAATTACCAGAATTATTTAATACTTTACTATCAGAATATAAACGAAAATAAAATAAAAAAGTCTTTGCCCTGACCCGGATTCGAACTCTGAATCCTCGGTTCGTGGTCGGAAACTCTACGCACTGCGCTATGGAGACATGTTCGATTTATATTCAATACTAGAATTTAAAGGACTAATAAAAATATAGGATTTTCTTTCAATGCGCAGTAGGGAACGCAACGTTTACCGGCAGCCAGACGGGCCGCATGCTGTTCTAGAGAGCATAGTAAAAGATATATAGTCTGTCAAACGAATAACTTTGAATTTGACAGTTATCGCGGGCTTTTCTAGTGTTAATTTTATTAGGTTAGCAACTTGCGGCCATGCTGACACAATGCCGTCTCTAATAGAACAGCCTCGGAGCGAGATTTATGACGTCACGCTAGTTAGATACTACGGATTAATAAATATGTTGTAGAATACATGGAAAACATAATTATTCCTCGTATTTTTGGTTTGTATTTTAAAAATGAAACATAACCTAAAAACTTTGTTTGTTGATCAATTTAAAGAAATAAAAAAACTATAGTTTGTGAATTTGTTCCTTATTATGTGATATTTTTGATATTTATTAGTAGTTAAAAGGAAGAAAAGTTTATTAGTAGCTTGGAAGACGTCGATGTCTCCATACCTTCTGGGAAGAGGGGTATTATGAAGTTGTGCCTTTAGATGTAAAAAATCATATATTCTCTGGAGAATGTCTATGGAGAATTTCTCCATAAGAATTTATAATTTATTTTGTGTTCAATGTTACTTTGTATTTCGTAGAAAATACACTTTTGTTGAAAAAAAATTGTCTTATTTTCTGATGTTGTTTAACTTATACAAATATAACTTCATACTTCCATCAGCTTCGCTGATAAGAATTTGGCTTGATTTTAGTTTAAAGTCTAAATTGTTTATGTTTTACTATATTTTTGTAGGTAGTTTTTAACGTAGTTTTTGTGTAGTTTTTGAAGGTAGTTTTTAAAATTTTAAAACGTAGTTAATACAAAAAACTACGCGTAACTTTTGGCGTAGTTTTTTGCTTCATAAACTACTTAACAATCCTGCATTTTACCCATTATCTTATGCACCGCCTATTCATTATTTGTATATTGTAAAACATTTGCTGCATTTGTATGGTTCATAGTTTATTTGCCAAAGTATTTATTACTATAAATAGGTATATATTATATTGTATTTATTAACTGTATATTATGTATATTTCAGGTAAACTATATCATTTTTAAAATACAAACCAAAAATACGAGGAATAATTATGTTTTCCATGTATTCTACAACATATTTATTAATCCGTAGTATCTAACTAGCGTGACGTCATAAATCTCGCTCCGTGACTGTTCTATTAAGGACGGCATTGGTCTAATATTTAGAAATGTCAAAAGCTGATGACATTTTACTTTTGTCAATTATGACATTTCGTGTTGATTTTTGCAAGAAGATGAAGAACTGTCACTTGTTTTATTATTTTCCTTTTCTATTTCACGAAGAGTTACCTATATGATTCGTTCAGGCACTCAATTTAAAGAATATCAGTAACTTTTTTGACAGAGGGATTTTATATTTGCCATGTTGGTAAAAAATAACGGTCAAAATTCAAAGTTTTATTCATTTTATAGACTATATCAACTATCCAGACGTCTTAAAATACTTGTTTTTCCGACGTTGCTAGCTCTCGTACTACTACTTTAAGATGTCGCAGAAATGCATTTTGAATAAAAAGCACAAATATAGTTTTAAGGCATAAATTAACTTAATTCGATCATTATTGGACTCCTCATTATTAATTTAGTTCAATAATAAATAATGTCCCTATATGCATTCAATGGTTGCGATAAGTTATTTTTGGATTCGTTGTATTTATTAGATACATAAATCGTGATAATATTAATTTGTCATTGCATTGCTTGGTGTGGTCGATTTATTATATTCTCGCTGTTAGAAATAAAAACTGCTCTCCATGAATAGACTTCTTTTGTAGGAACCTTTTGCAATACTCTAGAATATGACGCACTTTAATTATAAAATACAATACATTTTTATCACATTAGAGTCTGTATAAAGTCATTAGCGTCATCTGCTGATGGTGTCAATCATGTCAGAGAAATGTACGTTTACAGTGATAAAAACGTTTTGGTGTTTATTTTTGGAAAACAGTCACACATATTAATATTTCATCCTTGTATTTCGTTGCGCATGTAAAGTTTTTCTTTTCAGTTAAATTCATTATTAGTTTAAGACTTTTTATACACGATCCAACATTTTCAGCATAGTTTTTGTTTTCTTTTTTCAGATGGTAATAAGGAGAGACAGAGATACAGACCTGTATGGATATAATTCGAAACCAGGCTGAAAGCTGACGTTTTAAGAGGTCGAAGCATTGACAAATCAAGTATATTTGGGTTTTGTGTGTGTATAAGGTTAACGCTTAATTTTATTTCAATAGATTTATTTTTTATTTTTTGATAAAAATTCTTGTTTTCTCCCCCTTTCAATCAATTTAACAAGAAATTCTACAAGCATTATAAATATTTAATTATATGACAAATTTAATGAGCTTAAAAAGTTAGTATTTTGAATACAGACAAGAGAGATGTTTCAAAATTGGACCACCTCTAATTTATATGAAATGATTGAGATTCCAACGTGGAATTAAGTCATTGATAGCGAGTTTTTTTTGTCAAAACTTAAAGCGTTAACTTTTTACATACCAACCCATTCGACGAACACTATTTTTTGACTGACTCTTTTTCGTAAATTTTTAGATGTAATATTGAAATTAATACTTATTCGAGAATTTACTCCATTCGATAACGCGCGAAATTGTATATATTAATATTTGCTTAGGAAGCATATCAGTTTGTATCATAGACATAGATTCGTCTGTTTTCGACTAAACATTTTCATTTTTTTTTTATTAAATCGTCTAGGTTACGGCCTTAATCGGATAATAACAAAGTAAAATATTGTTCGGACGTTAATAAGTTTTAATTCCACAATCTTATCTAGTACAAGAAACAACATTAATCTTCGTAAATACATCTTATACAATGTAATTTAGAGAAACGACGTAAACTTTTTTATAATTTACATTTTGAGAAAAGTGCAAGCAAAAAAAATTTTAGAACAAGCAAAAACTTCATAAAAGTTTTTGCTTGTTCTAAAATTATTAATCCCTTTTATACTTTTCCAAATTTCCATATTGTTTAACTGTAATAGTTCTAAACAGACGTAGTTAGCTCAGGGAATTTTAGTAAATAAAATAATAAATAAAGTCACGATGCGTACCATTAATAAACTAAGCCATACTAATTTAAAAAGTGTAAATAAATAGATATTCTGCCCTGGTTATAAGGTAAACAACAGCAATCATAAGAATTTCTAATTGGTAAAGTTGGTTAATTGGTAAAACTATGACTTTAAAGTAGTGTTGGGAATAATCGGATGATTTCAATCCTCGAGTAGTGATCCTCGAGGATTCCCATAATCGGGTGATCATCCGAGGAATCCTCGGTTATAAAATTTTCAAAGAAAAGTCAAACAAAAATGTTTGATAGTTGTTGGCTACTTTGATTTTTTTACGATATTTAATATATATTTTTATCCTACAAAAAGTTAATTTGACTTGGAGACAAACTATTTGAATGCTAATTTTGTAGAACCTGAATAATATTGTTTTAATTTACAACAGGTTCAAATAGCCACGGAAAAGTAGAAAATATTTTTATAAAAGGCTTGAATTTTTTCATTTTATATTTAAAAAATATATCTCCTTTTAGGCTAGGTCCTGGCATGCAATTTCGAGTCGACCGATTATTTTGTTGCAGAATTGAAACAATGCAATAATGTATCTTTATGAAGCTGCATACATAGGAAATCGAACATTTAGCCGATCAGCTCCATAACAATCTGTTTTCACTTTTTCAGTTAAATAATCGGCCGACTCGAAATTGTATGTGAGAGGGTAGCCTTGTAAATTATACAATTATATATTTTTTAATTTTTATATAACTGTTTTTATTGATTACTTTTTGGTAAAATATAAACATTTTATTTATTGATATAATTTATTTATACATCTTATTTTTTTAAAAATCGAATGTTATCCTCTTATTTACTTAATTTTTGGGCGAACAAATATTTTACTGTTGTTTACCTTTTTTAGGGCTTATACATAGTGCGCATAAGTATATAGAGAAAATTTAGCAAATACCTAATTTCAAAGACATTGTTTTTAAAAAATACAAAGATTTTTTGATGGTTAATTGTACAAAATAAAATCAGATACTGTATGAACGAAAAAATCGGCGTCACTATAGGCAATGATAATTGCTGATAGTTTCTGACAGGCTGGAACGACCTCAATATAACATTTTTTATTAAAAATTGAAATAAAATTACTTTTTAATTTTATTTAAAGAAAAGCAGAAGTTGTTCCAAGACCTTCTGTGAATGTCTGGAAACATCTTTTACTTCTGCCTAAGTTATATATTAATTTTTTAAGTCAATTTTTAATAAAGAACATATTGGGTCGGTCCGACACGATTTTTTGTGGAATGTCATTTGAAAAGCCACTATGGCGCCATTTTTGGTATTAAAAATACCTATGTTTATAGGAACTAATGTACTTATGGACCACTGTATATTTTAGGGTTAAGTAGAATCGTGGCCAAGATCGTAGATATATAAAAACAAGAAAAGAAATCCCTATTTTCGCTAATATTTTCGAATTATTTATACTTTTGTAATAAAATGCTCTAAAGTTAAAAACGGACAAAATAGTTTGGGGGATTTCAAGTGGACGTGCTCACTCTGTACGCGTTATTTATTGTGGGTTTAAGTCGATTTGTAGTGACGATTAGTATCCGTTTTATAAATCTATTATAGTATAGGTTTCGAAGTTTAAAAACTGCTCTGGTAGATTAATTGATTTTCAGCCGTTATTTTTATTAAATAGAAACCATTTGAAATCACCTGTGGAATTCAGGTGACTTAGATAATTAAGTAGAAACGTAAGCTATTCTGTATAAATTGTAATATTTTTAGTCTTTTTTCGCCTGTAATATAAACTTTTTAGAATTATTAAATTGTTTTGTTATTTTCTTTCCTTTAAATATGTTTCGTATACCGAGTGCGTCTCAAAAGTGGCTCATCCCTATAGCTTTTTTATTTTTTCAGATAAAAAATCGAGAATTGGTATGTTAGCATATGACATAAATTAGGATTGATTGGTAGTTTCAATTGTTTTTGGTCATTTCCTGTTACACCGGAAATGACTACAACTTTTGATTTTTAAATGGCACCCTCGGTATTTTTTTATTTTATTCGATAGAAAATGGCATTCTGAATAGAATGACATATCATATGTCAACTTTCAATCTAGAGTGCCATGGCTATGTTAAAAACAATAATTCTTCATCAAGGAGCCTTGGAAAAATAGATTTAATTGTCTAATGTTTTTAGTGTCTTGTCCTGGCCAGTTAGAAAATGCTCAAATCGTATTTTTAATCATATCTCAATTTTTTCAAATGGAACGGGTGTGGCTCATTAGCATATTTAGAAAAAGCATTTTTTTACGAATAATTTGATACCAAACAATTGGTATTTTGAGTCAAATTTTCGTTACGAACCGTAAGATATAATTTCAAATAAACCATATGCGAAAATGTCAAAAGTTGACATATGATATGTCATTCTATTCAGAGTGACATTTCGTATCGAATAAAGTAAAAAAATACCGGTGGTGTCATTTAAAAATCGAAAGTTGTAGTCATTTCCGAAAACAATTGAATTCGTCAATCAATCCTAATTTATGTCATATACTAACATACCAAATCTCGTTTCTTTAACTAAAAAAATAAAAAAGTTATAGGGGTGAGCCACTTTTGAGACTCACCCGGTATAGTGATTAGGCAGCACCAAAAATCGGATTTATTTTGTTTAAACTGCGCCGACGGAACGTTGGAAATGTTCTTAACACGTTTAAAAATCCTATAACTTTTGTATTTAACTTTTTGCGGACCTACCTCCATCCTACCTCCTATATTTTACCTAATAATTCAATCGTTTCCATACATAAAAGCGACCCTGTATATCATATATTAAGTACTTATGTATATGTTTCCCCAACTATATGCTCATCCCCCCACCCTGGATTTCAGTCTGCGGACGCCCTTGATAACACCCTTTTAAACTGGGTTGGTTTATGTTAAAAAGTGGAATAATGGCATTTTTTATGTTATTTATGAAAATACGTATAAAGTATATTATATTTTTATAAAGCTCATAACAAGACAAGTATAATAACAAAAATATATACAGGGTGTCCCGTTAAAAAAAACATAACTTCGATAAGTTATAAGATAAGAAGGGGGCTAAAAATGCAAAAATTTCACATTCACCCTGTATTTGAGGGACTAAGAAGGCTATGACAAATCTGTGTGTACCATCCTTAGTTTCACAAAAAAAATGGTACAATGATGTGAAAACCGCATCTTTGTATCTCTTCTCATAAACGGGAAACCACACAAAACCCATACAAGGTGAGATCGGAAACTTTTCGCACTACACCCGTATTTATAAAATAATTTTTATCTAAACGTAATACTGGTTGTATAATAATCGTTAATCAGAGACCTTGGTTTCAACAAAGGATTTTGATAACGGACAGGAAGAAACTGTTTCAACATTTTATCTGAAATTTATACAATTTAAAGTATCGCGATATAATCATCAACATATTACTGCCAAAACTCATAATTATTATGCAAAAAATTAACAACTAGTCTTATTCAACAATTATTGTACTTCGATCCTCTGAAATTAAAATTAATGAATTCGCGTTAAGCAGTGTCATACGATATGTATATTATGTTTTCGGGGAATATTTTGCAGGAACCCGTTGGTAATTTTGAAAAATGCGCTCACCTTGACTGTCAGCTGTATTATTTGTGCTTTGTTATTAGTTATATCGATTTGAGCAGGCAAGAAAACGTCAGTTACAAAGTGAGCGAGACTGGTTTAGGTTATGCGGTTTATGGTCAAGTGCATATTCATTTTCTTTCATTTTTTTATTTGCCAGTCGATGTATTAGTGTACCGCACAAGTATCGAAAATCAATTAAAAAAATCTGTGTTATTTGCCAGTTTTGTTTTTGTTTTAAATCAATTCGTTCGCTGAGCTTAAAATGGTTTGTGATATTTTGCGCAAAAATGTTTTTCAAAAATTTACTTATGGTGTAGTAACAACGACCGAAGCGTTTTTTTACAGGTAGGTAACTATTTTTGGCGAGTTATTTTTAATTCTACAGCTTCGTGCTAATTCTAGAAAATACCTATTGCTTAAATAAATATTTAAATTTAGACTTCAAATAGTTGGTTTGTACTGAAATTATTTCGCTAATATTTATTCAGAGCGAAAATAAAAAATATTTTGAATATTTATTTTAGTATTAACAGAGATTAACTTAACTTTATTTATTTTTTCATCATGTTTTGTCTCAACTGCTGTATATGTTTATACTCATACATATCATATACCGTATGATCGAAAAAAAACGGCGTCAGCGATGGCTATGCGATGAAGATCGCAGTCATTTTATATGTAAAATTATATGGGGAATGTCATCGATGTTCATTTCCCAGCCAACTGGGCGTCGTTTTTTTTTGATCATACGGCGCTCAGACGACTCGTGTACATTTGCGAACATTTGTTATTGGTATACAGGATATACAGGGTGCGTCGGGTATCTATTTATTATAGGAGCTACACCGCACTCTTGATTATGAGCCGCGCTTTCGCCGGACCCTGTATGTCGATAAAAAATGTTTGCTAAGTACACGAGTCACAGTATTCACAGTATATGCATTATTAAAATAAATATTTAAAATGTGGTGTTATTGTAATTTATTGTTTAGTTTAAATGAGCTGTAATGTGTGTTTTTAGATCATCCATTTTTTGGTACATACATATCTATTGTACCTATACCTACTTGCACTATGTTTGTTTAGTTTAAATTTCTTTATTGCTTCATACAGTTATTGTATTCAAATCATATTCAAATGAACAATAATCTAATATTTAAATGAATATTGAATTAATAAATGGTTGAATAAACCGTAAAAAGGAAAAAGTTTAAATTCCGTATTATTAATATATTTTAAGTATAAGTAAAGCTCATAATAGAAGAACTAAAATAAAATAATAATGTAGAGATACGAGTGGAGTCAAAAACTGCAAAAAATTCAAATTTGCCCTGTATTTCAGAAACCAAGGGGCTAGGACAAATTTGTGTGTAGCATCTTTAGTTTCATAAAAAAAATAGTACAATGATGTGAAAACCGTATCTTTGTATCTCTACTCTTAAACGAGAAACCCCATAAAACACACGAAAATGGGACACCCTGTACATCCTCTAAAAATATAAAATGAAGTATTCATATTATATTTTTTGAATTATAAACGTCCGTTCTCATAGGCTAGTAATAATAATAAATATATAGTTAATAAATTTGTAGATATTTTGTTGTTCATTACTGTATTATTTATAATTATTTTTAATCTATACTGTTACTTGGGAATTATTGCTCCTTAATTTAAGAGAGAAAAATGAATGTTATTAATTTTATATGAGGTACCTAATTGAATATAAATTACTAAATAATGATTGGTTAGAACTGGGGACTTGCTATTCATATTAGTGAGTTTCTAATATACAGTATTTCCAAAGTTAGGCAAAAGATTTAATGAGGTATTTCTTAATGAAATAGAAAATCGCATCAATATATAGTTTTAACGAGGCGAAAATTTGAGTTTGCGACGGGTTAAAATTTTAGATAAATATGTTTAATACAATATGAATATTCACAATAATAAAAGGTTGTCTATTGTACCTACGGTTTAAAAGTAGAATAGAAACACAGATAAAATAGTAATATAGAAAGATAAAAAACAGAACGGATTCTAAATACCAAGTTAGAATTGAATCCGAATTTGGAATTGGAATTGAATGGGCGTTTTTTTTTGAAAAAAAAATTTGCCGAAGAAAATTCGTAAAAAGTTTTAGTAGTTATTCGAGTTTCGGACATTAAAAACTACTAACCAAGAAATTCGTAGAAAATGCCAAAAATGTATATTAAATATGCATGAAATCGTTAAATTTTAACTTCTTAATATCGGTGACATCTTTTTTTCGCATTTTTGCCGAAATTCGAATGTCCGAAAATCGAAATAAAAATTAAATTTCTTTCTACTAAAAAGTAATTCTTTCTATGCCCTCACTTTGAAATTGTGTCCAATGAACTTATTTTTATTCCAAAAATACGTAGCAGCACAAACTAACTGTAATAGTTGTATGTCTAGGTAATATTGGGACACCATCTATTATGCATATTGGCAAATGTATCAATAAACATATATTTATATAATATAATTGTTATTTGAGGGTTATTATTATAAGATTAGAGTAGAGTACATACTTAGATTTATCATTTTTGAGTTTTTTTGTCTAGTGTCATTATTAAAATATATTATCCATAAAAATAATTTATTAAATAACATGTAAAAACGTTATTATTCATTCTTTTTTGTCATGTTTTAAAATAATTTATTTTTTTGGTTTATTATCAATCAATAAATAGATAAATAATGGATAGCATTAAATAAAACCAATAATTACAACACATTTTTTTCTGTTCAACCATAATAATTAAATAATTATTTCAATATTCTATGAACAATAAGTAATTCGTTAATTTCGTTAACCCAATTAATGCCAATTATCAAAATGTAATTAATGCGTAATAAAGCATTTAATAAGGTCTGGTTGTAGGTCTATAAATGTTTGAATCACTATTATTTACCTCTGCTTCAGCCATGAATTGGGTTCTTTATTAGATAATTTAAATAATAATGTTCAATATTTACGTTGAACCCATTTACTCGTATATGTGTTTAGATAATAAAAATGCAACGGAAAGATAATAAAAATAAGCAACAGTCACCAGCAGATAGTTTAGACTTTATTTTTGAAAGATATAAAGTAGTTTTTTTTCATCAGAATAGGTTCTATGATTTTTTTTATATTTTTATTTGGGTGTGTAAAAAATATGACTTTTTCAATACGTGAAATCATCAAATCGTTAATCAAAAAGAGATTTGACTCTTTTTGATCATTCTGTTCTATTTTTTGTAACAGCAAACGAGGATCTCGATTCCCGTAAATTTAAACAAATTTTACTTTATTCCATAGAAAATAACACTCTGAATAGAATGACATATCATATGTCAACTTTTGACATTTTCGCATATGGTTTATTTGAAATAATAACTAGCGGTTCGTAACGAAAATTTGACTCGAAATACCAAGTGTTTGGTACCAAATTATTCGTGAAAAAATGCTTTTTCCAAATATGCTAATGAGCCACCCTCGTTCCATTTGAAAAAATTGAGATATGAGTAAGAATTAATACGATTTGAGCATTTTCTAACTGGTCAGGACAAGACACTATAAACATTAGACGATCAAATCTATTTTTCCAAGGCTCCTTGATTAAGAATTAGTGTTTTTAACATAGTCATGGCATGGCACTCTAGATTGAATATTAAAATACAATTTTTTATTTAGCGAAAATGTCAAAATTATGTCATATGATATGTCATTGTCTATTCAGAATGTCATTTTCTATCGAATAAAGTAAAAAATACCAAGGGTGCCGTTTAAAAATCAAAAGTTGTAGTAATTTCCGGTGAAACAGAAAGTGACCAAAAACCATAAAATTGAATACGTCAATCAATCCTAATTTGTGTCATATACTAATATACCAAATCTCGTTTTTTTTATCTGGAAAAATAAAAAAGTTATGGGGGTGAGCCACTTTTGAGACGCACCCGGTATTAGATATACCTAACATCTTTAAAAAATTAGCAAAAAGAATATTAAAAAATCGAATTTTTTTTAAAAGTCTCTTTGTGAAAGTATATTTGTGAAAATTTGATTTTTAATTCTAAAATACATGGTTATTGTTCTAGGCTTGGTATTGCCATTGCTAAACAACCAATAAAAACTATCATAATCTGCTGGATAGCTGTGTTCCTTAGCTCGTTTGGGTTCCTGAGATTTCATCAAGAGAAGAACCCTTTAAAATTATGGGTACCGCCACATACCACTTTTATCAGGGATTCTGAATGGTTGATGAAGACGTTCCAGAGAGGTTTCAGCGACGAGGCAGTCATATTAGTGGACGATGATGTCCTAACACCAAAAGTTATATCGAAAGTATGTATGTAATATGTAACATCTGTATACAGCCTCTATTATTTTTGTTAATTAAATTTAATAAAAAACTTGCTCGACGACTTGGAAAAAATAATTTTTGAGAGCCTGGTGTATTTAGAAACTTTTTACGTTTTGTATTTTTTTCTTACCGGTTTAACGTTAAAAATTTTAATACAAAAAATGAAATATACAGGGTTATTCATCTCATACGTTGTAGGTCTATTAGAGCTATAATTTATCAAAATAAAAAATTCTCCGTTGCGTTTTTTTTGCATGCGAGTGTATTTTATTATTGATGGTGACGATAAATTTTACAATAATTATCTTTTTTTAAGTCATTAAAACTTAACTAGAAATGAGATTAAATGATACACTTAATTAGTTTATTTTTTATGCAAATTTATTGTTTGCTGTTATTCTAATAATAATTTGAATAATCGTACTGTTAATTACTGCATTACGTTGTAACTCAATAATGTATTTATATATAATTATTATTAATTTAGCACACCTTCAGTTATTGACGCAAGAATTTATTCTATCATACATATTGTTTAAATTAGATGTATTTATCTCTTTTTGTTTAAACTACTGAGTGAAAAAATATACATTTCCGTGATGTTTTACGCAAAAAATGTCTCTTGGTAAAAATCTCTACAAGCAACCGTTCCCAAGATATTTAGAATGGAAGTAGTCAATACATGTCATTATTGACAAAAAATGATGAGTTATTGAAATGATAAATTTGGTAACTTTTTATTTTTTTTAATTAATCAAAAATTTTTCTTTGACGAAAAGTTATTACTCATCAAACCAGTTAAAAAATATGTAGGTGGCGCCCTCTTCAAGTAGGAGTCATATGGATATTAAAATCAAATTTCTCATGACAAAAAACTCCCAGCCACCAATTTTCATCCAAATATTGACTTTACCATAGGAAATTATTTGAAAAAAATCGAAATAAAAATGAAACTTCTACACCCTGTATCTCCGAAACCAAGCATTTTAGGACATACATTTATACGAACTTTTTTACTTATTTTTATTCGCACAATATATGCTGAAGAAGTTTCTGGAATACAATTCGGACCACCATGTATATGTAATAAATACATGCAAGAATATTTTTACAAAGGAAACAGACAATATTAATAATTTTCATGAATAATACAGCCTAGATGATATTTAACGTAAATAAAATTAAATTTTAAAAGTATGAACCAAAAACAAGCATAAATTTGGGTTACAATAATTATTTTCATATTAAGTTGGACGTTTTTTTAATATTTCCTGTCGGCATAAATATACAATTTAATTTAAAATTGGTTTTTAATTTAATACATTACGCGCTATTAGAGCTATGCCGATTTTTAAATTAATATACAGTGTGTCCTGAATTGGCACTATCCAGAAGATCCCCTATAGCCTTTTTATTTTTTCAGATAAAAAAACGAGATTTGGTATGTTAGTAAATGACATAAATTAGGATTGATTGATGTATTCAGTTGTTTTTGGTCAACTTCCTGTTTCACCGGAAATGACTACAATTTTTTATTTTTAAATGGCACCCTCGGTATTTTTTTACTTTATTCGATAGAAAATGACATTGTGAATAGAATGACATATCATATGTCAACTTTTGACATTCTCGCTTAATAAAAAGTTGTATTTTAAAATTCAATCTAGAGTGCCATGGCTATGTTAAGAACACTAATTCTTAATCAAGGAGCCTTGGAAAAATAGATTGGATTTGATCGTCTAATGTTTTTAGTGTCTTGTCCTGGCCAGATAGAAAATGCTCAAATCGTATTTTTAATCATATCTCAATTTCGATGGCGGCTCAATAGCATATTTGGAATAAGCATTTTTTTATGAATAATTTGAAACCACACACTTGGAATACGAGTCAAATTTTCGTTACGAACCGCAAGTTATAATTTCAAATAAACCATATGCAAAAATGTCAAAAGTTGACATATATGTCATTCTATTCAGAGTGTTATTTTCTATTGAATAAAGTAAAAAAATACCGAGAGTGCCATTTAAAAATAAAAAGTTGTAGTCATTTCCGGTGAAACAGAAAGTGATCAAAAACAATTGAATACGTCAATCAATCCTAATTTATGTCATATACTAACATACCAAATAAAAAAGTTATAGGGGTGAGCCACATTTGAGACGCATCTGGTATTTTTTTTATTTTTAATACAAATTCGAATAATACTTCATAAATAAGTTATACCTTACAATTATTTTTTGTTTCAGCTAGCTGATATTCATAATCAAATAATGTCTTCCAAATCTGAAAATAATATAACAATGAATGATGTGTGCTTTAGGTAAATATTTTAATTCCCAAATACATTAAAGAAAACTAAAGCTAGAAATTATTTTTAATATTAGATACATGAAAAAATTTCTGAAATGAAGACTATGAAACACTACTTAATTTTTTTCGGCAACACATTTGATTTATGGTACGAGTATATTTTTTATTATTGCTAAATTTTAGGATTCCTAGAGTAGATAGAACTTTACTGAAGCTATTAATGACAGATAGTGAATATGAAACTGACCCGAGTATACAGATGAGCCCAGCTCTATATTGTAGCTTTATAGAAGCTATGAAAAGCCAGTGCTATACAAAAAGTATTCTGGAGTTATGGGACTACAATATGACGAAAATAGCAGCTCTTACCAAAGACGATATTGTAAATGCTGTAAATACTTATGACAAAAAGTAAGAATGTAGAAAGGAAAAGAAATGGTAGTAAAAATGAACTTATCAAATTTTCATAGTTCACCAAATTGTATAATTTCATAGTCAATATAATAGGTCTATATTTTAGTTTAATATTTGGTAAATTGAAAAGTTATGAAGAGCTACTGGGTGGAATAGTAAGAAATGAAACGGGACATATCATTAAAGCTGCAGCTATTCAGAACTATTGGTTACTGTTGGTCAATTTTTCTTCAGTTGACATGGACAAGGCTGGTAATATGGCCGGAACTGGAGAATGGGTAAGTTTGGGACGGTGGAATGAGTGATGGGATATTTTGATAAATCAACTGTTTCTAGGCCTCCGAAGAGGCCTTAGAATGGGAAATTATCTTTCTAGATTTAATGGCAAATATTTCAAAGACTCTGGATGGATTTTACTACTTTGCTGGAAGAAGGTATTATACTGTTAGTGATACCATGCGTTTTTATAGACACTCGAAAAAAATTACCGAATTTGTTCAAAAACTGTTGTTGCACACTACTCGATAAGTTTCGTTAAATTTTGCTGTAGATATTAAAAATTTGTAAACAACTGGTTTTATTTTTAATGTTTTTTTTTGTATTCTAGTTTTGGCGATATCAGTAACAATTCGATGTTCCAAGACATAGATAAGTTATGCTTAGGTGTATTTATTATGGTGCTATACGTCCAGTTTGTCATATCAAAATTTAATTGGCTGGAGGCAAGGGTATGGGCTTGAACTTAAAATAGTAGCGAAGGAAACAGCACGGTAAAGTAGATTGTTTTAGGTTCGGCTGGTCTCATGGTTATATTAATGGGTTTCATCGTCGGAGCCGGATTGTGTTCACTTTTTGGGGTATTCTATGGACCAGTACATCTGTCCTTGCCATTTTTATTAATGGGTTTAGGTAAGTTCATAAATAAAAATATATAGATCGGTAACTCCTCTATTTCTCAGCAATTTATTTTTATTCTTCTCCATATTTTTCCATGTTCTATTTGAATTTTTGCTGTTATATAGTTACATATTACATATATGTTTTTTTTTTCAGGTGTTGATGATATGTTGGTTATCATGAGTTGCTGGGATGAACTGACGCAGGAAGAGAAACGACTGCCAATGCACGAACGCATAGGATTAATGTTAAAACACGGTGGTGTTTCCATCACAATCACATCATTCACCGACGTTATAGCTTTTATTATAGGCTCTTCGACGGTAAGCAAATATCGACGTAGCATCTGAGAAATCTTAGACGTATAATGTGAAGAGAGGTTGCAAAGAATTTTTTTAAGATGGTTAAAAGCATTTCTGGCCTTTAACGATCAAACACTTAAAGAACTATTTACAAACTTATTTAACTATTTATTTAAAAGGGATCTATTTGAATTTAATTTAAAAGGCGCGAGCATGTCTACCGACTCTGAAGCTCCTGAAATTGCTTGAAACTCTAGTACTCGATTATTGAAATTAATCGATTTTTCCCATCACTAATTTTCACGCGAGGAATCACCCCACGAGATATGGCACATGTTGTTTGAAACACCCTGTATGTCTTAATAATAGTCTGATCGATTTTATTGATTTTTTAGATACTTCCCTGTCTCGAGTCCTTTTGTATCTACGCTGCTGTTGGAGTATTCATGACGTTCGTTTTTGCGTTGACTTTCTTCACAGCTTGCTTCGTATTGGACCAGAAGAGATTCGAGGACAACCGAAATGGTATCATCCCCTGTATTTCCCACGAAAATTACAAACCGAACCAGTGCAGCCAGAGCAACATAACAAACAGAGTCATAGCAACGATATACTCGAAAGTAATTTTAACAAAGCCGGGAAAGGTAAAAAAAATAAAATGAAATCTTATAATGTGTCATTACAATGAGACTTTTTTAAGTTCGCGCCCTTAAAAATTATCCCGATCCACTTACACTTTTTTGAGTCACCCTGTAGAAGTTAAAATATTTTCCTGAAATACCTTTGAATAAGACTAAGGAAGGAGCATAATGCTATCCATGTATTCATGCATGGTGGGCGGAAAAGCCACCATAAAAGCTCTCTAGGGTGGGGATCCTTGACAGTTCTGTTTGACGATTCATTTGACACATTTGAATTTGATTTGAAATTTTGTGGATTTGTCAGTCTTTACGGAGCTTATTTTATGTTATTTATTATTTATTCTACTACTGATAGTTGTATAAAGGTAGTAAATCTAGATGGAAATTGTGGCAGAACTTAAATTAACAGTGACACTATCCCGATTTATCGAAAAAGACTCTAAAATAGTTGGTTGTGTAGCGTGCGGTAGATCTCGGCAAAAATTGAGTGAAATAATGGAACAACTTTTCGCTAGTAAGTGACTATATAATATACACCGATCATTTATGAAATTCACTTAAATTAACTAAATTATATATATTTCTTGCATTTTAGCTTTTATTTATTACTTGTCAAAGATTAGATGTCAAAGAATTTAGATACGTTAATTTGACTTACCTGCTTCAGTAGCGTATCGGATGTTTGTGTTAATAAATACTTATTATAACTTATCTATTTTTATTAGAATTATATATTTTTATAACAATTTTAATAACTACCAACATTTATTCACAACGTAAAATAAAACAACAAATTATTGAGTCTACCCCACGTCTACCCTACATCATAGTTTTACATTTTTTAAATAAAATTAGAACGACACTGATAAACCGGAATTTAAGTCGGCCATATTTGAGGCCCATCGCGGTGTACCTAAGATTTTTGATATGCTCCTTCCTTAGTCTTCTTATTCAAAGTGAAATACATATACTTTAGTTTGGCACTTATAACTTTATTTGGCAGGGTCATATGGGCGTTCCACAGTGCGACGTTCTTTTTTATTGTACGAGTACAACCCTTTACGAACATTTTTGTTTTGTTTTTCAGATCTTTGTGGTACTGATTACCCTCGTATGTCTCGGATTCAGTACCGAGAGCGCCTTGAAACTGGAGCAACGATTCGACCCTAAATGGTTCTTACCTAAAGGTACCCATCTGGTCGATTTCTTGGCAGCCAAGGAACAGTATTACCCTGACGCCGGCTGGGATGTTTCAATGTACATGGGCGCTTTAGAATATAATCAAGAATTGATACGTATAAAGGACGCGGTAGACAAACTGGAAAATATGACAGGGTTTGTGAGCAACGTCATGTCTTGGGTAGATCCGTTCAGGACCTTTGTTTTAGTCAATTTTAAACATGGTAAGTAAGTAAGGAAACTCTTTGTGGTAACACGTTGAGTAGATAGTTATTTAACTGAAATAGTAAATTAATTTGTGAATTTTTTATTCTTTTAACTTAATCATAAATTTTTCTGCGAAAAAAATATGATAAAACAGTTTCTGTTGAACTTTTGATACAAAAATATTTCAAATTTATGATTTTAGTCTAATAACTATTTAGTCAACATGTTTAATTGATGTCAATGATGACAGGTATTGATAATTTCAATTCCAAATATCTCGAGAACCATTATTCGTAGCGATTTTTACCAAGAGTCGTTTTTAACGTAAAAAACGTCGTTATGTATGTTTTTTCACTCAGTAGTTTTATACAGGTACGGACGAAAAGTTATTACTCTTCAAACCAGTTAAAAATTACGTAGATGGCGCCCTCTACAAGTAGGAGTCGTATTGACCTCAGAATCAAATTTCTCATGTCAAAAAACTCCCAGACACCAATTTTCATGCAAATATTGACGTTACTTTATAAGTCATTTGAAAAAAAAATCGAAATAAAAATGAAATTTCTACACCCTGTATCTGCGAAACTAAGCATTTTAGGACATACATTTATACGAACTTTTTTACTTATTTTTATCTGCAGAATATGCTGCCAAAGTTTTATTCCGAAAACTTTGGCAGTTTCTTGGCTTGGTGGTTGGTTTGGATTGATGACATTATCCATATAATTTGACATACAGAATGACAGCGATCTTACTTATATGAAATGATCTAAATAGAGGCTAACCTAAACGTCAAATTAATAATAATTAAAATGATGTTAAATTATGTTTCTTTTATTTCAGACATTTACAAAGAAGACTTGGACGAAGGCAGATTTAGTGTATTTTTATCAAAATTCTTGCACAGTCCGAGATACGCGAAATATCAAGGAAACTTCGTTTTTGAAACTGATTTAGAATGTGGAGCGCCCATCCCAAAAATTAAAGTATTTTTTGAGGCATTTGGTGTATATTCCATAGTATAAAACGAATTTTTTTAGATGTCCAGCATAGATTTCAATATGAAAAGATTTTCCGATCCGAGAGATCATATTAAGCCGATGCACCAGATACAAGATGTAGCGGAAAATGCTAATTTCACGACAGGCGATAGGTTTGCCACTACTTGGTCGAAATTTTTCGCAATGTGGATTACAGACGAGGTAAAACATTAGAAAAATAAGTAAACATAGAGGAATTTTAAACATTAGTCGATACAACCGTCAAACGCGCTATACACTCTTCGCGAAATAGAACGAAGCATGTCAAGGTCTTATTATTTTTCGATATTTTTCCTCTCCTAACTTTGATTCGTCTCGGCTTATTTTGACTACTCGCCCTTGACATACTTCGTTCTATTTCGCGAATAGTATAGAGTACGTTTCACTGTTTTGTTTACTCTTAAACACTCTACACTATGCCCGAAATGTTTCACGAAATATTTCAGGAAAGTTTTATAATAATATTTCAGGAAATAATTCAGAGAACTTTATTCGTTAGTTTATTTGTCAGATTTTTAAGTTAGGTTAGTTAAACTCCTTATTGAAAAGTGTAATTTGTATAATACATAGTATTTTTTTATTTCCAGTTAATTGATGTTGAAGTAATGAGAAATTTAGAGCTAGCTCTGATTTGCGTAATGGCTTGTACAATCCTACTGATCGCAGACTGGCAAATTTGTTTTTGGATATTTGTTTGCGTTTTAATTACTATGATCAACGTTTGCGGATTTATGCAGAGATGGGGTCTCACAATAGACTTGGTAAGTAAAGTCTTTCCAACGATACAAGGGACAATTTCGACAGACGCGAGACGCAACGACCAAAAACTGACATAAAATTTACTTTTGAATTAAGGCTGTATTCCTTTGCTTACCTTGGTTATGGTTTTATGTTCCGTTTCTATCGGTTTCCTGAAAGTTTTCTTATTACGGAACACGGTTCTTGAAAAATTCGGTTATAACTGTCACCAAACTAACCAGCGCGAGAAGGCTGGTTTTTCTGGTTTTGATTGTCAATCAATGTTATTTATGTGAAAGAAATCAAGCAAATATTGGAAGTTCGAGTGAAATTCTGATTTAATTTCTAAAATTTGTAATAATATTTTGTATTTACATCCAAAAGCAATGGAGGTAGGCAGTAAAGGTAAATAAATTTCATTAACTAAATAGAATGACTTTTTAGGACCATTTAAACATATCATGCAGCCATTGTTTCTTAAAGTCAGGATCATTTAAAGAAAACATGAAAAACAAGATAAGAAGTAATCGTGAACGTTTTGTAAGCTATAAAAATATAAATATTGATTAGATTTGTGTATTTATTATTGATCTATTTTAATATTGGACCTGCAAATCTTTACTTGAGCTGTCTAACGAGTTTAACAGTTTATTAATAAAGTACTTTTCAATATTAAACTCCATTGAAAAGAAGAAGCAAACGTAAAAGCAGAGAATAGGTACATTAAAAATGCATAAAAGATAAATTTTATAGTAGAGGTATTGAAATTTAGAAAACGTCAACATTTGACGTTTCCAATCAAGTAGTTTACCGGTCTGGTTCGCCCGGTTTTGCAACGAAATACAGCTTAAATGTTTTGATCAATGATTATTTATAATAATAACAATATGCCAAGACACCGGATTAAGAATTTAAATTAATATTTCAGGTTTCCTGCATAGGCTTAGAATTGGCAATAGGTCTATGTGTGGATTACGCTACTCATATTGGGCATACATTTCTGACAGTACACGAGGGATCCAGACATGAGAGAACTATGCGAACGGTAACCTCTATCGGATCTGCTGTTTTATATGGAGGTCTCTCGACATTTATTGGAATTTGTATGATGAGCCAGTCTGATGCCTATACGTTTCAGTCCTTCTTTAAGGTTTGTATACATGAAATATGCAGAGTATTTGCTAAATAAAATGAAACATTTTAGAGTGTACCATATTGTAAAAAAGTTTATAAAAAAGTTTTACTACAAAAATAGAGATCGTCTAATGTTTTTAGTGTCTTGTTCTGGCTGATTATAAACAATGCGCAAATCGTATTTTTAGTCATATCTCAATTTTTTCAAATGGAATGAGGGTAGCTCATTAACGTATTTGGAAAAAGCATTTCTTCAAACTTCTTGGGGATAGCGACTCTGTTTTTATAACAAAAAAAATATACAGGCCCTGTATTTTATAGTTGCCCAATGACTAATAGTACGAGAGCTAGCAACGTCGGAAAAACAAGTATTTTAAGACGTCTGGCTCTTTGATATATCTTTTACTATGCTCTCTAGAACAGCGTGCGGCCCGTCTGGCTGCCGGTAAACGTTGCGTTCTCTACTGCGCATTGAAAGAAGATCCTATATTTTTATTAGTCCTTTAAATTCTAGTATTGAATATTAATCGAACGTCTCCATAGCGCAGTGCGTAGAGTTTCCGACCACGAACCGATGATTCAGAGTTCGGGTCAGGGCAAAGACTTTTCTATTTTATTTTCGTTTATATTCTGATAGTAAAGTATGTATTAAATATTTGTTTTTGAATCACCATAATTATTTTTTAATACTTTACTATCAGAATATAAACGAAAATAAAATAAAAAGTCGTTGACCTGACCCGGATTCGAACTCTGAATCTTCGGTTCGTGGTCGGAAACTCTACGCACAGCGCTATGGAGACGTTCGATATATCGTGGGCGTACAGCGAAAATCCACTAAGTCACATTTTTGGTGGAATTGGGTTAAACACACCACTATGTCCAGTTTTTCACGGTCTTTAACATGAAAAACCCATTAAGTCCAATTTCCGCATTCTTATAATATAATATAAGGATGCCGAAATTGGACTTAATGGGGTTTTCATGTTAAAGACCGTGAAAAACTGGACATAGTGGTGTGTTTAATCCAATTCAACCAAAAATGTGACTTAGTGGATTTTCGCTGTACGCCCACGATATATTCAATACTAGAATTTATAGGACTAAATTAATAAAAAAATATAGCATCTTCTTCCGATGCGCAGTAGTGAACGCAACGGGTATCGGCCGCCAGATGGACCGCATGCTGTCCCAGAGAGCATAGTAAAATATATATAAAAGCTTTCTTACAATACTTTCTCGAAAACGTTGCTAGCTCTTAGACTATAAAGAATACAAGGACATATAACACCCGAGACGAAATTGTTACCATGGCACCAACCAGTGCCGTGGCCATATATTTTTCTTAACTTAACTGCTTGAAGGGATATTTATATTTTTGATAAATGTTTTGACTACGCCTGTAGGCGGTGACATCATACTAATTAATGACGAAATAAATGTATTAAAATGTTAACAGAAGGTAGAAAACTAGTATCGACGTATAGCACATCTTAAGTACATATACTATCAGAAAAATAATTACCAAATTCAATAAGAAAACGCTAAAAAGGTGGAGTGGACTGTTTATTTACTTATGAAACGCAACTCTCCCGGCTCTTTCTTATCATTGTGGCTTTAAAGCTTGAAAGCTGAACACATCACCATTGTAATAAAGTTTATACAAAGTTCACTACACACAACAAATTATTAAAAATCGCTAAAATTGTCGCAGTTGACGAGGTGGTGACTCATCCGTAGGCTCCAAAAAGATGGTTCTAACGTAACAAATTCTGCTGCAGCCCGTATATGGGCGTTACATGTTCTTCTATTCTTTAGTCATTGGGTGAGCCACTTTTGAAACGCACCCGGTATAGATATTATGAGTAAATTAAGTGTGTTTTTTACAGATATTCTTGCTTGTCATTATATTTGGTCTATTTCACGGGACTATATTTTTACCCGTAATGTTAAGCTGGATTGGACCAAGACCTTACCAGACAAAATCGAAACCAATACCTCAAGACGACGTAATAGAGAACTGTACTGAATTGACATAGTATTAGGATAATTTATTTTGTTAGTTTACCAAAAATTAAATTATTTTTTCATTTCTTGTTGTTTTAATATATTCAAGCATGTCACTGATATTTTTAATAAAATAATTCTTAAAATTCTCTGAGAACTTTTCTCGTAAATTTTATATAACTCGAAACTAATTTAATACAGTATTATCCACCCCAAACGGTATATATTCTGTGTTTCTGATATATGGAAAAGTGAAAAATATGGTTGGAAAGAAGCTAAAATCAAAGAATATACCACCTACTACCGTTATCTAAAATATAAAAATATGGAATATGGGAATCACCCAAAGTTACTAAATTAGCAGCAGATTTCAGCTTGTTTACAAATAATTTTATATTGTTTCCATGTATTAAGTGCATTATATTCGACTAGGTTTCGATATTTTAACATGGTAAAAAGCTAAAACTAAAAAAAAATTCACCTAAATTAGCAAATTTTTTAAAAGGATATCTAAAAAAATATAGCAAAAAGTAGCCCACCACAAGTTTGTGTCCACCCCCAGCAAATCTTGGCAAGTAAATTTAAGTTTTATATAACAATTATACATATAGATTTTTGATACATACAATATTTTATACATATTTTACATGTAAAATATATAAAAAAATGTTTATTGCAGAAATTGTATTTCTCTGATTATAATGGGGCCATTGGAGAAATCCAGTTAGAGTAGCATTATTTATTGTTTCAAAACATTAATTATAATATATTAGGATATTAAAAATACTACTTGGAATTAGTAAAAATAGTTTGCTTTGGATGTGGTCCAAGACATATTAAAAGCATTTTACATATTTTTACTGCTATAATGAAAAAGATGTACATCTTATGACTACATAACAAAAGTTGTGTATCGATTTTTACTTGTGAAATGTAATTCCCGCCACTTTTTTCTCAGTGTGGCTGCCTGGGTAACGAATTTCAGACATAATAATCAGTAAATTATTTTGTTTTTGAAACAATAAGATAAATAATGATCGAATAAAAACGGCGTCAGCGATGGCTACGAAATGAAGATCGTTGTCATTTTAAATGTAAAATTATATGGGAAATGTCATCGATCGTCATTTTCAAGCCAACTGGGCGCCGTTTTTTTTTCGATCATACGGTATATTAAAGTGTAATACTATGGTGTAATAGGAATGACTTACAAAAAATAGTAGTGAAAAAGCTTTCTCAGCTTAGAACTGGTTGGGACACCTAGAAAGCCTCGAAAGGTGAGTTTGGAACAGATTCAAGGACCTGGAGCTAAGGACTTGGGAGAGGAACCTGGGATCAGCAACCTGAAATCTAAAAAACAGAGACTTTATGAAAAAAATCCAAAAATCCAAAGTCCTTCTCTAAAAATCTCAAAGATAAATTAAATAATATAAATATTCAAATAGTATAACAGGAATGACTTACAAAAATAGTACTTGGTAAAAAAGCTTTCTTAGCTTCGGAACGGGAAAATGGAACACCTAGAAAGCACTCGAAATGTAAATCTGGAATGGAAACCTGGAGTCAGGGACTTGGGAAAGGAACCTGATATCCAGTAACGTGAACCTGATATCTAAAAAATAGATTTTAATTATGTTTATTAATATTTTATAAATTCAATGACTTTTTCCAAAAATCTGAGAAAAAAGGAATGACTTAACAAAAAATACCTAGTAGTAAACAAGTTTCTCAACTTTAAAACTGAAAAATAAAACACGTAGAAAAGACTGGAAATGTGAGTTTGGGATGAATCAGGAATCAAAGCATTTTAGAATCAGCAGTTTACAGTTATTTTGTACCAAGGCTAGTAGTATATTATAATATTATAGTTAGCATATTACCTTAATTCTTATAAACTGGAATATTATAATAATCTCTGTGCTGACATCAAACTATAACGTATAATCCAAAATCCAAACACGGTATATCCTTATATCCTTGGTATACGGTATACCCCAAACACCAACAAAACACAAAACATGATAAGATATTCTCTTGAAGAGAATAGAATATCTTATCATGTTTTGTTTTGTGAAGAGAATCTTCTGTGATTATAGAAGATTCAAAAAATGGCGCCGTACCACAGAGCTTACCGGGCTGAAATGAAACCACAGATGAAACATCCAAATCATATGGACAGTCATCATGACACAATGACAAATGACATAGGTATGTCATATTGTCAAAATATAAAATAAATATTTATTTTTGTTTATTTAATATTTAACCACAATATTATTATTTTTTTACTATGTTTTATAAGAATACTTCTTTTTTAAACGAAAGAAACACTATATTTATGAGAAGATATACCTCCTGTTATACTAATAACGTTAGAGTATTGATGGATTTATTTAGTAAGTTTTTAGTGTTATTTACTTGAAATAAAATAACTTGAGGGCTCTATAGATTTCTCTGAATCTAAGGCTGAGGCATATGTTCGAAAGCACAAAAAGCTTTTCCACAAAGAAACATCGCAAATCGTTGATAGTTATCATTTCTGTAAAAAGATAGGATATACCAATAGAGATATTTTAAAATATTCAAATTTATTGATACCACCATATATTCAACATGTTCAACACTTTAAATCGTTGGAAGAGACCGGTTGTAATCCAATTCATCCCAAACTACTAAGCAAGTAAGTGTTGTATATTGTGTTCGTTATTTTTTGACTTTCACCAAATTTATGCGAATATCAGTATTCAAAAAAATATTTAAAATGTAACTAACATTAGTAAAGGTATTACATATTACAAGTAATACTAATTTTCTTTTTTATTTTTAGTCCAAAACTGTATATGAAGAGACCAATTTCAGTTTTTAAAGTTTTGAAGTTTTTAAAAGCAGAAATAAATGTAGCTGATCAGTTTTTACAGTACATCAATCTTCCTATTGAAAAACCCAAAGAATTAGACAAAAGAAAGAATATTCTTGATGACATGCTATGGACGGATATTCATAAACGAATTTTAGACGAGTGGCTTAGTCAGTATTCAAAACTATTGTTCATCTCTCGTTACTTTTCCTAATGTAGCGGGGACACAATCTGTCAAAGTAATCAAAGTTAGATATTTTCTGTTTAAATTAAAATTTGTTTTATTTTTCAGAAGCAAGACTAGATGCATCAGACGAAGATATTATTAAGTTGTTTCGAATTCATAAAATGATTAAAAATAAAAGTTTTCGGGTAATAGAAGAAAATATTCAGTTAGCCGAATCTTTGGGATTAGACAGTCGGAAAATTTTGAAGTGTGGTTATCTATTAAATAACTATCCAGAATATCCAAAAACGGTCTTAAGGGACTTTCCTAATTTAGCAGGCTTAGATATGAGAGCTGCCATGAAAACAAATCCAAAATTAATGATGATTAATCCGAAAAATATTTTGAAAATATATGGTTTATTGAAGGTATAACTCAACCAATATACAGTGTGGTCCGAATTATATTCGTTAAACTTTTTAAATCCCTATTATCTACTAGCACATCAAACTTGTATATTATTGCATATTTCAATTCTTCCTCCAATTTTAAGTAATAATCGTAATACACAATGTACATAAATTGTAGAATTGAAATGTTAAACGAAAATTTTGTAATTTTCAGACTTGTTATAATCTCATTTTATACATCTATAGATGCTAAGTTGAGAACTAACGCCAAATATTATTAAGTACCATAGTTTCGGCAGAATGGCATCGTTAAGTGAAACTGGACATATCGAAATTAATTAAATCAAATTGTTTAAGTGATATTTTTAAAAGTCAATAACTCGGAAACTGTTGGTTTGAGGTACATCGTGTGTATATCGATTTTTGCTTAGAATTGAAGGAAGAATTGAAATATGCAGTAATATACAGGGGGTTCTATTTAAAAAAATTAAACTTTTATGTGCCACGATTTCATGCCCCACTCTGTATACTTAAATTTATTACTACTCTATTCCTCTACTCATGCGTACTTAAAAATATGTTTTAAATTTTCACCATGACATTCTTTCCATCTTTAATGTATGAAAATATTAAATGATATTTGACTCCTTCATATTAGAATATATAAACAAGGATATTACCCTTGTTTATATATTTTTAAAGTTGCCCAACCGACTAGACAAAATGTGCTGCCAACTGGAGGACAAATCGTGAACCTTTCGGTGCGGAGTCAAAAATATCGATTATTTTCGTTATTTTCCTCAGAGTAATGTAATAATATAGCCCAGGGTTTCTGCGAACTTTACTAGTGATCAGCTGATTAAGAAATTTAAACGAAACTTTTATTTTATTGTAAATTGTGGATTATTTTTGCCTGTTATTTTAAGAATTCTAAACCGTATTAACATACAACCGTACAACATATCGAAATAATTATTTCTTTCATAATTTCGATATGTTGGTACATTATTTATAATTTATGATAATGCTAATTGATGTTAATTAATATTTAAAAAAAGTTACATACCTATTTTAATTTGATTTAATGCAGGTTTATAAAAGAATCATTTCATTCTTAGATTATTTTATTCTAAATTGAGTGCTTTACGAATTTTATGATATTTTTTTTTGAAAACATGAAACTTTTTACATTTTTGATGCCAACTAATTGGCATGGTATTATTGGTATGGAAATTAGCCAAGAAAGAAAAGAATTGGCTATAACTTGTAATTTTTCGAAAAAAACATATTATACCCATATCTCTGAAAAGCTTAAAAAATGGCGCTTTTTATGAAGTCATGGCCAACTATGGTTTCCATTTAAAAAAAAACAGAAAACACAAACTCATTAGGTATGTGATTATCTACAACTTTTATCTGAAAACTTTTTGTCTAAAATACCGTATGATCGAATAAAAACGGTTTCAGCGATGGCTATGAAATGACGATCGATGATATTTCCCATATAATTTTACATAGATATAAAATGACAGCGATCTTCATTTCATAGCCATCGTTGACGCCGTTTTTATTCGATCATACGGTAGAATATAATGGAATTAGAGACAAAGTTTTAAAATAGGCAAAATTTGTTTTTTTTTCGAAATATCTAGTAAGCCTTGAATTTCTCCGAAAAATCCGAAAGGCGCATATTTATGACCCCACAAAACTACAATTCTTTCCCCATTTAACCGACTCTCTATCTCCAGTAGTTTCCGAGATACCCATAGAGAACATCGTAGGAAACTCGCCCTGTATAGTATTTAGAAACTAACTATTATTATTATTTGACTAGATTAATTTGATTAATAAAACTCGATTAATTTAATTTAAAATGAATTTGATCAGATTATTTTTTCGTATATTCTACTACCAGAAAATCAAAATTATATGATAACGCACTTTTCAACGAAGTTGAAGGAAGATATAGTGTATCATCACAATACTTAATAGAATTACTACAATTAGAAGAAAAACAAAAAGAAAAAATACACAAATACCTTCACCTACTACTCATCTACAAAATAAACTAATATAATCTCTTATAAAAACACTACACAACTACTTCTTCACTACTTCAACCACTTCTACACTGAAAAAATTATCAAACTTACTAATTAATCAAACAAAAAGAAAAAATGACCAAATTATCCCTTCACCTACTACTTAACTGCAAAATAATAAACTATAAAAACACTACTAAACTATTTCTGGTATTCTACACTAAACATTATAATTAAACTAAATAAAATTAATCTAATTTTACACTACAACTACAAAGAAATAAGAACATTTTAAAACTAAAAGAAACAGAACCTCGATACGTGCAACCAGTATAATAGATCAAGCGGACAAAGAATATAAAATACTTTAAAAATGTGCATTCTGAAAGAAAAAATATCTCGAAAATTATCTAAACAAACATTTTTTTTCTTATCAGTGAAAAGCATCGGCCTCGTCGGCTTTGCGAAATTTGTCGGGTATTTACAATGGTCGAATTGTATAATTACCAGCTTTTAAGCATATCTAATAGACAAAAAGTATCTGGTCGATTAGTAACCAATTGGCACAGTCCGAAAATTATCGATTTTTATTTTCTCTGTTTTTATTGGTCGCTTCAAAATTCAGAGTAACAAAAAATATTTTTCTGTAGTAAAAGACTGTGAAATACGCCCCGCCATCTGGTGCTTTACATCCATAAACGTCTTAGGTTGAGCTACTTTAAAAATTCATATACAAGGATATTACTTAGTCTTTTATTCAATGTGTTCTTTTTTGTAAACTAATGAAATGATTTATTTATTAGATTTTTGGGTAATTGTAAAACATTCTTTGATTTTAGGAACATGGCATATCTGACGAACACATCCGGAAAAAACATCAAATTTTTACCATGAATGTCGATACTATTCGTTGCAGATTACTAGAAATTAAAAGGCATCCAGAACTTAGATCTATAAGTGATTATATAAATATTTTACATTTAATTGTTCACCAAAAGAAAATCAATTCGAGGTTGTCGTTTATGCAGGAACTTAAACTAAAATGTGGTAGTTTTCAAATTTTCCGTAAGTTACAAATTAACTGAAATTCGTATACCGTGCTGGTCATCCGATTTATGTGGTCTGGATTTTAATGCGTGTGACAGAGAATAATATAAATGACCGGTTGACAGACAGAGAGACAAAATTAAAAGCGGCATACAGTGTTGCCGGTTTTTTGCGTTTGTAGGAAAATGTCTGTAGAAAAATATAAGCTATTTTAAAAACTTTCATGGTATACTACTGAAATGATGATAATATATCTAAACTAAATATAATCTATTACAGCTCTGTAGTAAAATGAGTAACTAATAGTGAAAAATAAAGTGCCAACATTAGATGCAACATTTTTCATAAACCCCTACTTATGCGGTTTCAATTTTTTTTTGATGGAAAATCCGGCAATACTGTGATGTGTCGACCCAATTTTTATCTCTTTTTAATACATTTGATTTTCCATTAAGCTGTCTACATCACTGCCTTACATGTTAAAATCCAGAGCGCACAGTTTCGATGACCAAATCGGTATATGTAATTTGTTTTTCTTATGAGTGATCTGTCTCAAAAACATAAAAACAACTTTAAAAACAATAAATTATTGATACTGTACTTTTTACGTGTATACAGGATGTTTCCAAAAAAATGTGCCATCTTTCGTGGGGAGATTCTTCACGTAAAAATAAGATTTATTTTTGGAAGACAATTATAATAAATCGAAAACTCCCTGTAGCTACGAAACCAAGCAGAATCGGACATATGTTGATATGAAAAATAAATCCTATTTTTACGTGAGGAATCTCCCCACGAAAGATAGCACAGGTTTTTTGAAACACCCTATATATCCACCCTGTTGGAAAGCTAATTATTGTTTTGACTGGTTCATTTGACGTGAAAGTTGCTTAGCACAGTTGCTTGACCGCCGACGCCCCCCCAGCCAGGCGGCCTAAAAGATAAAGTTCTTGGACTTTTATCATATTATTTCCAAAAAAATCCTGTATGTGTATTTCGCCACTGCTGCAAGAAAATCTACAAAATAAAATAATTATTTTTTGTAAACACTTCTGCGCTAAACCTAAACGGACGCTGCTTGTCAGAAGTTATGTTTACGGTAATACAAATTTGCCTAACAAAGCAAAAAAAAAATGCTTAACGTTTCGGAAAGTTATCTCTTTCCGTCGTCGGAAGCAAAAAAATACAAAGAATATAGAAAAAAACTATTTAAAATATTTAAATTCAACTATTCGAGAACACTTTACTTTTTTTAAAACAGATACGTCTACAAGAAACCGTTGACGTTCTGTTGTTTGTTGACGGTTTCTTGTAGACGTATCTGCTTTAACAGCGCCGTCTAGCTTCCACGTAAAAATGTATGGAAACAAAGTTTATACTGAGGATTATTACGAAAGAAAAGCTCTTTTAAACGAACCCTAGTTTGTTTAAATCGACTAACCTAAACCAGAGTTATCCTTATTTTAGTAAAAGAAAGTTTAACCTTCCCCCACCACTTTATTTAAAAAAAAAAATACAAATTTCCCATTGATTACAATAGGAATACCTCTTCACTTGAATATTTTTGAGAACAATCTTGTTTTCTGATTGGCCTCACAGATGCGCCCCCTAGCGGACATTTGTCGAACTTTTCTTTGGAGTAGTTTCTGAGATACAGGCCACCCGGTACTTAATCAAATTTAAAATTTAATGCCGGGTCCAGAACAAGGCGACAAAAAGTAAACACGATTTTGAGACAAGAACAAGACAATTTGCGACAAAAAATGGGAAATTCTGACAAGACAAACTTGACATATTTTCTCTTTCGTTGTATTTTTTATTTAGAACGGTGTTTTTCAAGTTACGGACGATTTAATGTCACTAACGCATTTTTCATCAAAGTGGGTAAATATGACCATCCTTTAACTTTCGATTTAAGCCATACTATTGAACCGAGTTGAATTGATTTACTCATTCACGCAGAATTTAATTCTCTTTTATTTGACTAATGGGGCAATACTTGCTAAAACGCAACGTTTCGGAACTATAGGCGAAGATATGAAAAAAAGTCCAAGACTTTTACCATCTTTTGGACCTCCAAGCTCGAGCGGTGGTCGAGCGACCGTGCAAACCTAATATAATTAAAAAAGAAAAAGAAAGAAGAAATCTTCAAGTAGAAATCCTTGAAGAAATTCTCATACAAACGCTTTTTTGACATCAAATGGAATAAAATAAAAACAATAATTACCTTTCCGACACTTTTCCAAGTAGTCTTAATAAATCCTATGTGGCTGGCGTAAATATAATAACGTATAATTTTATTTTAGAAAATATGGAAGATAAATTTTTTGAGGATTATATCAAGGAAGGAAAAGACGTAAATTTAAAAGCGGACCTCATCAGATTTCTTTCGATATTGTTCAAGAAAGATAAAAAGGAAGTGTCAAAAATAATATATGCGCATCCGTGTTGTCAGTGTGTACCTTTTATAGATATGGAAGACACTTATAATTATTTAATCAAAAAAGGATACACAAATGAGAGTATTTTCAAAGCTATGTACATCTTGCTGTATCCAAAGTAAGACGTTTTTATTTTTATTTAAAAAAGCGGAAAAAAAATCGAACACTATTTTTAAATTCATCTACTGTTACGGTTTTTTAAAGTTCTGCGTATGCTGAATACTCATGCCAATTTGAACAATTTTGTATAAGCCGTTTTTAACTAATTTATGAAAGACTGTATTTGTTTTTAAATTAAAACTGAACGGGTAAAAAACAACGCAAAGAAATTTTTAAAACTTGGTTTATTTTCCTACCTCGAATTTGTAGCCTCTATAAACGTTAATTTATTTATTATTATAAAAAAAATTCAGTGATTTTAATTATTATTTATATTTTTACTGACTTGACTATCTAAATCAAAATTATCAAATTAATGAGTTACCGTACTTATTTAAACATTTCATTTAATGTATTTTTCAAATTTTTTGGTTGTATTTTGCTATCACAATAGGAGGAGAAATTAATAGCTTAGATCTAATATCAAGGTTCTATTTTTTAACCGCTTGTTGAATATTTTAAATATCCTTTTTAATGTTGATGATAATTTTATACGACGCGACGTTTCAAAAAATTCATAATTAGAAAAAAATATTAACTAGAAAGAATTCTTTCAATATTTTGTGTACCAACTGGCATGCTGGCAATTTACACAAATTACCTTTAGATTTGAAAAAAAAACAAACCGAAGAAACTTTGACAGAACGGTAAATAAAAAGAATCATAAAATGTGGGCGATCACGAAAAAAAAAATAACCGGTTATAAATTTAAATAAAGTCCATAAACTAATGTCGAAATTGCCATCTTGACACCAGCCATCTTGATTGCAATTTTATTGAAAAATCGCTTTGTATTAACAAGTTTTATTATTCTATACTATAAACTTAAAAAAATGTATACTTAAAAAAATAATTGTAGGTCTAAAATAGATGAAGCCATAAAGACCATTTTACTAGACCCTGACGCGGATTTTTATGATTTAACTCAAAAGCAGGTCCTCAATTTGGCTTTATATCATATGGAGAAGAAACATCACTTTACTGGAAACGGAATATGGGCTACTACTCCCCCTGAAGATATTGTTTTAGAATAATAAATTTTCTTATAGAGTAAAAATGATTTTTTATTTATTAAAAAAAAGTGAATATAAAAATACAGTGTAAAGTTGAAAGTTCCGAAATATTTACATTCTTTGAAAACTTATTTGGATAAAGTTATCTACTACTATATCTAGATGATACAGTGAACGACATAATATCGGACACGTGCTGTAATGGGCGGTAATACAATATCCAAAAATGAGAAATAGATTTTGTAATTTAAACCATTTAAATATGAGAAAAATATATGTTGATTAAATACATTAATTCCTTATAACAATAATTAATGATCTATTATAAACTTCAACATAGAAAAAATCTCACCATATTATTGATGGAGAAAATTAGCCGGAAAACCATTTGATTCTTGAGGGTTGCAATCGAATTGAAAACGAAATATTTTATTTTTCTTCACTATTTTAAATGGACCACCCTGTATTTTGTATCATAATCGAACAATGTTTTGTTTAATCTTTTTATATTTATTATTAGGTATTAACTTATTTATTTAATGTGACCTATAATATTAATATAGGTTTTTAAAGATCTATGATAAGCTATATTAATATTTTTTTTTCTATAAATATTCACAATATTATTTTCAAAATTCATATATCAGTTTTGTTGGCTGCATAACCATTTAAATGCTGAATTTTTTTATTTATATATTTGTCAGATAAACATTTTGTCATTGGATAAACGACCAATAATAATAATTATTCCAAGTCAAAGGAATAGAAATATTTTTTTGTACCATTATACAATGAAAAATAATAGACATTTGCAGATTTGACACATAAAAAGTTAAAAAAAAAGCAATGCAGAGGGGAAATGCAATTTTATTTAGCTGTCTTCAATTCTTGAATATTTGGATCATATTGTTGCTGCTTAATTAAAATACCTATTTACAAACTGTGGCTACAAAACAATAATGTATTTTCCTTTGGCAGTGCCTATTAATAAAAAATTTTGAAGTTTAAGAAATTAAAAAAACTTAAATATGTGTGATAAAAAATGTGGGTAAGTTAAAACATATACTATGTAATTCTATTATTGGTAATTTAACAGAATATGTGATTGTACCGTGTTGACCAATTATGAAAGATAAATATACACACGAGGTAACCTTCTGTTGACTGTAAACGCTGAAAACAAACACCGATATAACAATTATCAAAAAATATGAGTGGATTTTATTTTAATCAAGTAATTCAATATTCTAAAATTAATTATAATAGTTTTTGTTGCTACGTTGATATGAAATTAATATAAAAGAGCGACGAATGGCATTTAGAATTATTCGTTGTTGTCTTCTCGTCCTGTGCAATCGCAGTTTTATTCTCGCAGATCGAAAATGGCACCGGTAGTGGAAAGAATTAAGGATATCCCTAATATCGATTTGGGCGAGGGACCTTACTGGGATATCGAGACGCAGAGTCTGTTTTTTGTGGATATTGTTGGAAAGGCCATTCACAAATACGTTCCTTCAACAGGAAAACACACTAAGGCTGTGTTAGGTAAGGTATTTTTAACATTTACGTATCAATATGATGATGTCTTATCCCAAATACATCTGATAATCTGATGATAGATGTAAAATATTTATAAAACATGAAATTTTTTTCTTATTATAGTGTATTTTATTGGTTGCATACTGTTGTATATCAACCTTTATATCAACAAATATTGAAATTCTACGTTATAGGGGGATATCTAAAAATTAGCTATTATTAGCGAATTTATTAAGCGAATTATATACAGGGTCGTTAAAGGCTTAATTGTGGTAGTGTTTAAGTTTTATCCATCATAATACAGGTATACCATAATACATAGTATATTCGCGTGCAATAGTTCATATAGTCTGACCCTTTAACCAACGATCGGATATATTTCGACAGATAGCATACTAAAAGTGACAGAAATTACAATTTACAATATGTCAATTAAAAGGACACTACTCTCACTGCCAGGGATTTTGCCGTTGGACACTATAGTTAGGAAAAGAGATCGTAAATACCGGTCAGAATGAATTAAGATAATAATTTAATTTTGTTTTTGGTAGCCTACTTGCTATAATTTCTGGGGATAATAATTAACTAATATTTTCTCTTTTATATTTAATTAATTTCTGTTAGGTGTTACAATAATACAAATAATGTTAATGATATTCCTGTCCTGCACATTTAATGAAAATATTTATCATTAATGAATTTGTTTTTAATTGATATAATATATGTAAACAAAAACCTGATGGTCGTATCAACTATTATTTTAAGCTCCTCTGGGTGTACTTGTTTGTCTGAATATTATTCCCAAAAGAATATTAAATGGACTATATGCCAAAGGTATAAAATATCACTTGTAAATTCTTATTTGAAAGCTATGCAATAATATAAACATAATTTATAAATATAAAAAGTAAACAAGGAGTAACGAAATAATGTTAAATAGATATAATGCAATACCTATCACAACATAAGATGTCATAAAATTTTATTTATTGATAATTATTAATTTAATTATCATATTGTTATGTTGTTTTAAAACTGTTTTAAAATTGTTTTAGCAAACGTTTGAACTGTTATTTTACAAAAAACGGTGTCCATTGTGTGGAATCATTGTTTTGTATCTCGTTTTTCTAGAAATAAAAATTAATATTTATTTTTTAAAAAGAAAAAAACACATATTCAGATAAAGCAGGTTTTGTTGCAGCAAAATGTATGCATCCTGATTTTTTAGATATGCTATTTTATTAAAATTAGGTGAGGATTTGAAATGGATAAGACGTCAGTAGAGTATTATTATATTTGTGTAAAAAGCCTATGAAAAAATGCGGGATTAGTAGAGAGGTTTTGCGAAGAAAAAAAATATTCCTCGATTTAAGGAATTTTTACATTTTCTTTATTAATAAATGAATATCGCTATTCAATATCTACTTTTATTTCTTTTTAAATTTAGACAAACCCGTTTCACTGATTGTTCCGGTCAAGGGACACAAGGATAAATTTGTCATAAGCCACGGGAAGGAGGTACTGATTGTCACCTGGGACGGAGTAAGCAGCAAGGTGTCCAAAAGAGAAAAAATCGCCGAAGTCGACCAGGGAATCGAATCCAGGATAAATGATGGAAAGTGCGATCCAACAGGAAGACTATGGTTCGGTAAGATAAAAATCGATTATTATAAAATAGTATTATAGGTTAAAATAATTTAACCTCTACAGGATGGTTCAAAAAAGTGTGAGTGGATCGGGATTATTTTTTTTAATAAAAAAATCCTAAAAACTTCCCAATTTTGAAAAACTTATTTTATTGGATTGTATATAGGTACCATCGGGCCAGAACCAATCTTCGGTCAGATAGAACGCCATCGCGCTTCTTTCTTCTCTTACGACAACGGTAAGGTCATCACTCACTTGACGAAGGTCGACATTTCAAACGGATTGGCATGGAATACGGCCCTAAACAAATTCTATTACATCGATTCGCTCAAGAAAACTGTCGACCAATTTGATGTCGATCTTGAGGCTGGGATAATATGTAAGTCGTTTTGTTTTATTCCTTTAGTAATAATAATATTGTTGATATTTTTTTCTTTGATAGCAAACAGGCAACCAATTTTCACATTTGACAAACACAACATCGCTGGCGTTCCTGATGGTATGACCATTGACGCCGATGGCAATTTGTGGGTGGCCGTTTTTGATGGTTACAAAGTTCTCAACATCGATCCTAGACGGCCTGAAACTCTCCTACGAACCCTCGACATTCCTGCCAAACAGGTAAGGCAAAAGTTGCAAAAAGTTCGTAACTTTTTAAGCCTATACAGAACTAACTCACGCTAAATCTGAAATTATACAAACAAGGCTTTAACTGTTACACTACAGTTATTTCTCTATCAATTCTCTATATTTCTAACTCTCTATCAAAAAACGCAAGGCGTTTTCTTCATGTGTTGGCGGTACGGCACCCAGGTTTCGCTCCCATATAACATGGTAGGGATTATAATTGCTCGGTACACTGCAAGTTTCGTTTTTGTACTCAAGTCGTGATTGTAGAAAACCCTGTCTTTTAATTTCCGGAATGCTCTGAGGCGCTGCTAATCCCGTGCTGAATTTCAGAGTCGATATTGGCCTGAATCATAATAACATTTTATTTTGCTGTTGTAACTCTAAACGATCCAATCTCAAATGTAGTAACTTCATTGATTTCTCTTACAGACAACTTGCGTGGCATTTGGCGGACCAAACTTAGATATCCTCTACGTCACCAGCGCTAAGATGACTCAAGATGGTGTCGTGCTCCCCCCACCCGATCACGGAGCCACCTATAAAGTAACTGGTCTGGGAGTGAAGGGTGTGCCAGTCGACGAGTATGTCTTGTAAAGACAATTTTTTATAAACGCACCTGTTCTTCATCTCACCTTTCGAAATATTAAAATAAAATATTGTTAATTTAACATAAGAGTTATTGTTTTATTTCCTATTTTCGTATAAAATTTATTATACCATATTTGACGTGTAATTCAAGTTTATAATAAGTCCCGATTGGACAGAACTAAAGCAAATCTAAAGTATGTACAATAGAGGTGGGAATTCTAGTTCCTTGGGAGGAACTAGTTCCTTAGTTCTAGTTCCTCCCGAGAAATAGTTCTTTGAACTAGGTCTTTAGTTCACAATAGTTCCCGACTAACATTGACATCCCCCTTGCTTACTAATGCGTTTCGTTGTCAGTCAGAACTATTCACAGTATGATCTGTATAATTCTTATAAAGTACGGAGATATAACGAGACGTGTAATTGTGTATGTTAAAAACATATAGGTAAGTTTTATTGCAGATAAAAAAAAAAACCTAAATCAGAATTTAAAAAACTATATCACAAATCAATTGGAGCAAATATTACAAAAATTTTACGAAAAATTGCATTTTTCCTCACTTCAAGCTTTTTGTTTTTGTCTAAAAATTCAGAATATCTACTTCGTTTTATAAGATATTCCTTAATTTTAGGGACCTAAAATGAAACATTCCCATAAAATATTTAAAAACCAAACTAAAAATCAAACAGTATCCACGACAATTTTCTGTGGTAATTACGCCGCACCCGCGCCGGCTGTGGCAATAGACAAGGCCGAATCCATCGTCGTCGACTGAATAGATTCCCGTGAACTAGTCTTTTAATAGTTCCTCTATGTCCGGATCCGATAACATACGGCTGGCACTCCCCACGCCTGCCTAGCATTAATCGCGCTGGCTGATCCATATACGTAAACTAGTCTTTTATTTAGTTCCTCTAGTTCCTTTAGGTCCGGATCCGATAACATACGGCATACGGCTGGCACTCCCCACTCCTGCCTAGCATCGATCGCGCTGGCCCGATCCGTTCGTACGTAAACTAGTCTTTTATTTAGTTTAGTTCCTCTAGGTCCGGATCCGATAACGTACGGCTGGCACTCCCCACTCCTGCCTACCCTCGGGCTACGCGCGCTAGCCGATCCGTCGCCGTTGCATATTATTCTATATCGGTCACAGTCTCGATCCCGGAACAGGTCTTGATGAACTAGTTCTTTGAGAAACCAGGAACTAGTTCATTTCATTCCTGGGTCGGAATAGTTCTTTGGAACTAGTTCGTTCACGAACTACACACCTCTAATGTACAACCATTGCGTCATATTATTGATTTTTTTTCTTTCACGTGAAAATGGGATAAAATAAGTTGTGTGTATTATAACGACCTTTCGTAAATCACTACACATTGTGTCTATATTCTGTCCAACAAGAATTCATGACAGTGACAATAGTATCTGTCATATTAATTCACAAGTAAATTGTATATTCTTTTTTTTAATGTCGTTTGTCGAAATCTTCCGTGACTCATTGGAAACTTTATTTTAATTTAAAAAAGTGCAAGTAAAATAAACAAACAAAATTTTTCGTTAATTTTTTTTATTTCGAATTTATGAAAAATCGCCTAGATTTATTACAAAAAATATACAAAAATATCCATTAAAAAAATTAGAAACTTCACTTAGTTGAGCTATTATCAGTTTCTTTTGTAAACCAAAAAAGAAATAAGGAATGATACATGAAACTGTCAATATAATAATCTCAGAAATAATACATGGGGAGTTGATATTAAGATTATAAAAAACAAAATTCTTCAAATATAAGTACCAATAAAAAACTAGAAAATATTTAGATAGTTATAAATTTAAATGTAACCAAAAAGTCATCTTTAAGAATAAAGATATATTAAATAATAACAATAAAATGAGAGAAAAAATTCGAGATTATCTTACAACGAACCTCTATTAGGCAGATCTTTAACTTTGTATATTCTTACTAACCAGTGTTCTGTTGTATACGCTTCTTCTAATACGTCCAATTCAAAATCTTTATTTCCTATTTCTGCACCTATAGAATAAAGAAAATTATACCAAATTAAATGTTAATAAACAATAATAAATTATACACTTATACAATTATAATTTTAGAAGATGTACATAAAAACATTTAATCACTAGTAGATTAAAAAAAGTATTTCTATGAAAAAAATTCCAATAATTGCTAAAAAAAGATGATCTGCAACTACTTTAGAGCCATAAATCAAATTAAACACCGGTTTGAAATTATTCATACTGGTAAATTATTTATTTTCATACCTCTAACTCTGTCCCACCCTTGTGGCCTTCCACCTTCAGTGTGCACCTTTCCAAATCTATAATAGCACATTTTGTACATGAGACAGTTTAGCAAGGCTGGAGCTCCTTCTTTGTCTACTCTGAATTCTCCACTGGGCGAGTAGTAATCGGATTCGTGGATGTGTTTGCCTTTTTCTGTGCTTCCCCCGATCCTAACCATCCACAGAAACTTGTTGATGTCGTCAGAGGAGTAACCTATTAATTAGAGATAGTATTTCAGAAGATTTAGCAATTCACCTTTTGGCTCGAATTTAAAATAACAATGATTTTGGCGATTTTATAACAAACGAAAATAATATATGATGGACCAGATGCCTTCATGCAAAAATGAAAAATTTCAAAAAAATCTTAACCCTATCGATATTTCTTATACATGAAGCAAGTTAAACTATCGATATTTTCATAAATGTAAAAATTCCTACCTGTTAGTCCACCGAAAATCACCAAAACGTAATCTACGTCGAGTTCCCGCATTATTTCTAGAGCTTTTTCTTCTCCGCTGGCCATTGCTTGACCCACCCGGCTGATGTGGGTGTTGTTCCAAGTGTTGTTATCGACCAAGACTGTCCGGTTGGCCATCGCGGTTATTTGGTAGCCGTAATCCCACCAGGACATGATACGGGCATCGGGAGGGGTATTTGATCTCAACCATCCGTACGCCTGTAGAAAAATAACAATTAAGTGTGCGGAGAATATTACGATAAATTAGTAATCGATTACTGATCATGTGCTGAACGCACCTGAAAATTTCCGATGACCAATCGCCGATTGGTAATCGGATGCCATTTTTGCTATCGTTCCCAAAGAGCTATTTGGGATTAGAATCGACTGTTTATATCTTTGAATAAGAAGACTAAGGAAGGAGCATATCAAAAATCTTAGGTACACCGCGATGGGCCTCAAATATGGCGGACTTAAATTCCGGTTTATCAGTGTCGTTCTAATTTTATTTAAAAAATGTAAAACTATGATGTAGGGTAGACGTGGGGTAGACTCAATAATTTGTTGTTTCATTTTACGTTGTGAATAAATGTTGGTAGTTATTAAAATTGTTATAAAAATATATAATTCTAATAAAAATAGATAAGTTATAATAAGTATTTATTAACACAAACATCCGATACGCTACTGAAGCAGGTAAGTCAAATTAACGTATCTAAATTCTTTGGCATCTAATCTTTGACAAGTAATAAATAAAAGCTAAAATGCAAGAAAAATATATAATTTAGTTAATTTAAGTGAATTTCATAAATGATCGGTTTACTACACGCATGTATATTATATAGTCACTTACTACCGAAAAGTTGTTCCATTATTTCACTCAATTTTTGCCGAGATCTACCGCACGCTACACAACCAACTATTTTAGAATCTTTTTCGATAAATCGCGATAGTGTCATTGTTAATTTAACCCTTAACTGGTCCGGCGTCGTCTGACAGACTACGCCAAATAATTAACTCATTCTCATTAGTTACTGGGGCCGCCTACAGGATTGGCGTTCCAGCTAATTCTCCCCCTCACGGTCAACAACTGATAGCCATATTTATACCCAAACTGGATTAGTTTTTTAGAAGTTATGGCAGAAGTTACTTAAGCCGTAGTCTCTCAGACGACGCCGGACCGTTTGTGTAAGATTTTGTGTGTGACAAACTTTTGTAAAATATGGCCGGGTCTTCGAAAAAATGCGTTTAGGAGACTCTAGTTATGAAGAAACTCTATTAAAATGATATGATGAGGACTGTGACAGTGACAATATGAGAATTTGCCAGACAAATGCATTTGACAATGTCAAATATTCCACGAGAAATACACTTTACAATTGGTAGAATACGTCCAATTCCTGTACAACCAGAAAATGCCCACGGAGATATTCTTATCCTATAGAGTTCTTATCCTAGTTAAAGACAATGTTATGCCCTAGTTAATTATTTTTAATGCCTAGAATGTACGATTCCATTGTGTAAAACATGTTTAGGAAAACAATGAACTTTGCCTCATGCTGTAACTAAATTTTTTTTCTTAACTCCAGTTTTATAACTTATTTTTTTATATATATGGTATTAAAAACTTATTTCTATATTGTAATGACTGTTAGTAATTTGGTTTTATTTTTTAGAGCTTGGTAAAAACCTAATTGATTTTTTTCAAATTTATATGTATGTTATTTTATTTTGTACTATATTTTCTTAAAGTTAATATTAATTGAACCCATTTTTGTCTAGATTAGTTCAATAATACGTAATATAATATATAATGAAATAAAAATTTGTTATTTTTTAGTTTTTCTGCGTTTTTTAAACTATTTAGAAGGCGTAGTCCCACAGACTACGCCGGACCGTTTATGATACATATCTATTACCGGACCAGTTAAGGGTTAAGTTCTGCCACAATTTCCATCTAGATTTACTACCTTTATACAACTATCAGTAGTAGAATAAATAATAAATAACATAAAATAAGCTCCGTAAAGACTGACAAATCCACAAAATTTCAAATCAAATTCAAATGTGTCAAATGAATCGTCAAACAGAACTGTCAAGGATCCCCACCCTAGAGTGCTTTTATGGTGCTTTTTCCGCCCACCATGCATGAATACATGGATAGCATTATGCTCCTTCCTTAGTCTTCTTATTCAAAGGTTTATATCAATGACTAAAGAATTCAAGGACAAATAACACCCGAGAGCAAATTGTTACCATGGCACCAAACAGTGCCGTGGACATATTTTTTTTAACTTAGCTGGTCGAAGGGATATTTATATTTTTGATAAATGTTTTGACTACGCCTATGGTGTAGGAGGTGGCATCATACTAATTAATTACGAAAAAAACTATTAAAATGTTAACAAAAGGTACAAAACCAGTATCGACGTATAGCACACATCAAGTACAGCTGGTTCCAAAAAAAATGAATACGACTCTTTACACATTTTTTTCGAATATTTGGGCAGTGTATATTTATGTGTCAAGTATTTTGACATGTTAAGGTTATTGTGACATTGTATAAAACAACTTTGCTTTTGACAAAGTGTCAAATAAATTTTTCAGAACGTCAGCATGACATGAGTAGAGAAATGGGTGACTGGTATCATAGAATATACTGCCCGAAATAATAAAAATATGTTTTAAATCGTATTCAATTTTATTGGAACCAGCTGTACATATAATATCAGAAAAATAATTATCGAATTCAATAAGAAAACGCTAAAAAGGTGGAGCGGACTGTTTATAAGGCTTAATATTTTTTCGATTTATTATAATTTTCTTCCAAGTACGTTTAGCGTTTTGAATGAAATTTTGAGGGTAAAACTTACTATAAATGCGACATCTTTTAAAGCTAAAGAAATGTCTACGTATTCACCAGGGACGTGCATATGGGTTATCACTGGAATATTTTTCTAAAAAAAGCATGTACGCCACTGACTTTTTTCTCTTCTTAGCGAAATAGTGTAAGCAATTTAATGCCGATTAAAAGTTGTATCTTGATATTTTGTCGATTTCGGCCTCCTTGATCTGATAAACGCAATTATATTAATTTGCCTTATTTTTTTTGCTAATTTGCGTTTTAACCGGATAATTCGCGAATAACTAATTTCGCGTATTACTCATAACATATAAATTTGAAGGTAATAAAAATTACAAAGTTATTATAGTACTCACTTCTCTGAAATCGTCAAATATTATCCTAGAACCGTCGTGTGCTCGGGCGCTGAGAACTATGGAAGGAGAGCTATAGGCTTCACTGGTGACCCAGGTGCAGTGGAAAGTGTAAGCACTCAAGAGGGCGATCGACAATACGGCGAATGACAGCGCCACTGGACCTCTAGTTGGGGCAGGCGGAGCAGACTAAATTCAGAATAACATTTTGATTTTGCTAGCGTATTTTATCTTTCTTTACTGTTTAGCTCTCTGGTCTATTACATATTATGATTTGACGCAAAACGAACTGTTATTCTGTTTTACTACTGAGATTACGTCTAATCACAATAAAGAACATCACAGTGAAAAAAATCAGACTAGGGCAGACAGTTTTGTAATATTTCAATTTTGCCCACTTTTAGGACAATTTTCTACATGTTTAAATAATTACATTACATATAATAGAGTTCATATGTATTAAATGTCTGTGTAAAAGTAGTGCAAAGAATATACTAATCAGTAGTTGTATTTTAACAAGTATTATTTTTTTTATCAATTTTGGCGGGGAAATTTTTTAGAAATTTTGCTTTTTTCAACTTTTTTTTAAATATGTATCTACCAAACCCTTCAATTCTAAGAAACCATTTATGCACTTTTTATTATTATAAATTATAACAAAAAAAAATCTTTAATATAATTAAAAAAAAATTATGAAGATATTTATAATGTTACCTTTTTTTGGCGTTGTGTTTGAACTGCTGGAGTTAAAAACTTGCTTAAGAGTCTACTTAATCCAGCACCAGATAACGCACAGGCAGCAGGGGCCAGTACCAACATTAAACGCACCTAAATCAAAATAATTCATAAACATAATCGCTAATTTTAGATTTTAATCGTGTGTACCATAACACCGGCAAAATAAACGGCAGTAGCACCATAAAGAGCAAGGAAAAATTTGGCATCTGATGGATCCTTAAAACACAGATACAATCCAGCTGGTAAAAGCATTGCCAAAAGATGCAGGTCAAAGAAAAATGAAGACCAGGCTGTTGGTTGATGTTCAGACACTGAAGCTATGATAGGAATGTGGTTCTAAAAATATATATTTATCTTTAGAATTACTTTGAAGGTTTAATAAAACATTTAATTTACTTTAGCATAGGAAGGATCTAATAATGCATAAAATCTTCCCGTCCATGGAGCTATTTTCCCTGAGAGAGCTAAAATTATCAGTCCAACTCCTATTATAGCACCTACAGTACTCAGTGCAAATGATAATAATGCTTGAAAATCTGCAGAACTCATTTTACTTCTTACATAATCAACAAATGCACATATTTGGCATAAACCAAATACACCAAGAGCCTAAAATACAAATTTAAAAAAATTAAAACATCCATAGTTCACTTAAAAATGGTTTAAAAATATTTTAAAACCGTTGATTACTTTACTAGGTATATGTATAAAATTCTTACCAACATATGCTCTGAACTCTGTACTGGTTGAAATCCAACAAATGATATTTGCATAGATAAAATAGTGCCTAAGCAATACAAAGTACTATAAGCTATATAAATCCTATGAGAAAATCTTCCCGTTATCATCAATGTTAACACATGCAACGGTATTAAATTAATCAAGAAGACATAGCCTCCCCATGAAGACACCTAAAAAATATCTTCATCAGACATCTCCTAAAATTAGAAAAAAATATAACTATACATACCATATAAAAATATGCTAATGCTGAAAGAGCCCCCCACCTAACAGTACCAGTCTTGACGGCTTTGATCCAAGCATAATATGTTAGTAACATACAAAAAATTGCAATGCCTTCATTATCATAACTGCCAGCTACTGAACGACTGATGTAACCCGGAACTATTGCCACAAATGCTGCTGCAGTAAGTCCTGCACCTTTATCAAATATCTGAAAATAACATTTTATATTATGTAGTTTCCTTCAATTAAAACTAAAATCAACTTACCTCTTTGGTAAGTAAATAAGTAATCAATGTTGTAAATGAAGAAAATAAAGGAGCTAAAAATACACAGACATTTCTAATATCTATATCGATATGTAAAAGTTGTCCTAATCTAAATAGAAATACTGATGTTAACATTAGACCTGGATAAATTGTTCCACCAATAATTCTTCCAAGAGGGTACCTAAATATAAGGTATAAAACATATAATATAATACTATATATAAAATAATATCTATATGATAAAATAAAAATTACCAAGCTCTATCGTCAAACCAATTGTGGAAGGCATAAAATCCATTTTCAGCCAAATATTTTGTAGTTCGATAATTAAAGTATGGATCAAATTCGTGTATAACAGACTCAAAACGTAAAACCGAGAATAGACGAGTGGCAAATGCTAAAAAACAGTTGTATTGTTAAATGAATACATTTATCAGATTATAATTTTTGTTTAGTATTAGATACAATGATATTAGTAATTACATGAACATATACTTACATAAAACTGCCGCTAAAGCTAAAATTGATATAGTTAAGAGAGTTTCTTGTTTCTTGATACCTTGAAAAGACACTTGAACGCCTTTTTTATTAAGCCCCAACATATTTAAACACCACTACTGTTAATGAGTTTATAACAGAATCTTGAATTTCTACCTTAGATACTACATATAAATGATTCCTATAAGGTACAAAAATCTATTTTAGTTATAACTTCATATTGTAAGTTTATCGGAAGTAAAGTTTCTATTTTAGAACAACTTTTTTCATTTTTGTATACGTCCACGATTACAAATCAAAAGCCGGCATAAAATGATAAAATTTGACAACTAAAATCTTTTTGTTTGACTTTGGGTGAATACTCTGGTAGAAATATTCCGAACTATTAAATTTAGTATTTACTCGCTAGATGGGTCTGTTAAGGAAGTGTCTAGTACGTGTCTAGATATCCGCCCACCGGATGAATAAAACAATCGGCCGTTTTTAGTTTTTTACAACAAAATATTTATTTCATTGTTTAAATAATATATTATTAGTTAATTATTTATATTAATAAGTAATAATTTATATCTATTCAGTGTGGTCAATTTAAGATAAACGGCAAAGGTGTGTAGACACAGTTTAAAATATTGTTTTAATATATAGGGTTATTTAAACTTTTTTTTTAATTTAAATTTAAAGTTTTCGGTTTCAATTCAATTAAAGTTCAAGACTGGACTCGATCTACCCTTGTTTTTTGAAAACTTTTTTCTTATTGGGCAACATATTTTTTAGTGAATAAAACAAAGATATTTAAACTCTGTTAGGTAACAAAAATAATTACAAAAATCTTGTAAAATGAATAAAATAATCTAATAATGCCAATCTAAATTCTGATAATATACAATAGTATATAAATCCAAGGATTAAATTATTTAATACAGCTTTAAAGTGCTAACACACAAGCCCACAAACCACCCTTGTACGACGATTTAATTTATTGTACCAAAGATTGTACTTTCATCCGTTTAGCGGCTGATTAGACACTTTGCGTGAAGTAATCGCGACTTTACAGGAATCTTTTTGAATGTTTTTGGTCAGCTGTCATCTGTCATCCCTTCCCAAAAACAATTTTGGTCATAAAATTCAATGTCAACAATATCGTCACTTTTGTAATGCGTGTGGTTGTTCGAAGTCAAAGTGTTAATATTTTCAGAGATATTATGTAAAAACAAAGTGATTAAATAGTGTGTCCGATCGCCTCAATTGTAAGGAAAGGAGGAGATTTTTAGGGCTGCGGCCACATGTCAATGGTAGGTGGAAAGGTCCTTCAGGGACGCGTTTCTCGCGCTTCTCGAACCCCTTTCTCCAGAAAAGCAGGTAGGCGCAGATACAAAAAAAGCCGCTTCCTGCATGCTGACGCCGCTCTAAACTGCCGCTGGCGAGGCCCTTAACAACCATTAGCAACGTAATTATAGTGTCTTAAGTAAAAAAGGTGGTACTTAGAGTAACGAGTTTTCGAGAACCACTCAAAAGAGACTAGACATTTATTTGTTATTAACGTTTTAGACTTTATGCTCTCTGTATTGAACATTATGGTAAAACAGTTTTGTGTGGGTATACTTTTTTGATTGTGAATTGATAATGAGTGCATGGACTTAGATAATTGGCATTTACATAGTTTAATTTTCTAAATAATTATTAGTAATGGAGGCCAGACTTAATTCTAGACAAAATTTTAAGCTATTAATTTATTTAAGCTAACAATTTTAGTAAAATAGTAGGATATATTATATCGTGTGATGGCATTATCGTTGGAAACATATGAAGTCCCATGCAAATTTTGAACTGTCCAAATATTGGCTCCCCTATTAATTTTAAATATAATATAAAGTTTCTTATATGCAACACAGTAACACAGTGTATTTTATTTAAAAAAATTAAAAGGAAATAATTATAAATTTGAATAAACAATATTTGAGGGCATAATTCTGAAAAAAGCCGAAACGATCTGAAATTATCAAAAGCTTCGGATGGCGACCTTTGTAAGAATAGCGCCAAATAGTATTTACATGGTCCTTATGGGCACTTTCCAATCTAAACTTGTTTCTTTTATCTATGCCTAAAGTCCTAAAGTTTAGAAAATACAATTTGACATTGACAAAATTATAGGATGACAACCATATACATGACAACATAAGGATGCTTAAGGTTACGTTGACATTTTCCTGGTTTTGCATTGATATCTGTTTAGTTTTAATTTAAAAATAGATTTGTTTTAAATTAAAACTAAACAGATATCAATGCTAAACAATGCAGTTTTTCTTAAATTGCTTAAAATAGGCTTGTCCAAAATGGATCAAATTTTGCAATGTGTATTCAGCATACCCAGATTTTTAGAAAAACTATTAACCACTTATCTGTAAAATTAATAGGGGAGCCAATATTTGGATAGTACAAAATTTGCATGGGATTTCCAAAAAAACGGCGTCAAAGACAGCTGGGAATGGCAATTGATGGTGATTTTAGCGAGGTCAAGCCCTGGACTTCATTACTTGGTAGTCTTAAGAAGGTGGTAATTTATTTTTATATTGAGTAAAAATTATTTTTAAAAGGTATATAGTTTAAAATTCCAGAAAGTAGTATATTGTTTTAGTAGGAGTAGTTAGTTTTTGACAAGTTTTATGTCAGTTTCTAGTAAATGACGTTTAGAGATTGATCTCGCCAAAATTATCATCGATTACATGGTGAGGTATGAAACTTTTCAGACTACCCTCGTATTTAATGTCTCAATTGAGTATTATTTATTTACTAGCAGGTATAGGTATTTTATTGGAATTTTGGAGTAGCAAAATCGATTCACGCAGTTTCTCTTTTGAAAGTTCCTGATTAAATCTGAAAAATTAATTATGTAAACTGTAACACCGGCTGACCGTGACCCGTTTCTTTATAAACGTTTTAGGTATTTCCCTTTTTTTTACTTCGGCAATTTTAAAAGTTATTCAGATAAGTCAAAAGGTAAAATGGAATTTTTATTCTCGTTGTGGCATCGGTTTCAATATAATTAAATTGATGATTTAATTGTCTGCAACTAATTGGTATGACATAATTATAAATATATATAATTATTTTTAACCACATAATAGAATTAAAATACTTTAATGTTTTAATTTTCTAATAATGTGGTTAATTACTATTTATTGGAAAAATATGTATATGTAATTTTTTCAACGTCTATCTTCAACAACGTTACGTAATCATTATTAATGTGCGTTTTAGGCCTATCAACCTCCAGCAATTCTATTAGCTGAAATGTTTGATCTATACATTTTTGCGTATTTATGGTCATTGTTAAAATTTCCAAACTGACTTTCTCGCGCTAGCCACTCTTTCATTATAAACGGCAAAAGCGTTTCACACATCCAACATTCGTATAACAATAGGTCCATAAAGTTATTCAGGTATTTCAATCCAAGTAGCGCCTCTGGTTTATGTTTTATGGTCCCAACTCTTCTCGCTGTGCTATCACACATTTTGAAATTGACTATAGTTGCTGGCAGGGGCGGATACAGGAATTTATTTAAGGGGGGCCCAAATAAAAAGTAATGTAGAATATGCTTTTTCGAGGGCCATTTTTAACCCAAAAACATAATATTTAACCCAATTTAGATATTTAAGGGGGGAGGGGGGGTCTTGGCCCCATGGGTCCCTCCTCTGTATCCGCCACTGATGGTTGCTGGAAGATATTTTCCATATTTTGTACCGTCTACAAGCAAAATACTCTAAGAACAAAAAAATGTATTTTTCATGCATTTTCCTGAACAAATATAAAGCTACTATGGACAAAAAATCAAAGCTTAAAGCTTCTGGAGTTTCTGGAGGATTTTAGATATCCCATGATATACAGTACGTCTGTTCGTTCTGTAGCTACGGGGTATCCGTGAGAGGGGAAACGATATTCTCTCGATGTTTTTCGTAAAAAATAGACGACGCGTCCCATCAATAAAAATTCAACAAATTTGCAAGTAGCCAATAAAATGAGTGGGCGGAGCGATTTGCGGTGACGTACTCGTTAAGTCGACGAATAAAGTAAATTGCTGTTTATTTAAATATTTTTTGTCCGCATTCCTTTCGTAGACACAGGTCCAGCAGACGTACTGTAAGTAAGGCAAAAATGAAAATATTGGAGTTGTGGGTTTTGATTGGAGACTGATGGTGGGGAGGTGTTGATCTTGACAGTACAGTACGTCTGCTGGATCGGTGTCTATGAAAGGAATGCGGACAAAAAACATTTAAATAAACAGCAATACATTTTATACGTCGACTTGTCGAGTACGTCACCGCAAATCGCTCCGCTCACTCATTTTATTGGCTACTTGCAAATTTGTCGAATTTTTATTGATGGGACGCGTCGTCTAATTTTTTACGAAAAACATCGAGAGAATATCGTTTCCCTTCTCACGGATACCCCGTAGCTACAGAACGAAAGTGGTGGGCGATGGCGACTACTGTCCAATTTTATACAGGGGCGCTTTTATGTGTATGGAAACGGTCGATTATTAGGTAAAATATACAAGGTACCGCAAAAAGTTATAGCGTCTTTGATGTGCCACGACTTTATGACCGACCCTGTATACACGAATTTATTACTCGCTAATAGATATTTAAAAATCCTATATAACTTTTGTATTTAACTTTTTGCGCTACCTCCTATATTTTACCTAATAATCGACCGTTTTCATAAATAACAGCGACCTTGTATAAAAAAGGGATGCAGTGGCAATGTTGTCATTTCTATAATTCAATGACTCTTTATTTGTAAGTATATATCGATGAAATATCAATTTATAACGCCAACACATAGACATTGTCTGGGCTCGTTAACAAATGTTTCTATGCAAATGAATAAAATACGTAATACGTGGATTATGACCTAATTTCTCCAGAAAAACAAAACAAACGCGCTCACGTTACATTATCGTAACCCTTCATTATTTGCTTAGAGTGGCAAAGCGGGTAAATATTTGCTATAGGATTGGAACATGGCAGGCGCACGAACACACACTTGTATAGACAGACACAGGGACATGTTTATTATTACGATGCTGAAGTGTTGTGTCGGCATTGTTTCAAATCTGAAGAGCATCAGAAAATGCCATTGATAGTTCTTCAGCCTGCCGAGAGTCGATTATAAAAATAATTGATATTCAATAGCGTAATAATATGTCCAGGTAACAGCGTTCAGAGTGATAAGAAATATATTTTTTTGTATAATATTGTTACAGATTCCGTTAGTTTTTATCATAGACATGTGTAAACAATAGAGTATCTAAAATGAATTGAATTATTTTAATCGGGAAGAATAGTCTAAAGCTGGTAAACAAAAAATATTTCCTACCATTCTTATTGATATTATTAAAATAAACTAGTAATGAACAAGTTATTGTCGATCTAAATTCGATCCTGTATCGATTGTGATTGTGATACCAGAGTACGTAAACGGACTAGTAGCGACAGTCCGGTTTTCAATTTTCTTTGTGGCTGCGCGAAATAGGTAGTCTATCTGTCATATGAAGAGGCGAAGTTGCCACTGTTGCCATTTATCAGATATCTCGATATACTCTTATTTTAAGTACCTACGCATCAGGCAAAAAATTTTCCTAAATCATTTTTTTAATTATTTATTAGCTGTAAGATATTTTATTATATTTACTTCTTATTAATTATATCATTATATTCCAAAAAATATTATCAATACTTAATTCCACTTCAAATTATGAGTCTTCATAAGTTGAGCAGTTAAATAAGTAGTCTATCTGTCAAACGTGTCAAAAGAGAGAGAAAGAAAATTTGGTCCCACCACATCAAAAGAGCCGACGGTTTCTGTCGCTACTCGTCGATCCACTTACTCTGGTGATACCTTCTGTCGCTGTTCTATTAATCACTACTCTGAATTTCCTTGTTCTCGTATTAGACAGACCTCAGACTAGGAATTATTGTTTTCAGTAACGTAGTAGAGATAAGAACGTCAGTCGCTGACTTCATTCGCGACTATGGAATCGCGCGGGATTGTTTTTAATTTAAAACGAACGATTCGTAATTAAATCTGTTACACTTGATTAGTGACTGGCTGATAGATATTGATGTTTTTTTTATTGCGCTCAGAGGCTATGAGCATTTCGTGGTGAATTTTTCTATGTAATAAGATTCAGCTCGTTATGGATAGACTTAGTTTATACTGGCAGTCGGTGACGAATTTATATCACGTAAGTTCATAATTTTTAATTTTAATTCGTAACATTGTTTAGATTTTTAAACAGGTTCAGGGAGGGACAAGTAATATTTTACTATATTTATATTTTATTATCAATTAAACAAATCTCATTAAATAATTATTAAGAAATATACCTAGAATTTGTTAAGAATATAATTTTTTATTGTATTGCTATTATTGTATTATAATACTTTTGGCGTTGTGGCATTTGACATATGTATATGTGTACAGTATGTCCCCGGATTATCTTTACAAGAGGAAACGGGGATACACACAATGTACCTCAAACTAACCGTTTCCGAGTTACTGACTTTTGAAAATATCACTTAAACAATTCGATTTAATTAATTTCGATGTGTTTCGTAAACACTTGCTTGGGCGGTTTGAAATTTTGATGCAAAATCCGACAATACTGCATAGAAAAAATGTATCAACCCAACTTGTTTTCTCTTTTTAATACATTTGATTTTCCATTAATCTGTCCCCATCACTGTCTTACACATTAAAATCCAAATCACGCTTTTACGGTAACCAAATCTGTATAATCAATCTAAATAGATCTAATGACAATTTTTAATTTTATAGTATTTTTTTAATTAACTCGGAAGGATATTTGAAGACTATATATAATTACTTAATAAAAAGTTTGTTATAATTATATAATATGTTTTTCAGAAATTTTAATAAATTATTTTTTTTTCAGTGTTAAAAATGTTGGCCGTGATGGAGGCAGGGTCTCAGGGCGCGGGCCCATCAAGTGGGCCTTCGGCTCACACTGAGCCCCCCATTCAAGAATTTCTTAGTTCCGGTAGGACGGGAAGGAGAAACGCCTTGCCAGATATTTTAGGTGAGATTGCCTTCTTACTTCTGTTTATACTTTTTTTTACAATATTTCTATACAATCCAATTTTTTTCACAAACTATTTGAATCTTTGTTTGATTCATCTGACAAGATCGGTATGAAACGGCTCGGAAAGCTTGTCAAAGTTATTTGAGGTTTCCTGAGTAATTTGAATTTATTTAGTTATTATACTAAAATTATCAAGGTCGGTAAACAGTGGAGTTTCATTTAGATGGTTATAATTAATATGAAATTGACAAATATTGTTTATGCCCGATTATTTTATTATAATAAAAGACTTATACTTCTATTATTAATTTCTTTATTGACGTCATAAAGATTATTTCTAGATAACGATTTAATTATTTTATGAATAGTGACGTCTTTAGTTATATTATTGTTTACTATACCGGGTGTTGCATCGTCGAGCGGGACATAGGAAATCCCATGTAAATTTTAATGAAACAAGGACGCAATATCCACAGAAAGTAAGTGTTTGGGCAGGGATATTCTGACACAATATTATCGGGCCATTATTTCTTACGCGAAATTTAAATGCAGAATATTATTTGGAATTACTCGAAAATCATATTTTACCTGTTTTAACGGAAACGTTATTGGCCTAAATCATACAGTAAATTGCCCAGCAGGGTCTCCTGATATTTCGCCAAATGATTTCTTTCTCTGGGGCCATTTAAAAAACAGGATATACAAGGATAAAAAATACCCAAATCTAGACGAGTTAAAAAATGCTATTTCTGCCGAATGCAATAGAATTTCAGTTTACCAACTAGCGAATGTAAGAAGAGAATTTTATGATCGCCTGGGTTATTGTCTAGCAGTCGATGGAGGAATATTTGAACATCTTCTTAAATCCTAAAGTTCTAACAATTTAATAGTACCTAAATTAATAAGTTATTGAATATTGGAACAATAGTATAATTAACCTTGTAATTGATTACTTTATTTTACTTTAATTCATATTAATTTGTATTTATAAATACATCTTTAAGATTTCCGATGTAGGAATGAGTTTTCAATAATAATAAAGCACTAAATAGGTAAATTTCTGAAATGACAACTTCATTTGACAGTTATCTTTTACCTTGACAGGTGCTCATAAGTAAATACAGGGCCATAAGAAAGGAGAAATATTTAAAAAGAAATCGGCGATAACTCGTAAACGGGCTAATCAAAAATATCTAAAGTTATTCTTTTGAATGTGGGTTTTAGTGCTCTTCAATAAACCTAAATAGAATTATTCTCTAAAATAATTAGGGAAGCCAATAATTGACCCCATTAAAATTTACATGGGATTCCCTATGTCCCGTCCGACGAAGCAACACCCGGTATATTATAAGTATTTAGGCAATTTAATTTATAGTTTGTGGTGCATAGGGCTCTTATGAATTATTGACACTTAAAGGAAGTAAATTATTTTTTATAAAAATTATAATATAAATATACGGAGTAACACGCTATTTCAATGAACAGTTCCAAATGCATGAATATAAAACTAGAATTAGGCTTTTTCCTTTACTGAAATTACTGTTATTTGCAGGTCAACACGCGGTGGTCACGTCATCTGACCTCCCCGCCCGGTTGCAAGCCCTCAGTACAAAGGACCAGGGTCCCGCCTCGCCGTCAGTCCCGGGGGAACCCAAACCAGGTCCCAGCACGACCCAGAGTTGAAACTCTCGCCCCTCCGACGTTATAACGGTAACAAATACAACCCATTGTCAAATTAATAGCTGTGACGTAGATACAAAAGTAAAATAATGTTCCAGTGCAAAATAATACTCTAACATTGTCGCGTAGAAGCCTGGCAACATACGTTTTGCTAAAAAAAATTGTAACTTAAAATCATTTTCGCTTACTGTTAGAAGAGAACAGTAACTGTTTTGGATATTTATGTTTTAAGTTATTTTCAAGAGATCTGTAATGTTTTTAAACATACTGTAATAGCCGGTTTATATTTCTGATCTTAATCCTACCACTAACATTAATTTTGAGGATATTAATTAAGGCAAATGAATGCAGGCATTCAATTCTTAAAAATTTCCTTAAAGCACATATTATTACCAAATTCATTTTCTCATTGCTCTTAACATTACTGACTTTTAAAACTTTAATGTGTTACATTTTTTACCTTTGCTGCCCTCTTAGTAATGTCATCTTCCGTCTGGTAATGATAAACGGTTGATCACATATTATTGCTATCATTATATGTATTTTCAAAAAATTCTAAAAGGTTCTAAAATTTTATTTGAAAAATTACAAGTTTTTAATACTAATGTTAAGGATAAGATTAGGATTATTATCTGAAATATGAATCGACCTCAAACTAATAAGCTACTGCAAGATGATTTAATTGCAGATTTAATTACTAATTTTATTGTTGAAAAAGTAAAAAAAATCTTTGTGCCAGAAGAGTCTATTTAAATCAGTATATTTAATGTACAAAGCATCCAACCTCTAGGTATCATTTACTTATGTTTACATATTTTGTAAGGAATAGAAGTCACTCGATTTTAAGTATGTTGATACAGAGAAATAAAATTAAATAAGAATAACAATATAATAAGTTATTAAGTTATTTTGGTGTGCTAGCTAACAAGTTTAATAAAACATGAAACCGTGAACTAAACCAATCAATTTTTATGTAAAAAAGAAATTTTCAAAGTATATAGTAGAGATCGCGAGAATTTTTTTCGTTTTGACATTTGACATTCCTGAATCACCCTGTACACACACAAAAAAATTTTTGCTACACTACTACTTATGAGCAAATTAAAACATTTCAGCAGCATAAAACATATTTTTCTTTATTCAACCATGTTATGTTTTTTTAATTTTATTTCACTGTTTCAACTGACCTTTTAACTAATCATTTGAAGACATTTTTTTTAATAATCATTTAATGAATTTCATTACCTCTTTATTCGGTCATGCACTGAATGTCAAAGTTTTTCCCAGTGGTATTTTATTTGTTGTCTCATTTTTTAATTAAGTGATGTAATAGAGTTGGTCTCTTTTTCTAATAATACATAATATAGAATAGATAGTTTTTAAATGGTATCACATTTTTTGAATCTTTTTTACTGTGTGCATCAAACGAGGCATCAAATCATTTTTTTATGTTGATAACCGTAATCATACTCATTTAACCAAATTTTTGATCTTAAGATCTTTCACTTCGTAGTATTACAAATAATTATTGTTAATCTCATGATTTTTCTCAAAGAAATTTGATGTCATATCACTTTTTCTTGTGTCGTTTGTTAGATTAGATTTTTCGAATCATATTTTTAGTTAACGCAATTTTTCGTATTTTCTATTCATCGATCTGATTGTATATGTGTGTGTGTGTGTTTAATGTAGATAAATGAGAGAGAGGGAGAGAGAGAGAGAGAGAGAGAAATATTCTACAAGGTGGAACATTATAGAAATGTTAAAACCAAAGAAATGTAAAAACCAAACTTTTTATTAATTGCTTCAAAATACACTCTCGATTTAAATCCGACGACGTCTGGATTTTAATGTGTAAGATAAGGATGAAGATGTCCTAATAGAAAAGCCAAATATGTTAAAAAGAGGCAAAGGGCGGTTGCCGATGTGATATTGACAGATTTTTCATCCAGAACAACTACCAAAAACAATAATATATTATGGGTTTGGCAACATTTTATTCATATATATCAATCAGTCAACAATCTATTTCACTCCTATATGTTTATTTAGTCGTTTAAATTCTAGTATTGAATATAAATCGAAAAAGTCTCCATAGCGCGGCGCGAAAACGTTTTGCCTATAAAGCGAGAAGTCCAGAGTTCAATACCGGCTCGGGGTATTTTTTTTAAATTTATTTTCGTTTATATTCTGTTAGTAAAGTATTAAATAATTCTGGTGGTTAAAAAAAAACAAATATAATATTTAAACAATAAAAAATATTTTAATAATAAATAATAGGACAATATATCTACTCAGGGTGCACTATTATACCTATATATACATTTTAAAGGCTCTAATTTTATACAATTACTTAAATGAAATTTGAAAGAATCCATTTGTTGCAAACTTTTATTACATTTTTTTTAATTCTTTACGCAGGGTATATTGACGTATGTTGTTTTTATATTTCTATTTGTTCCACCTTGTAACACCCGGCGTATTATCATTAGTTTTGTATTGGTTATTTATCATTAATAATGAAACATACCAAAAACCTCGGAATAATTTATACAGCAAAAAAAGTATTTTGTTGAACATTCTGGCCTATTGATAAGTTTAGCAACGACAAGGTTTGTGATATTAAGTTATTAATTTATTTGTTTATTGCGATATTTAGGTCATAGAATACGTTTGTTTATGACTATAATGCCATATTATTAAAAACTCGTTACAATGGCCTTTGAAACAATAATCTATGATTAATTTGTGACAAGTATTAAAATAAAAAAATAAATATTAGCATAATCCTCGTCTTAAATTAATATTTAAATGGAAAAACTAAAGATGTCAATACAAATCTGTCAATTTTCAAATGAATAAATGAATAATGTCTAATATGTCAAATAAATAACATATAGAGATCGGTCTAACAGATATTATTGATTATTTCAAAGGACACTGGCGTTTTAAAAATTTCATATACGTAAAATTTTGTGAGAGATCTGGCTCTAATGGGCTTTAGTATTTCCTGAAAAAATGTATTCTATGACTTATGTATATTTTTCTTGATTGTGATAATTTGTCGTGTTTTTTTTTGTAAAAATTAGTTTTTTAGAATTTTTGTTTTGTGATTCTTGAGGTAATTAAATATGTTTGCAAAAATAAAGCGGTGTTGTTTATCTTTTTTTCTATATATATGTCAAAAACCTCGAAAAGTACAGATTTTAGTAAAGTGAATCAAAATTGAAAAATAAAAAATATTGATTTTTGTTCTAGTATGAGTTATTTACACATAAAAAAGATATTTCTACGTAAGATATTTGCAATAATAAGTTGTTACCTTTTTGCAAACTTTCTTTAAATAAATAATAACTATCTGTAAGTGTAAAGTATTTATTTACCTCAGGGATCGCTAAACCAAACCAAAAGGTATTTTACTTGTTTAAGCTACACACGTAAACGTTTTAATGTAAAAGGCAAATGTCGTTAGTGTAGAAATGTAGCTCAAATATTTATGGCAAAAGAAAACTAGTCATATATTAGACGATTGTATTCGAGTTAAGACCATTTTTATCGATATTTATATGGAATCCATTATATAAAATAAACACTTAAATTGATGTTTTACTCCTTTTTATTCATTACCTACCCCACTAAAATACTATACGATAACATTGGTGATAATCAACGGTGATCAAACATCGGTTACAATCCAATCGTAACGATTGATGGATTGTAATGACGATTGACGATTTAGTCGCATGGGATCAAGTACGAACCAGTACCTACTCTAAACATGCTCTTATAACTACACTATCTTATGAACTATACTAAAATAGGCTTTACCTCCGATAGAACTCATCTTCGGAAATTTGTCGCGAAGCGCTGTCTCGACAAAAAACATGAACTAATTGGGAGATGGCGTGAATTATATTTGAACCAGTTTCATAAAATGTCATTTATGACATTGAAAATTGCTATAAAAATGACACTTTTACCGATGTTTGTAAAACAATGTCTTATGACGTATTATAATTGATCCTTTCTGGTATTTTCTATAGTATAGCACATAAAAACAGCAGCTTTTTTAAAATATTTATTATATTAAAAAATTAGCCTTAATTATAATATTTTACAGGTATCTTACAGAACTAAAATAATTTAATATATTTTTCGTATAATTGTTGGTTCTCTCAGTTTGAAATATGCAAAGTATTGCAAAACAAAAATCAGCCTTTTTCACAATACATTTCAAAAAAAAATGATACATTTGTTAAAATTGTTGAGTTATTTTTTATAATTATTGATGTCCAGTAATATTGGGCAAATTTGGAAACTTGATGCGCTTTTATTTAACTCTGTAGTAATAGAATAAAAATATGTTTTAATAATTTTGAGCGAATTTTTAAATTAAAAAAAAAATAATATTAAACAAGTTCGACACACTTTTACCAAGGTAAAAATTTTTGAGAACCTTGAAATGAACTTTTTTCCATATAGGCCCAATTTTCTTGGTCGTACTTTATAATAAATGCTACAAATAATAGTCTTCGTTAATCAAATATTTACAAATAATACATTACACCTCATTCGGAAAGAGATAATTTTAAAATGTACACGGATATGACACAATGTTGGACAAATATTTTCATCTATTTTATAAAAGTGTATCAACAGCGTGTATGACTCCATTGGTTGACGGTATGTTCGATGCGGACAGACCTTGGTTGTTCACTTTTATTTTACCTGGAAACAATGATAAATTAATAATAGTTTTTAAACAATTATTTGAGTAATTATAAAATAACGTTAATTGGGTGAGAAAATAAGATGTTTCGAATTGATAGTGGACGTAAAAAACAATGAGTCATGTAGATTTTAAAAAAAATATCTTCAAAGCTTTAAGAAAGAATGCCAAGTAATGATATATTAAATCATTCTAATACAATATAATTATTACTCTTAACAAAAATAAACAGTTTATTATTGATAGTTACAATAATAAATTGGCGGAAAATATGTTCTATGCATAACATATGTGTATACTCATTAAAATAAATATTTTAAAATCTAAATATTTTTGTTAATAAGGAAGCAAGAAAGACATATTTGGCAATGTCTGACAAAATCTCTGATCTCTCTAACATTTGCTCAAATCTCTCATGGCTCATTTGACAAAAAAAATGTCAAATGTTAAGAAAATTGTCGAAAAAAAACGTAAAGGAGGGCGTAATCACGTGGATGTTGAGTGCAATAACAATCAATAACTCAATTCTCCCGAAACACAATTTCTCACACCTATTTGATCAAAAGCAAAAATAGATTCAAGCACCAATAATGAAACAGCTTTGTTTTATATTATATTCTTACCTGAGTGTTTGCTTATTGTGATTGGCGCATCAGTTTTCAGGCTGTCTTTCACTTGGTAGTATCTCATTCCATTGGTATATAGAGCGCCTTGAATGAGATGTTTGAGAACTAATTCTTTAGCCAGTGCTGGGTCAGTAACAGTTTCAGATAAATCTTCTGGACTCAGCCCAGCAAATGCTTTGTCCGTTGGTGCGAATAACGTTAAAGACTTAGGTCCTGTACAAATAAATAAATAATTACATAATTATGTTAAAGACTTAGACCCTACAAAAATAAATAATTACAATACAATTTATGACGAAGTACGCGACTCATGTTTTATAGATACTAACTAACCTTGAAGCATTTCAGCCAATCCAGACGCAAATACCGCTCTCAAGAAATTGGTGAATCTTCTTTCTCTGTCAGCTTGCATCGTTTGTACTAAATCTCCTACAGGAAGTGGGAACATCACTCTGTCAACTGCGTGTGCTACTCCTTGGGGAATGGGGATGTCTTGTTGTTCTTCGATTATTCTAGCACCATTGATAGTGGTTACCTAAAAATAAAATAAACCTTTAAAGAAAATATATTTAATCAAGGGAAGACTAGACATTTATATCAGATATATCCAATGAATAAAAAAACTCAAGCTATAATGGATACATTAAGGACGGAAGGGACCATTTTGAAACCCCTTTTTTACCAGCCTTATTTAACTATTGACAAATTTATTCTTCTGACCAATCGGCAATCGGAGTCTTTAAATTCAATCAATAAAATTAATATCGTATCATCGTATCCTCGGACAACGGATGCATGCAAATCAAGCTTTAAGCGTATCTGTATTTTGGTTTAAATACCAGACAATGGAAATTCGACAGAAGAGTTTTATTCCCAATTGAACCTGACATATCACCTTCAAACAAAAGTTCGAATTGTTTCAAGCTAATTTAATCCAAATTAGTTACCAACTACAATCTACAATGTGCCTTCTGAACATACCTAAACATCGTAAAGAACATGCAATTTAAAGTTATACCTATATTTGCACGACATGTTTTAAAACCAATAATCCTTTTTTAATGGCGATATAATAACGCGAACCAGTTTAAAACAGTCCTATAAATATACTTACACGTCACTCATATTACAGATTACAGAAATCTGTTGACCAAATCGCTTACCTTAACATCGTTCCACTCGTTATCGTGCATATTATATTGATTCACCCTCAGCTGAGTTCCGGCCAGCGACACGCCTGTCATTTCGTCCTGTAGAGAGGAGATGGCAAACGCGCCGGGGATCACGTGATGCAACAATAGCTGAAATATTTAAAGGGAATTATATAATGTCAGTAATGTCAGTTGTTAATTTTTTGTTCTATGGCATGTATTTTATTACGTTTTTTTGTTGGAAAACCTTAAAGAAATAAGTAAAGCCAGAATGTCTCCTATTTTCTTGTTGTCTTGAAAGTCTTCTATTTTAGAATATCTCCTATTTTTTATGTAAGAACTTAACTTTTTTTATTTCCTGAACTGACACTACTTAACGATCCAAAAAAATCTTACAAGAAACCAGCTCTGTGAATGGATTAGTGACATGGCGCGGCGTTGCGCCCCACTCTTAATAAATACAATACGCTGCTATTTTTATTTAGACGATGCTCATACGTAATAAATACATTTACTTACTCCACTTAGTAACCTAGGATTTTCTTTGAATTTTTCTTCGGCTCTTTCTGGGCCACCCAACTGCACCAATAAGGTTCTAAACGCTTTATCTGTTGGCACAAACACTGTGTACGGTCCAGTGTCGTTGAGAACTGTGTCCAGTCCACTTTGTTTCAAGAATCTTGCCATCGCATACAAACCTGTAAACAAATATCCAACATAAAAAATACAAAGTAAAGTCTGTCCGACGAATCAAAGGATTTCAACGATCGACATCCAAAAAATGACAATAACTACAATTTACCTCCGATTTAAAATGACAGAGAACAACGCCACTCTCATGTAATCTCTCAATGAACAAATTTTAACAATACGAATAGTTATTTAACAAATATAGCATTGTAATATGGAAAATACACAAAAATGTTTTTGTTTTAATTAATTTTTTCTATAAATTTTAGCATTACAAAATCGTTCCTTTGAGAAAAGGAGAGTTAGAGTTTAAATTCTTTTCTTCGAGAGAACCGCAATTTTCATTACTATCAGCATTGGGAAAAGAGTAAAATAGATTGGTATGATATGGCATTCTATCAGACTGTCATTTTCTATCAAATGAAGTAAAAAAATACCGAGGGTGTCATCTAAAAATCGAAAGTTGTAGTCATTTCTGGTGAAACAGGACGTGGCCGGAAAACGATTAAATACGCCAATTAATCCTAATTTATGTCATATGATAACATACTAAATCTCGATTTTTTATCGAAAAAAATAAAAAAGTTATGTGAGAAGAAATGTGTATAATAGGAGGAAGCATATGTATAGAATAAAAAAGCAGGGACTATACGTGATTTACATTAATAAATAATTAATTACAGATTACCTAGGGAGAAGGACTAGTAAAAGATAAACTAACCATCAGAATTATCTAGTGGTACCCAAAAGGCTTAAAAAGACCAAGGAGATGCGCTAATCTATGATATGAACAAGATGGGACAATCTAAAACTAAATGTAATAATACAATAATTACAATTAGAAATAGCGCAAATGAAAGCAGATTATGCAAGGAAGACTATCGTAATTGATATTAGCATATTAGTATATGATGACCTTAACTAACTTACCTTTGTTTTTAAACACCGTTGTTAATTCTGGCAAGTGGGTTTTATCTTTTGACGATGAATGGAGTTCCCTCGATTTTGAGTAATTCTTCGTTGTGGTGGATGGAGTTGTATAAGGAGTCGATGAAGATGATTTTTGTGGTGGTTTCGAAGATATAGAGTTCTTACTGCTGGTCGTGATTGTTGATGAGAGTAATGATTGGTCGTATGGGGTCGAGTACGTTGAACGAGTAGTCTAAACATAAATAAATTGTGGTTAATATTTTGGAAATATTTATGGCTATTTCGGGTAGTCTTAGATTAAATTTATAAGAATGAAAATCCAGAAAAGATCCAGTGGTTCTCAAAATTTTAGCAAAAAATCATTTTTTTTTAAATTTCAAAGTAAAATAACTCCGTTATTTTGGACTTATTTGAAAAACGGTAAAGAGAAAATATGTTTATTTTATCGAGATATACCACCCCTTAAAATAGTTGCACTTATTTTTGGGACACTCTGTATAGCTACATACCCTGTGCTATAATACCGTATGATCGAAAAAAACGGCGTCCAGTTGGCTTGGAAATGACGATCGATGACATTTCCCATATAATTTTACACATGAAATGACAGCGATCTTCATTTCATAGCCATCGCTGACGCCGTTTTTATTCGATCATATGGCACTTTGAATGATATAATTACGAGTAAGATTTATTTATATTTCTACAGTTTTCGTAATAAATTCATAAATATTTATATTACAGGAAGCTCAGAAAATCATGATAAAATTAGGATAAAAAAATTATCACAAGCTATTTTTTGGAATAGAAATATTATTATTTGATTGGTATGATTTTTTTTAGTTTCAAATTTTCAGAAATTTTTTGCAATCAACAAAAAAACTTTTTGCAATAACAAAAATACAGATAGCCTGGAGAGACATCCTACATTTAATTTTTCGTACCTGAATATTATCAAATCGAGGTATTGGAGTAGTACTTCGACTGCTACTGCTGTAAAAATCGCTTGAACCGGTATATATGCTGCTGCTTGGTGATGGCGAACTCACAAAATGAGTACCGATGTTGGTTGTAAGAACGGGCAAGCTAGAGCTGTCAGAAATTGAAGTTCTTGGTTTTGCTGTAGAAGGATTGGGCTCGAAGTCGCCACGAGCGAATGAATTTGGAGTAACTAATATTTAGAAGCAAAGACATTAAAGAAACTAAAAGATATAAAAATATACAATATTGTTTTATTAGGAGTAAAAATGAAATTTTCTGTGGCGAGTCTGTGTGTTTGACACTTAGATCTTATTTAGATCTAAAGGTTTGACATTAGAGACGAGGCACAAAAAGCCATCATTTTTACTCCGAATAGAACATGCTATTTTTTCAAACATCAATAATAATTTTTTAAAGAATTTTAATGTTCCAAATAACAAATAATACACTCAAATGCAAAAAAATGCAACGGAGAAATTTTTGGTCAAATTTAAGGCGTTATATTTTTGTTATTTTTAGTCCTATTTTCAGGATTTTTTTAACAAGCTGTCTCCAAATCAACCTTAATTCGTAATATTCTCATTTTTTATAAACTTTTGTATTAAAAACAATAATAATAATAAAATACAGTGTTACACTGTATAATAGGCCAAATACTAAAGTTTATAATAAACTGAGTTTACGAATTAAAATTGATATAATTTTATATAGCTTGCTAAAAAAATCATAAAAATAGGGCTAAAACTAACAAAAATATACCTAACACTTCGACAAAAAATTTGACCAAAAATTTCTAAGTTGCGTTTTTTTTGCATCTGAGTGTATAAAAGTATGTATTTAAAAGTAATACCTTACCGTAAGTAATTATATATCGAGAAACTATGGTTACGCTCGTTGAATTTGAAATTTATGTCAGTTTAATAATATATTTTAGTACTTTTATGCTTAAAGTGCTTTACTTTTATGCCTAGGCGTTAAAATGACTTTTTTGGACTTGGTCAATCACATCGCAAAAATTAATACTATTGCGACGTTTGAAGAAAATATATATTTCCTACCAAATATTAAATTATGACTTTATTGAAATCTAGAAAATGTCGTCCCTTCGGGGAGTAAAAGAGGAAATAAGAACTTGTATGATAATTCTTTACATCAGGATCTATAAACATGAAATATTAATTTGTGACTCTATTCGGACATTTCGAACTTAATTTTAGATTAACGCGTTAAAAGAAAAAAATATAGTATTTGAAATTAAAAAAATGAACTGTACCTGTTACTGAAAGTGGTTTGTTGGTCGATATACTAGATTTAGAGTACTTGGACTCACTGGACGACAAGGAGGCAGTGGTAGGCTTAGGAGTTGTGGTAGTAGTGGGAATCTTTATTTCACCAGCTTTGATTTTCTTCAGGATCGATTCCAAATCAATATCTGATTTTCCCTTTCCATTTCCTTTTACTCCTTGAATTTTTAAGGTACCGTCGCTTTGTTCTTCTAGTAAAACAAAAGTTACCTTCTTTTGATTGGGAAGATTTTTGGGTAAGACGATGTTTTCTAAATTTCCACTTGCACCTATAAAAACGAGAATAATTTAAGTCATAATCTGTTTTGTTTTACAGTCAACCAATATAAAATAATTTGAAAAAATTTGTAAAATTATTACACTCAAAATAATACAGTATGATCTAATATAAAAAAATTGTGTGTGCACTTTGCGCGCATTTTTGAAGTGAAACTAAATACAAAAAAAAAACTTCTAACTAACAGCTATTAAATTGAAGGATTTGAAGGACATGTTTGTAAAATTGTTGGTTGAAATGGTGAAAAAGTAATAAATTAAAAATTAATAAACAATTTCAAATGCTTTCACAAAATTTTTATTAAATTGACCGTCTGTCTGTCTGCCCGTCTGAGGACTTCATTCGGGTACCTCTATCCACGTGCCGGGTTTGGTTCCAAACGACCCATAATTAAGAAAAATCCTGATGATTTCGTTCATTTAGAGGCATGGATCGGTTCGAAACATCGAGGGCGTTATCGTGTAGCCCGTCCCCAATTATGCTGAAATCGATCCACATTTTTCTTCCTTAGTTACTAACAAGTTACCTTCAAGTCCCACCCTGATGAAAATATAAACGAAACGTCGTATCCGACTTTGCAGGGTGCGACCGTGTGCACCCAGGACACCGCAGCCAAACCGGACGATTTTTTCTAAGCCGTAGGCTGTCTTTACCTTTACCACTTTTCGTATCTCATGTTGTGTTACGTGTCGTGTCACGGCCTTGAATTTTTACTACCTCCGCGCGTAAAGAAGTTTCACTTGAAAAAAAAACAGTAATTGTCAAAACCTTTAGCTATCATAAATCATAGCTAAAGGTACTTAAGGCCAGCTAAAACCGAAATGTTGTGTGTATGCCTATACTGTGACGTTTGAATTTATATTCTACTATTTTTCATGGACCGTCAAAATATTTTATATTTTTATCATAATATAACACTTACCAGTTTTCAGAATATCAACATCTGCACCTGGTGGTACAACATTCTTTGTCAATTCCTCTACGATTTCTTTAGGGGGCTTGGTGGTAGTTGTTTTAGATAGAATCAATTTTTCTAAAAACAATAAACATATTAATAACTTTATTGCAGGTTACAGTTGGGGGTTGGAACCTTTAGTGTCACAACAGCAAAATACACCAAAATACTTTTTTAAACATTGTACACGTGTTTAGCTAACTATGGTAGCATCATCAGCAGATGATCAAAACTCAGTTTTAGAACAGAGTTAATCATTTGCTGATGATTATAACGTGTTTAGTGAAACGCGAGTCCAGTGTTTAAAAAGTGTTATGGTGTATTGTGATGAATTAGTGTTTATATAATGTGAAATTAAGATGTAGGTACTGACCTAAATCACTACCTGGCTCCAATGGTACACCATCTGGTACAAGTTTTGGATCGGTTGTTTTAATCACTTCAACTTTTTCGCCGTTTGGTAACGTAATTTCTTGAGTTCTGTAACTTGGATTGGATGATGTACTGCTTGTTTTGATTATTTCTCCTTTTTGACCTAAAATAAATTATTATAATTCGGTCTTTTGCTATACTTATTATATCTTTAAATTGAAAATAGCGTGCATGGAAGGTAAGTTTAAAAAATAAAAAAAAGTTAAAATATTGGGACTTATTATGTCGTATAGGTAATAAATGGTTCCATCATGTGTGAAACGTATCGGTCCTTGAAAAAACTAACTTCGAGAGTATTGAAATCATGGTTACAAAGTCCCGCTTAAGATGGGCTGGTCACGTCGTCAGAATGCAAGAAAATCGCATACTAAAATCTTTGCTTTACGGCGAGCTTGTAGACGGTAAGAGGAGGCCAAGTGGACAACTCAAAAGATACAAGGATATTTTCCACGAAAACTTAAAGGGGATTAACAAGCAGAATGAGTGGGAAGAAGCAGCTCACAATAGAACGGAATGGAGAAGAGTTGTAAACTCAGTTAACAGCGACAACCAAAAAGTGAGGAGGCAACAGAGTAATAAGATTTTTGAATATCGGGAGTGCGGTAGACAGATAACATCACGTATCGGGCTTTTCAGTCACAGAAAAGCTCATGAAAGAAAACGCCTTGCGTGACCATCTTCTAATGCGTGTCAAATACTCGTCAGCGAGTAATGGCAGTATGTATGTATGTAGGTAATATATTAGGACCCTCAACATTTTAATATTTTCTCATGTTAAATAATATACATCTTAAATTGATACCCTGTATAGATAAGGGAACATATCTTTATCTATACAGGGTATATGCATTTTTTGAAAGAAGGGACAAATTCAACAGGCTACATTTAATTGACAAAAAACAATGACATTTGAATTAAAATTATGTGGACAAAACTTGCCATTGTCATATATTCAATTTTAAAATAAAATTTAAAAAATAATTTCTTTAATTTATTGTAATTATTTTTTCATTCTTACCATCTGGTAAGATAAATTCGTCTCCAGAAAAGCCCCGAAGACTTTTAGCATCCTTAGTTGTTTTAATCACTTGTACTTTCTGACCATTGGGCAAAGTGATCTCGTCACCATTAGATGCAGGTTTCAAAGTCCTAAATACATATAAAATATTACCTTAATGCTGGAATAAGGTAGAGTTATCTTACTTGGAAAGCAAGTTTTTGTCTGCTCTAATAGCAATAACTTTATCTCCATTTGGTAACGTAATTTCTTCTTCTTTACCATCTGGGATAAGTTTAGGATCGGTTGTTTCGATCAGCTGAACTTTTTTACCATTTGCCAATGAGACTTCTCTGGAAGACAGATTTTTTGGGGTATCATCTTCGGTTGTACCAATGGCAGCTCTGAGTTGAGCTAAGAGATCGTTTTTGTTGATTTGCTGACTTTTGTACTGCTTCTTTAATAAATCTAAGTCGTCGAGTGACTGAATGTTTTGGACCTGTAAAGAGGATTATTCAGAATATAGTTACAAAAATGATGTTTGTTCTTAAGGAATGAACATACTGGTACGAGTACGACGGCACAGCGAAATTTTGTGGCTTATCTTCGAAATCTCAAGTCGTTGTGTTGCTGGTCATTGTACAACATGGATCTTAAGCTTCCGAATATTTCGCCATCGACGTACCGTATTATTTGTGTCAGTGTGTACTTTCCTTTATGATCATCTTAAAATAATATAGGCTATTTTTTATCTACATATCAAAATATAATATTTTTTTATATTAATAATATAATAATTGCCTGGTAAGTAAAGGCCTCTGTCATTTCATATTTAAATTGCAATAGACACGATAATCCGGCTCAATTAAATCTAGTAGCTAATTTAATTTGTTAAATCGAACTATCGCGTTTGCATTTTTGTATAGGTACATTAAAAAAAATCGGTTAAAATAAATAACCTCTGTTCCCAAAACAAATGTATCAACTATAGGACTAAGTAATCTTAAAAAATGCACATTTAATATATTGATAATCTTACATTCTACATATTATGTATACACATAGTACACCATATAGACAAGTGAAGAGTTGGGTCGGTGTTTACATGTCTAAAATGTGACGTATTTATTACATAACTACTTTATCCGACTCTACACTCTACTCGGAAAATACTTTCTCTTCTTTCTTTATTCAGTACATCTTATTGTAGTTGGTACCGTACCTACTCTTCGTATACACGAAAATCCGCATCCAAGATCAGAAAACCGGTATAAATACTAGGTGTAGATTTATAGGTCCTATATTATTTAAAATAATCAGGAATTTTAATTTGTTTACATTTACGCCCTTCTACGAGCACTACATACTTTCGCTACAATTTAGTGTATTTATTCTACCGTATGATCGAAAAAAAAAACGGCGTCCAGTTGGCTGGGAAATGACGATCGATGATATACCCATATAAATTTCATATACAGTACGTCTGCTGGATCTGTGTCTATGAAAGGAATGCGGACAAAAAACATTTAAATAAACAGCAATATATTTTATACGTCGACTTGACGAGAACATCACCGCAAATCACTCCGCCCACTCATTTTATTGGCTACTTGCAAATTTGTCGAATTTTTATTGATGGGTCGCGTCGTCTAATTTTTCACGATAAACATCGAGAGAATATCGTTTCCCCTCTCACGGATACTCCGTAGCTACAGTACGATCAGACGTACTGTAAAATGACAGCGATCTTGATTTCATAGCCACCGCTGACGCCGTTTTTTTTTCGATCATACGGTAGAACTATTTTAGTGCAGATTATATTAATATGACTAGTAAAAAGTGGTAATAACGTTTGATCCAAGATCCTTCAAAAGTAATACTTTCTCTAATAAATTTAACAATAAGTGTGTGTTTTATTCTAAAACTTTCTGCATTAGTTTACACGTTTTGTATCCGAATGTCCTTTTATGTAATTTGACATAATCCTGATTCTTTGACTTTTACATTACATTGCACTAAAGAATGTTAAAAATAAAATGTGTCCAATAGTACAGAAGATTTTGCAATAAGAAAAAAACTTCTTAATTAATAACTAGAACTAATAAAATAAAAATAAAAATTACACCAACTTTTTAGTACATAAAACCCATGACCTATTATTGTGCTTAGCTTATGACTGAAAGTGGAAGAGAAAATGATTCGGTTTAATCGAGTTGATTTTGGTTTCTACGCTTTTTAAATAGTTTTTTTAATAGTTTAGTTTTTTAACGATATTTAATGATATTCTACCAGTCTTGTACTTGACAACGGTTTTGCATATTACAATAAAAGAAGCATTCTACAAAGCTGTTAAAAATTTAGGCAAGAAAGTTCAAATTCAATCTCAATTTGTGTTTAGCTTACTTTTGAAGGAGATGCTAAACTAGGAAGGACAGTAGGCAAAAATGAAGGCTTCTGATTAGACTTTTTCGTTTTCTTAGTAATCGGTTTAGGAGTTGTGGTAGTTGTAGTTGTTGTGGTAGTGGTAGTGGTGGGATGTTCTCTGTAAAATTGTTCTAGGCTTTTTGAGAAAAGTGGAACTTCTTCAGGGTATATTTTCCTAAAAAATACTTGTTAAGAACCAATTAATATATTATATGTTAATTTTATTTACCTAGGCAATGACTGGGTATAACTATAAGCATCGTTACTTGGTCTAGTTAACAAACGCTGATACAGACGCTTTTTTTCTTCTCTTTGTGCTTCCAGAAATTGCTGGTGTTCTTCTTGTGCTTTCTTCAATGCTAATTCATATTGTTTTTCCACAAACTTGTTGTGTTTGTCTATAATCGCTTTCTTATCTTGAAGTTCCTTTAGGTCATCAATAAATTAATAAAAAAATAACTTCTGGAATTATGAAAATACCTTGATTTTTTGCTGATCCTTGTTGGGATCCAACTGCTGTAGTTGACTATTAATGATGTCAATAGGGTCTGCAGTAGGTCTAGTGTTGATGTAAGGATTTCGTTGGGTTACTGGCTGGACGAAGTTTGGTGTGAAACTTGTTTGAGTATGATGTTGTACTACCGACTAAAATATAAAATATACATTTTCTGATAATTATTATTTATTCAAAAAATAATATTTATTCTTACCCCCGATGGTGTAGCTTGAGATGGTGGTGATGATGGGAATACTACAGAATTCTTTTGTGGTTCTGGCGTCAATTGTCCTTGAGGAATCAAATTACTGGGAAAATTAAGACTAGGATTGGTCGGCGGAGGAAAACTTGATACTTGAGCTTGCGCAGTGGGTAAAAGCTGTTGCTGGTAGATAGGTGGATGTGCTTGGTCAAAAAATTCCTGTTAATAATAGAATATTAATAATCAATATCTAGCAACACCTTGATGACCACGATAACGATTCATTAAAAGGTTTTAGTTATTAAATTTCGTATTAAAAAGTTTCAAAAAACTGATAGTGCTCCTCGTATAATAAAAAATACTCCTTGCGCCAAGGGACTTTAGTCATCTTAGACGTTTTTTTTGCATAAGAATCAGCAAGAATGACACCAGTGATCAAGAAAAAAATATAATTTTTGCAGTCTAGTGTCATTACCCTAGTAAAACGCACTTGATACATAGATAATTATTTAACTAATACCAACCTGCTGAGGCTGACTAGCAAATTGCTGTTGTCGTCCAAATAAACCACTCTGAGCTAAGATCTGTTGGTTTCTGTTGAACAATTGAGGTTGGTGTATTCCTGCATTGCCACGTTGCTGTAAATCGAACCTATGTTGATGTTGCTGGACATCGCTGAGAATTTGACCTTGCTGTTGGGGTGATAGCTGAACAGGCAGTGTCTGTAAAAAAATTAAGGATAAGTAATATTTTTATATTGAATTAATAAGTTGTCAGAAGAAATCAATCTATTGCATTTATTTATTACTATTTACAACTATTTGTTACAAATTTATACGAGTTTGAATAAATTTTCTTGCGACCAAGTTTTTTCTTCATTTGTATTAGTTTGTACGGTTAGAAAGAACCTATTATGTTGTTGAATTGTAATAAGTTATACTGGGATTAAATAAAAAACTAGATACAAAAAAATAAACCGTTACTTCATTTTAAAGGTGCCTGGCGAGCCCTGACGAGCCGCCACTGTCGCTACCGTAATAAAGAATTTAAAAGTACTAAATGATACCAATTACAGAAATTATGATCAGTTGAATAGAATAATAAATCGTTTTTATTAAACCAATTAGAAAACTAATAAATTACAGATTTTTAATGGTCCATTTAACTGAATGAGCAATTGATCTGATGTTGATCTACTTCTTTCAAGGTTAAGTATATTTCAGTCATCGCACTTGAATTATTTCGAACTGGTATATCCTACATTCTTAGCACGATTCTTGTATTATGCAAATCGAAATGAGCTGGTTAAGAATCCTAATTCAATGTTTGCGGAAATAGAACATCATGAAGCATGTTTGCAGAAGATGCAATCGTGTCTCTTGGAAAATTATCATGCATGCTTTTTACCTTATAAATTCTTGTAAAATCACTGGAAACATATTTTTTAAGCGTCTGTGTTTTTATGGGAGATTCATAATAATGTATACCAAGGTATTTTAAGTTATCGTTTCCTTTTTGCTGCAGATCTAATTTGCATGGGATCTATGGTTCATATCAAATAAGCTTTTAGTCACGTGATTAAGCTTAATGAGCACAGCGTTGCCCTCTTTTACACATTTATAATTAATTTATTTTTGTTTCCCAAAATATTTTGGTTACAAGAAAATGTAATGAATATATTTTGAGAATCAAAAATAAATTAATTATAAATATATAAACAGTTATTATTTACATCAATAAAACCCACCTTCTTAATTTCATTTTTATTTCGATTTTTTCTAAACAATTTCTGAACTAACGTCGATACTTATGTACCTGTATAAAACTACTGAGTGAAAAAATTCACATTTCCGTGGGTTTTTACGTTTAACAATCAACAATCAACAATCAACAATCAACAATCAACAATCAACAATCAACAATCAACAATCAACAATCAACAATCAACAATCAACAATCAACAATCAACAATCAACAATCAACAATCAACAATCAACAATCAACAATCAACAATCAATTTTTGATTTATCGTTTTATCGATTATCGATTATCGATTATCGATTATCGATTATCAATTATCGATTATCGATTATCGATTATCGATTATCGATTATCGATTATCGATAAATTTTATTTTATTTTTATTTCGATTATCGATTATCGATAAATCAATAAATCAATAAATCAATAAATCAATAAATCAATAAATCAATAAATCAATAAATCAATAAATCAATAAATCAATAAATCAATAAATCAATAAATCAATAAATCAACAAATCAATAAATCAACAAATCAATAAATCAATAAATCAACAAATCAACAAATCAACAAATCAACAAATCAATAAATCAATAAATCAATAAATCAATAAATCAATAAATCAATAAATCAATAAATCAATAAATCAATAAATCAATAAATCAATAAATCAATAAATCAATAAATCAATAAATCAATAAATCAATAAATCAATAAATCAATAAATCAATAAATCAATAAATCAATAAATCAATAAATCAATAAATCAATAAATCAATAAATCAATAAATCAATAAATCAATAAATCAATAAATCAATAAATCAATAAATCAATAAATCAATAAATCAATAAATCAATAAATCAATAAATCAATAAATCAATAAATCAATAAATCAATAAATCAATAAATCAATAAATCAATAAATCAATAAATCAATAAATCAATAAATCAATAAATCAATAAATCAATAAATCAATAAATCAATAAATCAATAAATCAATAAATCAATAAATCAATAAATCAATAAATCAATAAATCAATAAATCAATAAATCAATAAATCAATAAATCAATAAATCAATAAATCAATAAATCAATAAATCAATAAATCAATAAATCAATAAATCAATAAATCAATAAATCAATAAATCAATAAATCAATAAATCAATAAATCAATAAATCAATAAATCAATAAATCAATAAATCAATAAATCAATAAATCAATAAATCAATAAATCAATAAATCAATAAATCAATAAATCAATAAATCAATAAATCAATAAATCAATAAATCAATAAATCAATAAATCAATAAATCAATAAATCAATAAATCAATAAATCAATAAATCAATAAATCAATAAATCAATAAATCAATAAATCAATAAATCAATAAATCAATAAATCAATAAATCAATAAATCAATAAATCAATAAATCAATAAATCAATAAATCAATAAATCAATAAATCAATAAATCAATAAATCAATAAATCAATAAATCAATAAATTTGAATGGAAATTGAAATGGAAATAGTCAATACAACATATCATATGTGGAAAGGCAATGTGCATAATTTAAAATTTCTCTTCTATTCTCATTACGCTCATAATACGCACGTGAAAATTTAGTAAAATCGATTATACACTGAAATAAAAAATAAGTTATTATTATATTATGTATACATTTAAATTATGCATGACTACATACCTAAAACATGTTAATAAATAGAATATAAAAAAAATTTAAACGATTTTTTAATAGGAAAGTATTTTAATTAAAAAACTTTCAACATACAAATGGAAAAACTCAATTATTGAAGTCACTAATGACACTAATTGTGTATTTTTTTTCTTCTTTGCGGTGTTAGAACTTAAAGACCTATTCAATTTTATGGTTGTACAGAAAATAAATGCATGAAATTTTGTTTAATTTATTTATTTTTTCCTTTATTTTATAGTTTATTTTTGGTCATAAAATGGACATTTTCTCAGAAATTACCATCGCTTTAAGTTTAAACTAGGTTTAGTAGGCCAATTATTATCTTGCAGTTGCATGAGCGATTATTGACCAACTATCGATAATTTTGACCATTAACATAATTCAGCTCGTGTTCAAAAATATGTTGAAAAAACTGAGTGGCTTGGAAATTCAAATTTTAATTGTTTGCGATCTCCCAATAAATGTTTTTATAATTTAAATTGTTTTAAATGTTTTTATATTTAAACAAGAATACACACTTATTAATACCCTTAGTGTCCTATTGTAATGATTATTAAATGACAATTCGAAAAACTATGGAATATTATAGGATAGGTTGTTGATAGGTCTTAAATAAGTAACTTGAGTATTTCTACAAAATAGATGTTAATAGAAGTCATATACTCATACGTAACTCTTTTTAAACAGATTTTATAATAGAAGTATACTTTCTAATTACCACTTTTTTTTTCTAAATATTTTTATTCAGTTGTTATACTTAGGAAGCAACAGTGCCCATTCATTTAATTCATATTATTATAGTAATCTTTCGAATGGTATAATTTAACATCAACGATACTGCGTAATTTAAAGCCAATGATCCATTGCCAGTGAAATAACAAGCAAAACATTTTGCTTCATTCCTCGGTGTTACGACATCAGTTGCAGCATCCATAATAGAATCCAAAGTTGAACGCAAACAATTCGTTTTTAGGATTTTTTTTTCAATTTATATGTCAATGTATATGTTACGGTTAAAGTCCGATGTCCGGTTAATGTAGACATTAACAGGTTAATGTTTGGCTTTGGTTATGTTAACGTTAAAAGCACTTGAAAGAAAATTATAATAAATCGAAAAAAAGAAGACTTAGTAGCTACGATACAAAGCAGAATCGGACATATGTTTATATAAAAAATAACCCAAGAAACTTGAGTTAATGTCAGTTGTATTTGGTGTTGTAATATGTCTAAATTGTGTATATAGTGAGAAAAATAAATTCGTTAAGTATTTTATGGTGAGTTTAAATTAGGGAACCCACGGAATTCGTATATAAGTACAGTATAATAATAAAAACTATAAGATAAGAGTTCTAATGAAAAAGTTACTACTCTGTGCTGTGATGCATTGTCTACTTTCTACCATAATTTAACCTGACAAAACCTCTGTACACAAATGATTTATTTTATTATTCTTCTAGGATAACAATTGTAGAATTACAAAATTAAGCCCAAGTATTATTGTAATAAGAGATTTACGAATCAGAGATCTGCATCTGCATTGTATGTATTGTAAATTACAGTGTTACAATTCATAATAGTAAATGACTTGCAGCGTAATCCTTCTTTACATATTCGGTATACCTAATACCTACACGTCTTTCACGTCGTTCAAATACAGAGATACATACTTTCACGAAAACGAAATGATGTGTTGTTGATGTTAAAAAAAGAAACATGTTGATCTATTCTCACGATTTAAAAAATGTAAATATCTTGGTGGCTTTGATAAAAATTACTGTTGAAAACCTCATATGTAATATAATACCACCCTTATATACAGAGGGTGCCACAGAAATAAGTGCAAGTATTTTAAGGGGTGGTAGATCTCGATAAAAGAAACAAAATATTATCTCTTGATCGTTTTTCATATAAGTTAAAAATAACGGAGTTATTTTACTTTGAAAATTTCCACAAAAAATGATATTTTGCGAAAATTTTGAGATCCCCTGGATCTTTTCTGGATTTTCCACGTAGTGGAAAATCCAGAAAAACAAAGTATGTTTTTTAACAGAAAATTAAAAAAAAATCCAAAATATTTCAAATTTTCAAAAAACCTTATTGGCGTGTTTCTAGGGTTTTATTATTTTTTTATTAATAATCTAATAAAATACTACCAGTTAAAATACTTGCACTTATTTCTGGACACCCTGTATGTAAACAAGGATACCACGAATATCCGCAAACGTCGTTGAAAATTC